AAAAGAGATTATGTATTGATTGCTATTTTTTCATATATTATTATACTTACTGTAGCTTTTATGCTTAAGAAAAAGGAAAAGTTTGGGTATCAATGCAACACAAGTGATCACTGTGCAAGATTTTGTTGTGAAAATCATTCAACATGTAATGACGACTTTATCAAAAAGAATTTCCATCGAAATAATTTAATACAACATTCTGATGATGACGAGTATAGAGTTGGTGATTCATTGAATAGAGGCATCAGAATTTTATACGGGAAACCTTCGTGTGTTGCTCATACAATTTACACAAATAATGGCACAGGAATGTACACGGTAGAATTATAGTAACTTTCTTAATGACACTTTTATTGACGACTTTCTTAAAGTTCCAGTATAATTACTTGTACGTTGATGATTATTATTATAATGAAGAGAAATTCTGCTTCCAAGATGAGAAGATTAATGGTGAGATCGAATGGAAAATTAATTATTGCAAATATGACCACGACTTTAAAAAAATATTTTATTTAATCGGTAAGCTTCAATATTTACATCATTTCATTTAATTAATTTTATTCTCTTATCATTTCCTTAGTATTCTCTGCAGCAGTGATAATGTTGAGCACTGTTGTCATAATTTATGCTTTCGTCAGAGAATTGAAAACTCTCCATGGACGGATTGTCTTGATGTTCACTGCAACTTTAGCTTTTGATTATATTTTATGTCACAATCCCTTATTATATGGCGTTTACGAAAATTTCACAAGAACTATTTTCATCATGAATACAGTTTCACTTGCAATGACAGTTCATTGGTTGACCATCATGTGTTTTGACATCTGGTTGACATTTCGGTATTTATAATTTCAAAACAATTTTTTGCTTATAATTTGAAGTTTTTTTGTTTACATAAATCTAGAAAACTTAGATCATCATCTGATGGAATGGAAAGATTCAAATATTACTGCTGTTATGTATTTGGATTGACAGGATTGCAAGTCCTTTTCTTGCTCGGTGAATATTTGTTTTATGATAGCTTGTGGAGGAAATTTCGCCCATTAGTTGTCATAACATTCACTGCGTTTTATTTTATTGCTTGGATTGTACATCTGGTATTGGTGATTATCACTGGCATCAAAATATTCAAAATGTCGAAGGCTTCAAACAACTCAGAACATTCGTGGTTCGAGAGTGAAACATTAAGGTTTAAATTTCTGTTTAAAAGTTTTGATTTGATTATTAAAATAATTTCATTTTTCATTCTTTCATAGATACTGGAAATATGTTTCTGTTTTCGGAATCTTATTAGTTAATGTTATTAACGAAATGATGAACCCGTCAATTAATTTCGAAATGCATTATTCTAGTCTTTCTGCTATTTTGAAGTTTTGTTCAGCATTCTGGATTTTCGTGATCTTTGTTTTACAAAAAGATGCGCGAAATGTGATATTCAAGAAATCTGGAGCTGTGCATGAAAGATTTAACCAATTAACAGGACAAAATATCTGAAAGATCAAATGTCGTTAATAGCATAGACTATGCTGCATAGTTATGCTTGAAATATCATCCAAATTCGTTTTAAATATATTTTTAAAAAGAAATATGCTATTGCAAGCGATTCAGTTACAGTGAACCCTCTTTAATTCACTCTGAAGGGACCGAGAAAAAATAGATAAGATATAACGAGATAAAAGTTATAACAAGAAAATTTTGTTCCAGATTTCGTTCGATATGAAAATTATATCGAGAGAAATCTTATAACAAGAGAGCATTATAACGAGAGTTCACTGTATTTAACTTTAAACTAGCTTACTTTTGCAAATCCTAATTACATTGCGAAAAATAAAACCAAATAAAGAAATATAGTCGATTGTAGAAGAAATTTTCTTGTTTCTTTTTAATTTGCATACATCAATTACTTTTCTTTCTTACAGAATCTTTTTTCATTAAAATCATTTTTAATAGGGTATTAAGCCAATTACGAAGCGCCCGAAATCGTAGCTAGTTCCCGGTGACGTCACGATTCGTTTTCATCGATTTCAGAAACAAGAACACTAGTAGCAAAAAAATTATTTTAAAATTCTAAACTTTTCTCATTCAACATTAAATTAATATTTTCCTTCGCTTACTATTCAGAAGATAAACTAAGAGTCAATTTAAGAGATGAGAATAAAATTTATTTGAAATTCCCAAAACGAACACTCTCAAGGTTTTCTCTCTTTAGTCGACTACGCTTTATTTTTGTTTCCTTTTTAAATCTTCTCATTCATTTGATAACTTCATTTCGTTGAATCTAATAGCTTTGAATTTATTCAGAATGTTAAGGAAAAGAGATTACGTATTGATCGCTATTTTTTCATATATTATTTTACTTACTGTAGCTTTTATGCTTAAGAAAAAGGAAAAGTTTAAGAATGAATGTAACACAAGTGATCACTGTGTAAGATTTTGTTGTGAAAATCATTCAACATGTAATGACGACTTTATCAAAAAGAATTTCCATCGAAATAATTTAATACAACATTCTGATGATGACGAGTATAGAGTTGGTGATTCATTGAATAGAGGCATCAGAATTTTATACGGGAAACCTTCGTGTGTTGCTCATACAATTTACACAAATAATGGCACAGGAATGTACACGGTAGAATTATAGTAACTTTCTTAATGACACTTTTATTGACGACTTTCTTAAAGTTCCAGTATAATTACTTGTACGTTGATGATTATTATTATAATGAAGAGAAATTCTGCTTCCAAGATGAGAAGATTAATGGTGAGATCGAATGGAAAATTAATTATTGCAAATATGACCACGACTTTAAAAAAATATTTTATTTAATCGGTAAGCTTCAATATTTACATCATTTCATTTAATTAATTTTATTCTCTTATCATTTCCTTAGTATTCTCTGCAGCAGTGATAATGTTGAGCACTGTTGTCATAATTTATGCTTTCGTCAGAGAATTGAAAACTCTCCATGGACGGATTGTCTTGATGTTCACTGCAACTTTAGCTTTTGATTATATTTTATGTCACAATCCCTTATTATATGGCGTTTACGAAAATTTCACAAGAACTATTTTCATCATGAATACAGTTTCACTTGCAATGACAGTTCATTGGTTGACCATCATGTGTTTTGACATCTGGTTGACATTTCGGTATTTATAATTTCAAAACAATTTTTTGCTTATAATTTGAAGTTTTTTTGTTTACATAAATCTAGAAAACTTAGATCATCCTCTGATGGAATGGAAAGATTCAAATATTACTGCTGTTATGTATTTGGATTGACAGGATTGCAAGTCCTTTTCTTGCTCGGTGAATATTTGTTTTATGATGGCTTGTGGAGGAAATTTCGCCCATTAGTTGTCATAACATTCACTGCGTTTTATTTTATTGCTTGGATTGTACATCTGGTATTGGTGATTATCACTGGCATCAAAATATTCAAAATGTCGAAGGCTTCAAACAACTCAGAACATTCGTGGTTCGAGAGTGAAACATTAAGGTTTAAATTTCTGTTTAAAAGTTTTGATTGTTTATAAAAATGATTTCAATTTTCTTTCTTTTATAGATACTGGAAATATGTTTCTGTTTTCGGAATCTTATTAGTAAATGTAATTAACGAAATGATGAACCCGTCAATCGATTTCGAAATGCATTATTCTAGTCTTTCTGCTATTTTGGTGTTTTGTTCAGCATTCTGGATTTTCGTGATCTTTGTTTTACAGAAAGATGCTCGAAATGTGATATTCAAGAAATCTGGAGTTGTGCATGAAAGATTTAACCAATTAACANATTTAGAAAACTTAGATCACCCTCTGATGGAATGGAAAGATTCAAATATTACTGCTGTTATGTGTTTGGATTGACAGGATTGGAATTCTTTTTCTTAGTCGGTTATTTTTGGTATGGCGTGTGGGGATTTCGATCCATACTGATTTTTACATGGATTGCGTTTTATTTTATTTCTTGGATTATAAATCTGGTATTGGTGATTATCACTGGGATCAGAATATTCAAAATGTCGAAGGCTTCAAACAACTCAGAACATTCGTGGTTCGAGAGTGAAACATTAAGGTTTAAATTTCTGTTTAAAAGTTTTGATTTGATTATTAAAATAATTTCATTTTTCATTCTTTCATAGATACTGGAAATATGTTTCTGTTTTCGGAATCTTATTAGTAAATGTAATTAACGAAATAATCAACCCGTCAATCGATTTCGAAATGCATTATTCTAGTCTTTCTGCTATTTTGGTGTTTTGTTCAGCATTCTGGATTTTCGTGATCTTTGTTTTACAGAAAGATGCTCGAAATGTGATATTCAAGAAATCTGGAGTTGTGCATGAAAGATTTAACCAATTAACAGAACAAAATATCTGAAAGATTAAAAGTCGATTAAAGGACAATAATTTTTCAATTTTAATTTCTTTGTTGATGTAGAATTTTAAATATTTCAGCTGAAACATTTAAACAAATGAGATTGAATAAAACATGTAAAAGCTCTTGCATGTATTTATTTAAAAACAGTTTTTTTGAGAGTTCCGAAATACATTCATACATTTGATGTTATTTAATAAACCTCTTGAAAACATGTTCTCTCAAACTTGTAATATTTTGAAGATTTCTACACATTTTGATAATCTTCGCATTTGCCGGATTGATTTGAGTAAAAAAAGTTGTTGCTGGCAAGAATATTTCTCAACGCAAAAATGTTTAAGAAAAGATATTTTATTTGGTTCACGGTTTTTATTTACATCGTTTTGTTGTTCATTACGGTTTTTATACCACATCAAGATGATAGAATTGATAATTCGTGCACAAATGACATTTGCATAAGATTTTGTTGTAAAAATTCTGTAACATGCAATGACGAATTTATACGAAGTAATTTTAATGCAAGTTTCATACCAAAATTCGATGATTATGACGATAACGAGAATGACACGAGAAGCTTCAGAATTTTATATGAAATGCCTTCATGTGACAATTTAATTCCAATTGAACAATGGGAAATTTCTAAAGTAAAAATTAAGAATTTTACATTTTCCTCAGGATTTTAATTAGGTAAATATATTTATTGATTTTCTAGTATGACGGGATAAAGACTGGTGATGAACATATCTACGAAGACTACTGCTTCGAAGATACAAAAGTCGGTGATGAAATCAGATGGAAAGTTCTTTCATGCTCTAAAGCAAAGTCCTTCTTCAAAATGGAAACAAATTTGATTCGTAAGATTTTAAAATAATCAAACATTAATTTAATTATGAATGAAATAATCTTCTTTCCAGTTAGGATTATCTCAGAGATGACCTTTCTCGCAGTTCTTCTCATCTACGTGTACCTAAATAAATGGAAAACTCTTGATGGGAGGATTGTCATCATGTTTGTGTCATCATTAGCATCAGAGTTCTTTTTTCGACAAATAGTCTTCTATGATGACACAAACAACAAAATTATGGAAGTTATTACTTTCCTCATGGAAGTTGCGAGCATTGTGTCAACTTTATTATGGATGAGTGTCATGATTTTTGATATCTGGTTGAACTTCAAGTAATTATTATAATCGAATGGCACAATTTATTAATCGAACTAATAACTAAATTTCTTAAATATTCAGAAACCTTGATTCCGCCACTGATGGGATGAAACGATTTAAATTCTACTGCGCTTATGTGTTTTCAATCATTGTTCTTCAGATCACTTCATTATCTGAGGCGTATATTTTCTACTATAGAAGATGGCTTAAGCAACTAGTCAGAGTAATAATTGATATTCTGCTTTTCACCTACTTGGTGACAATTTGTTTGGAAATAATTTTCTTAGTTGGGACTGCCGTCAAAATCTTTTTAATCTCTAAGGCAACAAACCATGTCGGACATGCAAAGTTTGAAGATGAGAAAAAAAGGTATGAATATTCAACAACACAAATGTTTAATTATTTTAACTTTTTCTTTATTTAAAAATCAGATTTTGGATGTGTTTATCAGCATTTGGAATTATCGTCATGATTCCCTTCACAAACATTTTTCCTTTGCTTTCGCCATATGAAAGGAATAAATTCTTAAATGAAATCACAAACTGCTTCTCTGCTTTCGTGTTATTTTTTATTTTTATTCTTATGGATAAGAATATTCGACAAAGACTCTTCCATAAACGCAGCATAAATCATGAAAGATTATCAAGTACAGCATCTTCAATTTAATTAAGAAACTTTTGATGATTGTGAAGAATCTCAGGTGTTACAAAATTAATAAATTCTGATGATGCTAGTTGATGTGCTATCGAAATACATACCAAAAGGTAATCTTAATTAAATTAATAAGTTATAAGAGTGTTTAGTGTTCGCACTCAGTGTTTAATTAGTTGTGAAACTTATTGCGTGTGTCAAAGCAGGTTAAAAATAAATTGTTTTTTAGTTTGTATATTTGCTCAATTGCTGACTTTTACGAACACGTAACAAATGTGCGCGATAAATTAATGTTGTAATTAAGGCGACAAATGTTTTAGTTATTCCTCCCCTCCTCATCATGAAGAACGTTCAATAATTGAAAAACAATTTCTTAGTTCACTTTCTAAAACCGAGATGACAAGTCTAATAACATTTGTGCTCATTTTGTTGCTTAATTCATTATCGTCCAATGCAAATCACAAATGTTCAATTATTTGTCCCGACGTTATTGATCCTGTTGATGTTGACACAACAATTTACGATTTATTCTTACCTAATCTGTTGAGAGATGGACCTGCTGATGGAGTTTGTTTGGGAGGAAAAGACAAATGGGTAGTTAATGGAACAGCTTTTGGATTACCACCGAAATGTGTTTGTCTTCAATATTACAAAGGAGAAGGTTTTAATCTTATTATTTTTAATTCAAAGTTGTAAGATAATTTTGCAAATTCACAGATATTAAGCCAGGAGAAGGTCCACAATGTCCAAATCATTTATCAGCAGCTATGGATGAAACAATGCTAGATAATCTGATGAGAAATTATGAACTTCTTGGAGATGTTGCACCAGCTGATGGCTGGTGCCCAGAAGGGACGTTTAAATGGATCATATCAACGTGGCAATTCCACGTCCCGAAAGATATTTGTGTTTGTATCGTTGAATACTTTTCACCTGAAGTTACATGTATTGACATGGAGAACGATTAAAGCAAAGAATTCAGCTATGTTGAAAAGTTTCTTTATTTCTTCTACATTGGAACTTCGATAAACATATGGCTCAAGGGGAATCAGTTTATCAAGGTTATCAGTTAATCGAGGCAATCTTTGATTGTAATTTGATTCAAGGGGGACAAAATATTTGTTTATCGAGACAACTGTTTATCGAAGTTCCACTGTACAACTTCTTATTTTTTTCTTACGAATGAATCACCAGAGCAGTTCTAAAATATGTAAAACATTTTCTTAAAGTTTGATAAATCTCTTTAAACGTACTTTCTTTTCACAACACTCTTGAAATTTCTACATCCCTTTGTACATTGATAACCTTCGCATTTAAGTATGGATGTGAGTCTTAATTAATTAAAGTTGTTGTTTAGTTCGTATATTTATTCAACTGCTGACTATTTCGAACAAATGACAACTGTTTAAGTTATTCCCTTTACATGATAAAGAATATTCAATAACTGAAAAATAATTTCTTAGTTCATTATCTTAAACCGTGATGACAAGTCTGTTAACATTTGCGTTCATTTTGTTGCTTAATTCATTATCGTCCACTGCAAATCACAAATGTTCAATTATTTGTCCCGACGTCATTCCTTTTGATGCCGACACACCGATTCACGATCTGTTCTTAGCTAATCTGATGAGAGATGGACCTGCTGATGGAGTTTGTTTGGAAGGGAAAGACAAATGGATAGCTAATGGAACAGTTTTTGGATTACCACCGAAATGCATTTGTCTTCAATATTTGAAAGGAAAAGGTTTCAATCTCATCATTTTCTATTCAAAATTGTAAGATCATTAAATAAATTTACAGATAATAAGCCAGGAGAAGGTCCAAAATGTCCAAATCATTTAGCAGCAGCTTTGGAAGAAACAATTCAAGAAAATCTGATGAGAAATTATGAACTTCTTGGAGATGTGGCACCAGAGGATGGCTGGTGCCCAGAAGGGAAGATAAAATGGATCATATCAACATTACAATACAGCATCCCAAAAGATATTTGTGTTTGTATAGATGGATTTGAATACTTTTCACCTGAAGTCACATGTATTGACATGGAGAACGATTAAAACAAAGCTATGTAAAAAGTTTCTTAATTTCTTCTTATTTTCTTCTTGCGAGTGACTCACTTGAGAATTTCGGAATACATTCACACATTTTCTTATAATTTAATAAATCTCTTTAAAATATTCTCTCTTTTTACAACACTCTTGAAATTTCGACATAATTTGATAATCTTCGCATTTGCCAGATTGATCAGTGAAAAAAGTTGTTGCTGGCAAGAATATTTCTTACAATTGAAATGTTTAGGAAAAGATATTTTATTTGGTTCACAGTTTTAATTTATATCGTTTTGTTTATCATACTTTTCGTAGAATTCGAAGAAGATGAAATTTACAATTCATGCTACATGAATGATGTTTGTGTGAGATTTTGTTGTCAAAATTCTAAAACTTGCAGTGATGAATTCATAAGAAATAATTTTAATAAAAGTCATTTGCCAACGTTCGAATATAATCGTGGCCAAAATGTCACAAACCTTAAAATCATTTATGGAACACCTTCATGTGTTTTCTCATCTTCAAGCGAGAAATGGAAAATAAATAGAGTATTAATTGATAACTTTTAGTTTATAATGTAATTATTAAAGAGAAATCTATTTGCTGGTTTAAAGTACGGTGGAATTGACACTGACGATGGACATCATGATAAAGATTACTGCTTTCAAGACACAACAGTCAATGACGAAGTCAAATGGAATGCATTTATATGCAATCCCGGAAAGAAGATGAAAGAAAACTTCATAATTGTTCGTAAGTTATCGATTGTGATTGCATGAAAATGAATTTGATGATTAAGATCAATGAACTTGACCTTCTTCGCAGTGAAACTTATTTCAGCGATAATATTAACAGCAATCGCTGTCATTTATGTCTACCTGAATAAATGGAAAACTCTTCATGGGAGAATCGTCATGATGTTTGTATCGTCGTTGATATTAGAATGCATTTTTCGACAAATAGTCTTCTATTACTACGATGACAGAAAAAACACAACCATGGAATTTTTCATTTTCATCATGATCGCTGCAAGCATTGTGTCAATATTGTTATGGATGAGTGTCATGATTTTTGATATCTGGTTGAATTTCAAGTAAATCAATCATCTTTTTATCGAATGTTTAATTTAATATTTTTTTCAATTTCCAGAAATCTTAATTCTACCACAGACGGAATGGAAAGATTTAAATTCTACTGCGTGTATGTGGTTGGAATAATTTCCATTCAGATTTTTATCATATTTAACTTTTATGTTAGATATTTGAGTAGATGGTTTGAAAACATAATTGGTTTCATAGTTTATGGTTTGTTTTTTATTTATTTGATAACTTTTGTTTTGGATTTAATTTTTTTAATTTGGACTGCCATTAAAATATTTAAAATTTCAACTTCTTCAAACCAAGTTGCGCACTCGAAATATGAAGATGAGAAGAAAAGGTTTGAATTTTAAAAAGATTGGATGAATGGCCAATCGGTAAGCCAAGGTTTTTAAGTGCATACCAATTGGCCATTTGCCTGGAATTGTTATAATTATTATAGCTAATTAATTATTTATCTCTAAATTTAGATTCTGGATGTGTGCTTCAGCGTTTGGAATCACACTCATGATTCCTTTCACAAACTTCTTTTTCCATAGAAATAATGAACTCTCAATTGCAATCTCAAACTGTTACATCGCCTTTGTGTTTTTTGTGATTTTTATTGTAATGGAGAAAAATATTCTTCAAAAACTCCTTCATAAATACAGAATAGTTCATGAAAGAATGACAAATGAATCTTCTACAATTCCTTGAAAGTTCTTTTTCATGATCTAATAATTGTGCCTTAATTTACAAAAATATAGAAATAAAGTGAAATTTAATTAACAATTTTCGTTTCAATTTGAGTTTTTCTCATCATAAAACTTCTTTTTATTTCTTTTTTGATTTCTTATTTTCTCTAAGCAGTTTAAATTCTTTTCTAATCAATTTTGCTTGTTTTTTGTATGTTTTGAATTTTCCAAAGAAATGACGAACCATTTGCCCGCGCCACCAAGCTTGAATCACGAGGATGTTGATTGATTGCAAATTTCTGAGCTTTTCTTCGGCAATTTTTCGTTGCTTCGTTTCTATAAATTCTCGAATTTCTTGCTTTTTACTTTTAAATTTATTATTTTCCTCCTGAATCATTGCTTGAATTTCTTGTTTCTCTTTTAAGACAATTTGAAGTTTAGTTTCGAGAGATGTCATCAGTTTTTCGTACTGCTGATTGATGAAATTGGCTTCCTCAGTCATTTCTTTTATTCGTCGGGTGTAGAATTTACAAGTCATGATATTTGCGTCATCACTTTCGAAGAAGTTTTTAGCTTTATCCAAAATTTCATTCTTCACTTTCATTTCTTCTTGAGATATTTTAAATTCAACTTGACATGATTGTGAATTTATCCATTTTTCAGCGAATTTATATTCAATGTCAAGCTCAATTTCTCGTTGCACTATTAAATGTTTCATTCGATTGATTTCTTCATCCATTTCAATTTCCCGTTCTTTTGCTTCAAGTTTACTTCGATGAAGTTGATGTTTAATTTCTTTCAATTGTTTTTCATCAAATTTTAATTTTTCCATCATTGTGTGGACATTTAAAGTTTCAAAAAATGTGTCATCAACAAAATTCATAAGACAAGAAAATGTTTGACTTGATCTCAATTCACTGACAATTTCATTTAAAATTTTTGTTAATTTCTCACAATTATTGCCCAATTTAATTTTATTCAAAATAGTTTGAAGTTGTTGACAGTGATTCAATGAATTTGAGTTGTTGACAAATTGTAAAGAATTTTCGTATTGCTTTTCTAATTTTGGTGGATCAAATGCCATGCAAGATGTTAGTTGAAGCATTCCAATCAACTCTTCAACATTTTTTGTAATGAATGTCGAGAACTCAAGAGATAATTTCGCTGATAACTCCATGACAGATTATAAAATTATTTTATCATGGTATCTTTGTTAATTCAACTGAGTGCAATCTTCTGGGTGTAGCTAATAAGAACTCTTCAACTTGGCATACACATTTACAAAAAAATTAAACAGAATTCGCTACTGTAAGTAAAGGAATTTGGTTTTAAAAGCGATTTGACTTTTACAACCCTTTTAATAAGAAGCTTAAACCACTTTCTATAAATATTTTTGTTGTTTGAAGAGTTCCATGATTGAGCCATCTTTTAATATCAATTTTTTTCATTGTGCAACTTATTTAAAGTATTTTGGACACTTCAAGTCACAGGTCTATATTTTGTTTTATAGCTGAACTAATCATGACAACTAATAAACCTTTTCTTGCTAACAACTGACATAAACTTACAAATATCCTACTTGTGTGAGACTCTCGTAATATTTTTAATAAAATCTTCGATTTCTTTATTAATACAACTTAGAATGATTGTCTTGCTTTGTATTTTAATCAATAATGGCAGAATGCTGTCTGAGAAATTCTTTACAATTTTTGGTGCAATGTGCATGTGTCATGCATGAAGCTCATATTAAAATATGCATAAAAGGTTTCAAAAAAATATTTACTTTGTATGAGAAACCGAAATTCATTCAATTTTAATCAAAGGATTCAAAAGAGCTAATTGAAGATAACCACAGTAAATATCATCAATATAAAAGGAGAACAAAATTACATTTCACTCAGTTTGTGTTGATAATTTGTGCAGATACCTAACATCAATAAGTCTAATGATGATTTTGGGGTAAATTCGATATTTAATTCTTTAACTAAAGCATTAAAAATGTCTTTTCGCTTTTTGTAAAAGTTTCAAAGTTCTGCTGATCCTAACATCAGTTGCAAACACTCCGATAAATTGTGCAACTTGTCACTTCTATCTGGATGAAGATTTGGGCTATGGTTGCGAAATGTTTGATGTTAATGTCACTGAAAAGAATCAACCTTTTGAAATTTCTCGAGAACATCTTCCTGGTTATTCTGATTGCGACGTCAATTGGCTGAATGTCACCGATTCTGGAATAATGAATTTTATTCCGACTGCCATTTATGGAACGTTCAGAAATATTTTTGATTTAGTGGTTTTTAGTGGAGTTCAATTGAATGAAATTAATCGAGAATCATTTCAATATGGATTCACCAGCACTATAAAGTTAGACAGAAATTTGATCAAGAAAATTCCGTCACGAGCCTTCATTGATTGTTTGTATCTTTTTTATCTAAATTTAAGCAATAATCTCATCGACACTCTTGAAGACTCTGCTTTTTATAGCAACAGATTTCTACGACATTTGATACTTTCCAATAATTTATTGACAACAATACCGGAAACTGCATTCGTTAACTTAAAATCTCTGACACATCTTTATCTTGATAACAACCGACTAGATTATCTACCAGAAAATGTTTTCTCAACGTTAAGAGCTTTGCATGTTCTTAACTTAGATAACAATTTCCTTGCATCAATTCCATTAAGATTACTGAAAGACACATTCATAGATAAACTTTATCTGAACAATAATCAGCTTGAAAGATTAGATTTAGGAGGTGATGTAGATATAGATGGATTTTGGTTACATGAACTATACGTTAATAATAATAGAATTACTACTCTGCAAGAGAGTTTATTCAGAAGAGCTACATGGGTGACAATATTCGAAGCTGGATGGAATAATATCAGCACAATTCATCCAAATGCTTTTAATCAAAACTCTAAAAGTTCAAAACTGGCACACATTGGATTATCGCATAACAATTTGACAGAAATAATTCCTGGGACTTTTCATGGGCTGTTAGATCTTCGCAGGGTGGAGTTAAATTCTAATCGAATTTCAACATTGACTAATGATGACTTCGTCTCATGCCCACCATGCTTTGGACCTGACATTCTCGACCTTTCTGATAATGAACTGAAAATTATTCGTTCGCAATTTTTTGTCAACATGCCTCGTTTAGGGACTTTGAATTTATCATCGAACAAAATATCAGCAATCGATCGACATTCACTTGAAATATTGACAAATATGACAAATTTATTTTTAGCAGATAATTCATGTGCTTCAACAAACTTTAAAGGGATAACAGAAGAAAACATTACTGAAATTAAAGAATCACTAGAGGAATGTTTCAAAAATTATGATGAACTACCACCAAGTGGATCTTTTCTAAATAAATCGTCGTTTGCTTCGTTAAGAATTTCTGCACTTTTGATTTTAATCAACAAGTTAAATTTTATGAATGTATGAAAAATTTTAACGTGCTTGTTGAAGCTTATATTAAAAAAATAAAAAGAATTATGTAATCATATATCTACCTATAACCTAACTGTTAACTAACAGATAGATTATTTACTAGCTAGGTAGTTCTGAAAAAGAAGATTATTTTTAATCAACTTAAATAAAATTTATTAAGTTTCACATTAAATTATGAAATTTTTGTCATTTTATACCTAATTACAGCGATTCTCAAAACAAAGACAGATTTTTTTTCGTAAGGACTGCTAGTTTTGAACAGATTTTAGAATCTAATTAAAAGGATATTGTTTCGGGCATGAAACTTCAAAAAATATTATAGATGAACTGAAATGTGTGCTGAGTACATGTAGCGTATTTTTTCTTGTGTGTCTCTTGTGTACTTTTCTTTTATATTTCAATACCAAACTGCATGTCATTCCTTTTCTATTTACCTAATTTTTAATCTTGATAGTGTGTTCTTTCATTACTTATGTTAACGAAATGAAAAAATTGAATTTCCCGCTCTTTTTTTGTAGAATTAGGTATAATTTAGAACCATACAAAGGTTGAATTGATGTGCAGTAGTTTGACACCCTGATTTTTATATTTTGCAGGCCGTCCATACAAAGTGGCCCAGAAACCTAATTTATTAATTTCTCGCGTTTTCGTTCCAAATATTCCTTACAAATATCTTATTACTAAAGTTTACTACAATGGCCCATTTAAGCACAAGAGATCGTTTGTTAACAATCATTGATGATATTGAAATAATCAGCAAGTAAGAAATTAAATCGAATGTAAACAAACTAACTTTTAGTATTAAAATATGTTAAATATTGTTATAGAGAAATCATCGAGAACCTTATGGCACCTAAACATCAAAAGACAAATGATTACCTCCAGTTAGTAGATTTACTTGTAGTAAAAGATAACGAAATGAAGCAATTGCTGAAACTTGCTGCAGAACAGACAAAAATTGATGAGAAAATAAATTTGTTGAAGGAGCAAGTCAATAAATATGATCAAGAGATCAATCAACTTCAAAAACAACTTAAAGAAGCTGAACAGATATTATCGACCGCAATTTTTCAAGCAAAGCAAAAGCTCGCTAGTATAGCGAAAGCTAAAGAGCGTCCAATCTCTTCAGAAGAGCTCATTAAATATGCTTATCGAATCAGTGCATCGCATGCCGTATCAGCACCAGTAACATGGCAACAAGGAGACCTTCGTCGCCCATATCCAACTGATATAGAGATGCGCTTAGGATTTCTCGGGAAAACTGATCTCAATATCAATGGTCACAGTTTACAAGCACAGACAAATGTTATCGATGCCAATCGCAACACAACTGGTGAAATTCCAGCTTCAGCTCAAAATCAATTTGCTTGGTATCCTTCAGGTGAACTTCATATGATGTCAGGTCATCAGTCAATCTCATTAGAAACAAATCGCTCTCATAAGGATGCATCACAAGACGATGCATCTTCAGACACCTCAAGCTCAAGTTCAAGTGATTCCCAGTAAAACAAAAGTTATTTATCTTACAACTAATTTGTCTCTTTGTTCTTTTTTCTACATATTTCACAATAAAACTACTTTCAAAATTAATTTATTTAACAATTTTTTACGTAATAAATTGGATGGTATGAGAAAATTTTTCCCATGTATCGAAAGAACTTTTTCGGGCCTTTGAATCTCGCATATTTTTTAAATGGTAACACTGAACATGAAAATGAAAGAAGAAACGTGTAAATTTAACATATCATGATATTATTACAATAACTTACGTCAGTTGCAACTGACATTGGCATCACAATGGAAATTATTATATCTACAACAACCTTAATTGAAATAAAATTTGCCCCCGTTTGCTCCACATTTTCGAGCTAGAAAACATGGTTAATTTCAAGTGCAATTTCTACGTGCACATGTCGACGTTGCTCGTTGTGCAATTCACTGCAATTTTCTGCATTGTGCCGATGGAATTCAATAAAACCTTTAGGCAAGCAGACAAATCCATGTCCATGTGGCAAGTTGTTAAACATTTGTGCTTAAGTTAATAAGAAAAAAAGACACTTAAAGATATGAACGTGCACGAAATTTTATTAATCTGCGTTTTGCTCTTGGATATGTTGATAAAAAAATAAATAAATAAAAAATAGTAATAAATTATTTTCTGCATATTTTTCCAATTTATTTACATGTTCTTATTGACTTACAATTGGGCTTGTGATTTTTATTTTTCATGTTTTATACACTTGGTCAGGGACGTAATTTTACAAATCTGCTTATCAGGAATCACTAAGTAAGGTGCGTAGGTGGATGTTGTTGTAAGTATCTACATTTTATTAATTGACGAAACTAGCATGACTATTTCATATGTTCAGCATTTGAGAAAATTACATCTCTGATCAAAGCACCTTGTTTTTGTCTCTTACAAACTAAACTTATAATTATAATGAATTTTTGATATATTATTTTTACAGTGAAAGTTAAACTTTTGAACTTTAAAAGAAAATTATGTCGATTTTATTTTCCTGAATGTATCTTCGCATGATAGCAATTCAACTTGTTTCTCTTTTCTTTTTTGGCGAATCTTAACAAGAAAGATTTAAATATTATCATACGATTCATGCTTTTAACTTCGAGAACCTTCACTGCAAAGCTTCTCAAAATGTCACAGATTTTGGCAATAACTGCATTTACACATTATTTACAATAATGAACATTTAAGTTGTCACTTAACGTGTTATTAATTAATATAATTGAAATCGCTTCATTCAATAAACTCACATAGCACTTCAAAGAAAATGTAAATGATCTTGTCCAATAAAATAAAATAATTTAATTATTTGCAAGGTAAAGTCGAACAAAAGTCGAGGAAGAAGGAGGGAGAGAGACAATTGTAGAAGGCGGTCATTGAAGTTTGGAGCACAGAAAAGGGCAAAATAAATCTAAACGATTTTAATTATTTATATTAGAACAGCAATGGTTTTTTGGGGCGGGTTCATAAGATCAGCTTCTTAAAAGTAGCTTCTTCCAAAGCCACTGTTAAAATCTGTGAATGAAAAGAGAAAATTGTGCACAAAAGGTTGTGCATTGCATAAGTTTCATTTTTCAAATGTTAAAAATCATGGTGCATGCAGTAAGTTTACGCTTCGTGCAGAACTAAAAGTTGTCATGTGAATAATGTGAGAAGAAATGTGATAGTGAAGGAAGTTTAACTTCTATGACTTTTAGACTTCAAACTGTTCATCGAAATTTACATGAAAAATTTATTTACAAGTCCTCAAATCTTAAATCAAAAGAGTGATAAATATGAATGATTGCGCCTCTATTTTCCAATGATCATCTAATTTCGTGCTTTTAAAAAAGAACAGAAGAAAGAAAATTTATGTGTAGTTAAAGCTTTCGATACCATCAACCAATTGAGCTTATCGACTAGGCAATAATTTCGAAATATGATGTGCAAGTGATGAAACTTCAATTCTTACTTTGTGGGCCAGGTGGAACGAAGCCAAAACCTGATGCTCCAATCACGACCCCTGAACTCTCAACAGGTGCATCAGAAGGTGACATTGGAAATACTACTGGACCTGTTTTTGTAAAAAAAAAACGATAGTTTAATGATGTGTTCAATTATGGGTTGAAGTCTTCCACCACAATGATTAATGAGTTAATTCACAAGTGACGTCTAAGAGCTTTTAAGTTATTTTGACGTCACACGCGAATAAAAAAAACATGAACAAAAATGCTTGAATGAAACTGAATGACCGTGATAATGAAACAAGTCTTGCTTTGTTGTAATTTTTTATAGTTAGACGTTCAAATATGTTTTAAAAGTTCTTTGAAGTTATAACTCTGAACATGTGTCGGTATGTAGATAATTAAATATTCTTCATTAATATTTCAATTCTAATTTCGACAAGTCGTCGCTTATCTCTTGAAACTTGACACTAAAAATGTTAAACGATTTTAAATGAACACTTTCGATTTCATCGATCACTAACGTATGATTATTATTAATTCAGATGCAGTTTAACAACTTTAACAGAATAACTTTATTCGCTTGCATTCATTTGAATAGTCTGAAGCAATTTCAAGAGTCATTGGAAGTGTGAAGTTTTATTTTGGTTTCGTTTATAATTTCATAATTATTTAGCTTATGAATGTTTATGTTTAGCGTGGTCAGACATGCTTCTCTTGACTTTACTGTTTAGCATGGGCTATTAACCTAATATTAATATAATTACTGTGTAATAAATCGTTTTCAACTGCATCGAACTCTCGAACTCATTTCCACAACCGCATAACAAAAATCGACATTATGGTAATAATTAAATTATAAAAGCTCAATATGAAGCTTTAAATTAAACAACAAACTACCTAACGGTAAATTGAAATTTTCACAGATAGGAAAAAAACTCGTGCGTTGTGGAAGGTCAAGTACAATAGCGAAAAATCATTTTTCTTGCAGCATTAATTAATTTCTTTCATAATAAATTAAAATTGTTAACAATTGTGCTTGAAAAATTGAAAGTTGCATGTGAGAAAAGAAAATATTTTGGATTTAACAAACGAACGAACAATTTTGGCATCAAAAACATGTGGTTAGTGCTTTTAGTGTCAAATGAAATGAGTCAAATGGTGCAATATTAACCTTGGTTACCTCGATTCTGTCTATTGTCTCTCGTAAGAGGTGCACTAAAAGGTTCTGAACCAAAAGCTGATGGTCCACCTAAGAAATCAAAATCATTCAACAATCGAAGAATATTCGAAAAGAAGCTGAAAAGAAAAGTTTTTCTAACCGAAATCACCACTGAAGCCACTGTAGCCATCTCCGAATCCTCCAAATCCACCAAAAGGTTGTGCGAGGGCCATGACGACAAGCACGACGAATGACGAAAGCGTAAGTAACTGAAAGTGGATGTAAATATTTATTTAATTTGTTATTTGAAACCCGTACGTATAATTTCACGAATTATTTAACTTATTAAAAAAATAAAGAAGTTGATAATCTTAGATGAAACTTTGAAGAATTCGACATTTTGATTTCATTCGAGCTTGAATTTCTTTCAAAGATCATCAAGATTTTCACCAACTTTACTCAGCTCTGATAAGTGTAAATATCAAAAACAATTGTTGTGCGTTCACTTTTCCACTTTTCATATCTAATTTATGATAAAATTTTTGTTTCTTTTATGATATTCAATTTTACACGCTGATGCTTTTGATATAAAATTTATTATTAAAGATTCAGTAGCAATGAGCGTTTGAAAGTTCATTTTAAATCAAGAAAAGTGGTTTAAGTAAATAGAAAGATATTTATGGCTGAATTCAACTACAAAGTTATCTTTGAAGCTGTCGTTACATGGCGAAATTTCAAACAAAACTTTTGCTTTTCAAATTAACAACATGAAAAATGAATCCAATGCATCTTAATTAACAAGATTAAAATGCTAAGTAACTGCGAGAAGAATGAATGAACTGTGCAGAAATAACACGTGTTAGCAGCATCGCCCATGGAGTGATCAATTTCGCATAGAGTTCGAACTTATGCGATTAATCTTCTATTAATTCAAATTATAAACTCACGATTTTCATCCATGAGAATTTGATGTGAGACGTTTTAACCTAAATAAGCTTGGACTTGAAGAAAATATTGAAAATGAAATCTGATACCGTCAATTGCTTCAATACTTAAGAAATACTTTGCTGACTCAGCAAATTTCAAGAGCTTAAGATTCACCATCAATAGGATTTCAATCATTAATTTCATTTTATTTATAATTTTTCTTGAGTGGTTTATGCTTTGCTAATTAATTAAGAGGTCATCAACAGATGGGGTTAAGAAACCGCCACATAATTTTCATACTTGTTAAGCTTTAACATTTCATAATCAAAATATGCACATGCCAGATGTTGGAGTTGGCAGTTCTTGGAATAATGCAAAACCTCAGTTTTCACATATGCATTTAACACAATTGAAGCAGACAACTTAAAGCTCCATAAACTTGACATTTTTAATTGACACAGAAAATGAAATTGAAGTCAATAACAAGTGGATGTAAAATTGCATTTAAACCTTAAACTGCCGAAGCAGAAAATTTAAACGGAAACTGAATATAAATTTACTTTCAATCAACCAATTAACTATTAAAATACAAAATTAAAGTTTCAAAAAATGATTTAAGGTAGGTGATAAAATAAAATTTAAAGATTTCTTTGCCTTTTTCACTTTTTATTTAAACATCTGGTAATCCTACACTTGATTTAAGAATAAATAATTTACCAACAAATATCTTTAAAGAACTGTTACGAAAGACATAATACAAGCCATTCAAATCGATGTACTGAATTTCAAACGATCGGCCTTGACTTTCATTTTCTTCTTTTCCGAACAAGCCGCACGTTTTATTGTTGCTTACATAATTGCAAACAAGTTTGTTTGATTCTTTAAAACTAGAGGTGAACGAATTACAGTTAGCTTTAATGGGAATATGTTTGCTACTGTCGGTGGATTTATTGTTTGTTAATTGACAACTTTTATGTCTTTTGTGTATTTATTAGCAGCAGCAATTCTTACTGAGACGGTTCATCAATCTTTGCTTGTTGCTTGAAATTGTTATCGATACAACAAACAAACCAATTCATGTTTAATGTGACAGGTTTTCTTAAAAAGTAGGAAAGAAATAAATTAAAATTAACATTCTAGTCTTGTTTCATCAACGACTTTACAAGTTGATTGTCTTCCTGTTCTGATACATGGTACATTCAATCATTCGCGAAATGAAGGCGATGCTTGAAAAGTTGCCACAGTTCATTGAACATTGCAATGCATAGACAACTTGCATTTCTCACATCGTTTTCAGTTTCAGTAATTTCAATTACATAAAGATAGAAAACGTGAAGGAAGGAAGAAACATTAAGATTAATGACTTCTCAGAATAAAATTGTATTGAGCTAGAACTTTGACTTCTCTTCGTACCATTGTGAAGATTTTAAGTGTTTATTCAACATTCACATCCTGTTTGAATTATCCACATGAATACAACATTTAATTATTGACAAATGATCTGATTTATTCGCTAATTATTCAACTATTTAAGCAAGTATGGATGCAATCTTTAAATGTCAAAGGAATTTTTAAATCTTGTATTTGCTTTTTCTGTGCAATGTCTGATTATGAAAACTTTCAACTCTTTGAAATCTGAAATTGCATCAACTTATGTGTGTCACATATTTTCTTGCTTCATCAGACGCGCAAATCTCTCGTTTGAATGGAATCATGAATTATTTATCAATTTCCTACTAGACGCATGTAACATGTCGAGGAAGAATGAATTCTTGAAACGAAATCGAATTTTCAATGTCAAGTGAAGTTAATTGAGTTATTAAAATTTTTATTGTTTATCTTGTAAATTATAAATTTCCTGTTAGAAACTCATTATCGCACGAACTTGAAATCTTAATATGGAGCACATGTGATCTTAAATATGCCACTTGATGCTATATGTTTGCTAATTCAAACATGCTTGAATTCAATTGAAATCAAACGTCGAATTCTAAACGATTCATAGAACTTTCAACTTCCTGAATTTTAAATAATTCTCATCTTATTTATCTGAATTAAATTAATTAAATATTGACATTTTATTTCTTTGTTAACGAAATTAACCATTTAAATAGATTGAGAAATAAAAAGTGATAAACTTTAATTTGAAATCAGTAAACTTCAAAAAGAAATGCAAAAATATTTTTCCTAATTAAACTATGAGAAAATCTAAATTGCCAAAACTAAATATCACTGAATAATCTCAAATTAAACTTTCTCTCTTCTTCAGATAAGTAAAAACTTACAAATTTCATGTTTTCACTAAAAGTTCACTTTAACTTAATTTACACTTAAATTAACTTTTCTTCTGTTACGGTTTAAGGAACTGCGAAGCGCAAATAAATAAAATTTTTGTGTTTTCACGTTGAGAAGCTTTAATGGAATGATTTAAATGACTTTATTGTACGTTGATTTTATACAGAAAGGGGGAGAAGCTTCGCTTGTTTCCTTGCTCAAAGCGAGCGAGTCAACTTGAGTTTGAGTATCTAAAGATTCCAAGTTTTTATATTTTATTTTTTGCAACCACACAGATATAAAATATTTTCATTTGGAACTCACGTAGACCACATTGATATTGAGAACTTTAACAGAATATCTACAATTAATTTGCAATGAAATGCAAGTCTCCTTTTGAACAGAGATGAAGTGGAAAAGCTTAAGAGAGTCTCAACTGTAAGCACGAGAAACTTCTCCCAAGCTTGCTTTTTATATTTCTTGAACAGCAACTTGCGAGAGAGAGTCTTCGTGTTGTGTGGGGTGGTGAAAAGAAAAACCTTCTGTGAATAAAGCCGGCCAAACCTTGAAAACCGACTGTAATTGAAATGCTTTTAATATGCTGCCTTTTTTCTTACTCTCGGGTCAACATGTATCGGCATGCAAAAAGGCGAACTTGTGAGCGCTGCTAAGAACCAGTCGTAGTGCATTAAATAGCTAGAAAATTTCAATTTTGTACGATTTTGTTGTCTTACGATTCGTTAATTCTACCTCGATGGGATTACGATAATTTGTTTCAAGAGTTTTCGAGCTACGCTAAAGCTCGTGTACAATATTATATGGCGCGAGAAAACCTATTAAACATTATGCAATCATTGTTTAAATGAATTTAACTGTTTTTAAAGCGCAGGTCATGTTTCTATGATGAATCATATGGTCGATAAATAAATTTATTTATTAACATTTTTATTTCGATCAAAACTGCTTTAATGTTGTGTTGGTGAGAAAATATTTAAAATATTTTATGTTCTTTGTTTGCAGCAAGGAAATGTTGAAGGAAAAGAAAATCACATTGAAATGCGAATGTGATCACGAAAAAAATCGAAAAGTTTATGAAATTTGATTGTTGATAAAAAATAACAAAATTGTTCCGTTTTTTACGATGTATTTAAGGCAGGTTAGTAAATAAATCAAGTTTCTGTTGATTAAATCCATCACTCATTCTTTAATCTTAGAATTATTTAAGTAGCACAGCACGTGCTGTGTTGAATGTAACGTAAAAAATTTATATTCAACTCTGATCTAGTCTGAATCCAACAAAGGCCATCACTGACAATCAGGACAAGACGCTTAATGTCATACATGTCATCGAAGTCAATCAAAATGACGGCATAGACAAATTTGCTTCCTCTGCGGTCAGTGCGTTAAACGATTGCGTTGCATTTCCTTATTACCTGGTTTAGATTTTTTTTATTTTCGCAACCTCATACTTGGAGACACTGACCACAAAATTCTGTGGTAGTAATTTTTTTACAACCTCTAGCTTGCCTTGAAGAAAAAAATATTAATAACTGTAGTTCAACAGCATGATGTGTGTGCGACCGATGTATTAATTTGCATAAATTTTGATACTGAAGAATGGCTTCGACATCAATAAGATTTTTAAAGTTTCAGCTTTGTTCTTTCTTTGTTTGAAATTGTTACGTGCTTGTTGCTTCATAAGCTATGAACTTGCCTCGTTGACTCTTACGACGGCTTACATAATTTTAATGTCATTATCATCATCATGAAAGTTATATTGAAATTATCATTTTAATGACACGTCAATAATATTTATGTGAGAGTAAGCAGTGCGAGAACCCGCATTTCACTTTCCCTCTCAAGTAAGTCTTGATCGTTGAATTGTTAACTCAACCTTGAAATACTTTGCAATCGCGACAATAAACACAGTGTGAAGCTCACGTGCACATTTTTTTTAAGTGGAGGCGTTTCCTTCTGGTTCAGCGAAAGTCATGAACTTGATTCTTTCCGGACCTAGACGGCAATTTTTTTGTTGTTTTGATCATGTTTTGATTCGTGAAGGATTTGCAAGAGTTTCCGCAACATGGTTCATCGAACTGACTTGTTGTGAGAATAACTCAATTTAAGCTCGATCGTAATAGTTTTCGTGCTTAATCAACGGTGATGGCTCAAACAAAATTCGTGAGTTTCATTGACATTCAATTAACGGCGACTGTTTTTCGGTTATTGTTTCAGTTGCTGGTTCAAGGCCGTGATTGTTGAATTTAATAAATGTTTTTTGCTTCCACGTCTTTATTGGTACGCAAAATTGTATTTCGTAATCGAGACTTGCTTTTGATCATGAAGTTGAATAATTTTAGACCCGATTGTTGCTTGCATTTATGTACAATTTATGTTGATAAAGACAATAAATCATAATCGAAATTTTAAGAATTTATGATTCAAATTGTGCTCGTTTCTGTTTGAAATTTTCGTAAAACTTTTAATAAATGCTGTGCAGTGATCAACAGTGACGATGATAAATTGTAAATCGTTTAAGTTTCTTACAACAAATGTTTAAGATTATCTGGTTTTGTGAATTAATAATTTTTCTTATATGTATTTAAAACAGAATCAACTGCAAATATTCTTTAGATAATTTTATTGTTTAGCAAACGATGATTTCAAATCAATTAAGAAAGAATAATTTCTAATAATTTTAATTGGAAAATAAAACACTTCAAACAAAATTAAAAGGAGAATTGTTTATATTCGGTCTAATTAGTTCCCTTTAGGATCAGGATTGCTGCCAGGCTCGCTTGGAGGTTGAGTGCCATCTGCACCAGGTTCCCCTGTTTGATCCATCATTTGTTGTCGTATTTGAGCGAAAAGTTCTGGATTTTCACTGCTCATTTGCATTGCAAGTTGTCGTCCAGTCTCAAGAAGTGCATCAACATTATTCATTCCACTAAGCTGTCCAAGCATGTTCTGGATCGAAGGATCAGTCATCATACGAGTTGCCATGTTGACTAAAGCAGGATTATTTAATGCAGCAGCAAAATCTATCCCACCAGCAGCACCACCTAAGCCTCCTAATCCAGCTCCTAAATTGCCGAGATTCGGAACCGAACCTGATTGTTGTTGTTCTTCCAAACGTTGTTGAGTGACTTCCATGTTGTTCTTATAATCCTGATTGTCAGGCTCTATGCGAATCGCGTTCTTATATGCATCAATTGCTTCTTGATGCCGATTCATTTTTGAGTAAGCAAGACCAAGACGTCCAAAAGCTTTAAATTAAAATTTGTTTCATTAACTGTAACTTCAAAAACTTTCATTTCTTACCTTTTCCATAATTAGGATCATAACGAATTGCCTGGTTGCAATCGTCAACTGCTTTTTGATATTCACCGATTCTTGAATATGCAGCAGCACGGTTACAATAAAAGACTGGATTCGTCGCATCTAATCCAATTGCTCTGAAATGTTAAAATGAATTCATAAACTTCGAACAATGTTTTCTTATTTTTTATTTACCGTCCATAAGCGTTTAATGCTTCTTGATATTTTTCCTCTTTCATGAGACGATTCCCATCATTTTTCAACTGTTCCGCTTCAGATTTTCGTTCAGGATTGACTGTGACGTAAGTGTTAATAAAGAGTTCAAATAAGTCAACATTATTCAAGGGATTGCTGTTTGTTGATTCATCTTGGTTGAGTTCAAAACATGACTCAAGGCATTGTACTGCAACTTCCAAGCTTTCTGCCTGTTCGGCTGACTTTTCCTATAGAAAACATTGTCATAATAACATAGTATAAAATTAAAATTTTATAAATGAAGAATTAATATTGAACCTGAATTTGTTTGTTTAAAAACTTGATAAATCCTCGCACAAAGTATTTCTCGATGTTGCTCATTATGCTCTAAATAATTGATAATGTGAATAATATTACTTTAGACTTTAGAAACTGCAATAGACAATTTTGGAATTTCAAGACTTTTCGAAAATGAATCGACTGAAGTCGTGTTTTTATGAGAGAAAATGTAAACAGTGAATGTTCTCTATGAGTTAACTTTACTGCTTTCTGAACAAACACGACACTTTGATAAATAATTTGTGCCGGTTTCTAATTGTCAATATTGAATCAGATGTTACAATGTAAAATATAATACCATTAATCAGGAAAATGGTTTTGCTATGTACAAATTGGCTTTCTTTTATATAATGTTAAACACAATTTCCCACCATTACTGTACTCCGCAGTGCATTCAGTAAAAATACTTTCAATATTTTCACTCTTACAAACTTGAAAAAAATTTAAACTAAAATTCTAGCATAAATTCATGCCATTATTCATATTATAAAACAAAGATCATTAATTATTAAAATAATTTAACATTTTCAATGGTCAGTTGTTGCAGTCATTAAAAAATATCAATTCATTCTGGAAATTGAATTTTCGAAATTATATTCAGCAGATTTTTTGGTTCAGCAGTTCTTAGTCACCCAGTTGTTATATTCAGCAAAACATTGGGCGTTCTTAAAATATTTCAAAAAAGAAAAAGTTAAAAATAAGGTTTTTACCTTAGTTTAAAGGTATTTATTTTGCGTTATCAACATTATTTAGCAGAAGATCTCAGCATATATCGTAAAGGTTACCGATTCTAACCATGGTAAATATGAAATATTTCGATAAAAAAATGATGAAAAAGTTTCACCTTCAAAATTTGTATTCAGAGCAACAACAAAGATTCGGACTCGGATTGGGAATCTACATCTGGAAGTGAACATTCTTCACCTTCTAAGCGCCAAAAAACGGATAAAGGTGAATATGGCATGACATTTCCATTGTTTAGTTCGTCAAGTCGCCTTTCCTCATTTCTTAATCAATTTTCTGCTCATTTTTGTGGTTTTTCTTCTGCTTTACTAACCAGTTACAATCATCTAGATTTATCTTCTAAGATTTCAGTAGTAGTAATGTTTGATTCACCTCAAAGTGTAAGTTTGGATTTGCTTATCCATTTTCCATCTATATCTATGATGGGTTTGTTATCCCATTACATATATTAAAGTACTTGTTTGTCCTTAAGTTAATAATTTTCTACTAATGGCGACATTAGTTTGAATGTTGATAACTCAGCCTGTAAAGGGAAATATTTCCCTTGGTATCTTGAGCAAGGGTTTCACTGCCAAGTCACTCCTTTACTCATATATTCCTCTCCTCCCTCCATTATTAAATGTTATCGATCTCTCTCGGGTGAAAGGTGCGACGAATGATATAAAATTACCATCAATTCATCAGGCTTCGACAACCTTTAATTAAATAATCTTTTTTTTGTGTTTTTTTTTTCTTTTTTTAATTTAAGAAGTTTCTTTCTCTGATCAATACAAAAAAAAGTTAAAACTTGTGTAAAATGCGTTTACAAAAATAAAAATGAAATGATTTTAAGGTGAAAATCAATCATACGAACAGGGTAGTCGACAATGGATTGAGGATGACCGTTCAATAGTCATTGGTAGAGTTGAAACTGTTTATTTAGTCTTCTCCTACAGCCCTATGAAGCCAAGTATGCGAAGCATCACAGCAAATATCACATGAGCCAAAAAGCGAATCTCTTAAAAATTCTTTCTAACGTCAATCACACACACAGACATACATGCTCAAATCGAATCTTATGCTTTTCTCGACCTTTTTCCGAGACGAAAGATAAAAAAATATCAAATGAAAGAAAAACGGGTGCTATGAAATTTTACATATTTTAATTGCCAATCAAAACCAAATTTTTTTACCACATTCATTCATCAATTTTTTTTTTCTATTTTAAACTTTGTGTGTTTACTGTTTCTAATTCATCAGCTGTTAAACGTGCGCACAGCAAGACGATCTCCACACCGATAAAAGACGAAGTCCTGATGGCCATCAATCACTGACAAAGCCAACCAGCTGCAAAAGCACGAATTTTTTTTTGTTTTTCTTTTTTCTTTTTTCATTCTCTCGCAAATGAACCAGCAGAAAACAAATTCGATTTCTTCTTCTATTTTCCAGAGCTGTTGTATCGTGGGGTTGGAAAAGTGAATCTTGACCTTTATGAAGCTGGAGCTTCGTTAATTAATTAATTAATGAAGATGATTGAGAAGTTATTCAAACTTTTTTTCAATTGTTTTTTATTCTTTAGAAATCAATTTCTTTCTTTTCTCAAATAAGGTTTGGTTGGCTTCTTAATCACTTTTAAATGACATCTCGTTCAACGAAGCTTTGGCTATTCGTCATAAACGCGAAAAAAATTTAAAAGAACAAAATCTTTAAAAACACATTTTGACATCTTTTCGATATCACAAGCTCGGAATCTGTGACGCTTTTATTTATCTTGACCTCCCCCAACCAGCAACCTGATCAAGAAAAAAACAATTCTAATCGTATATCGAGCCATAAAAAAACAATTTAATTTTTTTGTTTTGTTTTTGTTTTCTTTTTTTTTTCTTTCCAGGGCTGAAAAGAATTGTTTTTCTTTCTTTCTCTCTCTCTCTCTCTCTATTTTAAATATTTTTCCGATCAAAACACAAAAAAAAACCATTTTGACGAAGTGAGATGAGAAAGTTGCGCAAAACTGTCATGACAATATTTTCCAGAGATAAAAATTTACTCCCACGCATGACTCTTCAACCAAATTCATTTAAAGTTAATAAGAAATTGAGTCGAAAGTGAGTTACATGCAACTTAAAAATCTCACTTGTCAATATATTTGAAAAACACTCATGTTGATGCAAATTGTTTTAAAAAATCTTTTCTGAATGATGAAAGTGAAGTCGAGTTCAAGAATTTTTCTAATTAAATTTTTAAAATATTTTAGGTACTCCACCACCTTACAAGAAGGTCGACTTTATAACAGAGCCAATTTATGTAATGAAACAAACTGGTGACATTGCTTTTGGACCTGGAACGAGATCAGCAGTTTTGGGCATTTTTGGCGGAACTTTACCGAAACTTACTCCCGAACAAACTGACACTGTGACAAAGGCAAAGAAGTATGCGATGGAGCAGAGCATACGGATGGTGTTGATGAAACAAACTTTAGCACAACAACAGCAACAGTTGGCAAGTCAAAGAACTCAAGTTCAGCGACAACAAGCTTTAGCTTTGATGTGCAGGTGAGAAATTTTCTTCAATTCTTTTCTTTTTCTATTCAGTTTAAAATGATGAAATAAAAAAGGCGAAGTTGATAGTTGTTGAGTCCAAGAAGTTTGAACTTCATGATGAATTCCAATCGAATGAGAAGAAACAAACGAGCTGATAAGATCTGATCTTTAACGATTTAAAAGATTTATTTAATTTCTTTAGTTTGAAATCATAATTTAAATGTTAATTTCAGAGTTTATGTTGGAAGCATCTCATTTGAGTTGAAGGAAGATACAATTCGAGCAGCATTTCTTCCTTTTGGGCCAATCAAATCGATCAACATGTCATGGGATCCAGTGACACAGAAGCACAAAGGATTCGCTTTTGTTGAGTACGAAATTCCTGAAGGAGCTCAACTTGCTTTGGAACAAATGAATGGTGCAATGCTGGGTGGCAGAAATATTAAAGTTGGACGTCCATCAAACATGCCACAAGCTGTAAGTGAATTAAATTACCAACAATATGTCTTACAATTTACTTTTTTATTCAGCAACAAGTTATTGATGAGATTCAAGAAGAAGCGAAGAACTTTAATCGAATTTACATCGCATCGATTCATCCTGAACTAACTGAAGAAGACATCAAAAGTGTTTTTGAAGCATTTGGTGTGATTGTCTTTTGTAAACTCGCACCCGGATCATCACCAGCAAGTCATAAGGGTTACGGCTTCATTGAATACAGTACGAATCAAGCAGCACTCGAATCTATCGCCAGTATGAATCTTTTTGATCTTGGTGGTCAATTGTTACGTGTTGGACGTGCCATTACACCGCCAAATGCTTTAATCAGTCCTGTTGTCAGCATGGCAATGCCAACAGCAGCAGCAGTTGCTGTAAGTTTCATTCTCTATCTGAAAGTTTTAAAATTTAACCAACTTTTTTATTATTCAAAGGCTGCTGCTGCAACCGCAAAGATTCAAGCAATGGACGCAATTCAAGCAAACGTTCTTGGAGCGGCTGTACCTTCATTGGGTATTAAAACTCTCAATAATCCAGCATCTGTATCGAATGTTATTCCTCCAATTACATCGATTCCACCTCTCACAGGGATACAAACAATCGTTCCTAATCAACCTCTAACAACAACTTCCGTTACATCAACAACCTCCAATGTGACTGTTGACACTCAAAATTCACATTTATCAGCGGCTGAAGCACTTGTGAAGCAGAAACAAGAAGAATTACAGAAGAAGTTAATGGAGGAGGGAGAGCCAACACTTCAACAACAGGAATCTATGTCGATAAAAGGCCAAAACGTAAGAAATTGTTTTAATTCATTTCCTTGCACATAAATATTTTAATTCCATTCATTTAGGCACGTCATCTTGTGATGCAACGATTAATGAGGCCTCGCGACAGTAAAGTTGTAATTCTTAGGAATATGGTTGGACCCGAAGAAGTTGATGATGCATTACAAGAAGAAATTCAAGATGAATGCAGTAAGTTTGGAGCTGTTGAGAAAGTGATTATATATAAAGAGAAGCAAACTGACAATGATGGTGATGACTTTGATGATGTCATTGTTAAGATTTTCGTTGAATTTTCAAAGACAAGTGGTGAGTTCTTTATTCATCTTTCTATTTACTGCGAGACTTAATTTTAATGTTTTCCTTTTTTATTATTGCAGAGGCTGAAAAAGCAATTGCAGCATTAAATGGACGATATTTCGGGGGAAATCTGGTGAAAGCTGAGAGCTACGAACAGTCACTTTTTGACCATAATGATTTTTCTGGTTGAGATTAAATCCTGAGCTCAAAAAGGTTTCCTGTTTCACTCGAGATTAAACAAGAAAAATTATTTTTCTTTTTTGTGTCCAATATTTCTTAATGCTCCCAAGAAAATCTTGTTTCAGTTCATAACTTTAAGGAGTCTTAAACAAAAAATCTTAAAATATCTCACTAGCACTAATAAAAAGCTAATTTAATAAATGAAGACGATTTAAATCAAACTGCAAAAAAATTAATATTTTAATTCCTTTTATTTCAGTTATTATTGCGTAACGGTTGTAAAAAATTTAAAGTTATTTCCTATAAAAGCGTCTCTGAATCAAACAACTTCAATTCCTTAGCAACTTTTTCCCATCAAAATCGCGCCAATATTTTCTATAAACACAAACATTAAATAATCTTTTTTAATTCGTAGCTTAATTCGGTTGAAATGACAGAGGTTTGTTTATGAAATAATAAATTAACGTGCTTATTAAAGATTTTGTCTTGTAGTATCATCATCAAAGTTGGGAGGATATGCTAGAATCTTCAAATTCTGCAGACGATTCAAAGGTACATACCTAAATAGAAATTTTAATAATAATTTAAAATAACCAAAACTCAACTAATATCTAGCCTAAAGTTACACCAGATATAACAATCGAAGACTTTGACGGAAACACTTCAGAAAATTCGTCATCCCGTGTGATTGAAATTAAATTTAATGATAGTAAGAACGAACTAAAATTTGACAAGCTTGTTACTGAAAAGAAGATCAAATCACCTTTCAAGCGTCATCTCTCTAATGATAAATTGTCCGAGAACAACAATCACGAGAATCCAGTTGAGAAAAAAACTAAAATGGAAGATAATGAAAGTCCAAAAAAGCGATTTCGACTTGATAGTATGGAAAGTTCTTCAACTGGTTCATCTTGTTATCAAAATCGTGAAGAGGAAACAGATCGTGCCGTTTTAGAGAGACGACAGAAACAAATTGATTATGGGAAGAATACTGTCGGCTATGACAATTACATAATGCAGATTCCAAAGTGAGTAGAAAGTTGTAACAATTTAAAATTAATTAAACAAGTTAAAAACTATTCAAAGAAATCAACGTGCTGCTGGTCATCCTAAGACTCCTCCAAAACATTTGAAATACAGCCGAAGAGCTTGGGAAGGACTCATAAAATCCTGGCGTAAGAAACTTCATGCTTTTGATCCTGAGTGTGAAAGCAATAAAATCAATCGTAACGTGAATGGTTTAGACAGCGAAGATGATTGATGAAAGTTTATAGCTCGAACTCAATAACATTCATCAGTTCATAAACATATCTTTGTTTTTTCATGTCATTTTATCTTTCATATCTACAGTAAGTCGAAATGTTAATAACTCTCATTTAAAAATAAAAATATAAGAAAAAGAATATTTTGAAGCTATTGTTAGCTTTTTGTTAACGTGGGCGACAGAATCTCACCTCGAGGTCTTTACCGTTCTCATTTTTAACATTTCAAATCCCACACATTCCATTTTGTTTTATAATCATATTGATATTGCCATTTCACTGAAGGATACTTACAACTAGCAATAAATGACCTAGTTTAGTAAATGTTTCGTTGTCTCGTGTTGTTCTTGAGCTTGGGAAGAAACGTTATACAATTCGTCGTGACCCAATTTAAAGCAATGAAAGCGATTGGGTCGTGAGTAGAGGATGCATGAAGAAAAAACTCTTTTCTGATGTCTTTTTCTTTTAAAGTGCTGACCCACATTACAACATGTTACCAATCTTTCTTTCTTTCTTTTGGCCATGGTCTTGACTTTTAAATTTTTTATTTTCTTTTACTTCTCATGTTTTGACTTTCAAAGCTTTTTTTTCTTTTCTTTTCTACTTTATTTAAACTTCAATGTTGTGAATGACATTTGTGTTAGGTTGACGGTTATGTTATTAGGTGTTAATGTGACTAACAGCTACAAGTTTCTTTCGATGATGAAATGAAAGAATGACATTAGAAAGACATTTTATTAAATCAACTTTCTCTGAGTTACTTACTTAAGATTGACGGTGAGAATTGAAGATTGCAAAGAGAATGTGCGATGAGAAATAAAACACGGAAGTGACCTTTGAAGTATTTTTTGGTTTATTAATAATGTACCGACATTGATTAGAAGTAATTATAATTCATTAGTTTTGCTGTCCTGAATTTTAAATTTGTTTCTTCAATTTTGATTGAACTTAATATGTGCCTAAATTTGAAAGAAAATGCGTGAGAAATGTCAATGCAACTTCTTTTATTCTGAATTCATTAAGAATTTGTTTCAAGAAATGTCCAAGACATAATGCAATGAAATAAATTTCGTTTTATTTTTATCATTCTTAGCTGTAATTTATTAATAATCACTTCTAATCACTCATTTAATTGAGAATTGTAATTGAAATATCTTCTTTCATTCAATTGCAATAAATTAATCATTCGTTTCTATTCAACCGCATAATGAATAAAATAAAACTTTCGAATTATTCTACATCTGCGTCAAACGCGCTCACGTTCCACTGCTTAACGTCGTTTTCAATCTATTATGTATTGAGTACATAAAAGAGAATTTCACGTGGACACTTTACATTCGCATTTTGATTTTGACATTGATTTCATGCGCCTTGCGACGACGAGAACGGAATCGTTTTGTTATGTAATTTTATAATTGAATACGAAGTAACGGTAAAGAAACATTTTCATTCCAAGCGCAATCAACATACAGTGAAAGTCATTTAGTTGAGCGAATACGAAGCGACGATTTAATAACAAAAGTAAAGTAGGTAATCGCTTCTTTCTTTTCACCTTGTTGTTGAATGCCAATAAAAAGCTCTCGAAAAAAAAAGCGGCCGTGGCATTATGAAGGCCAAAAGTATGTCAAATGTATACACAACATGTGAAAGTTGTTCGCATAATTTTCTCTTCTCTGATTCTTTGACTTCTTTTGTGCTTAATGCTTTTAAAGTTCGTCTCTTGTTATCCACTTCCATTCCTTTCGGCAATACTTTCAGTTTTGTAACACTTTCTGTTAATGGTTGTTTCAAGTATGAAGTTAATCTTTTCATCTGATTATGTTGACTCGTAATTATTGTGATTTGATAACTTTCATCATAAAACTTGTTGCGTGTCCATTTACAGACGACACAGAAATTTTCTTATGTGTAACTTAAATTTTTCATTTTCAATGTCCCAGAAACATGAAAATGCAAAACTCAAAAGCATAAATTTATGCTATGTAGTATGTGTTGACTATTTATAAATTATAAATACATTTATTTGCGTTTCTACTGTCGCATTTTTTATTTCTGCAATGCAATCGAAACTGTCATCATTTTGAGATTAAAATTAACAGGAGTAAGCGATGTTCCAGATCGATTACACGATTGCACTTCTAGCTGATTAATCCAATAAATAAATCATTCCACTTGACGTGATCCAATTCGTTATTTATTGCACTCAAGCAATATGAAGAGTCCCTTGGAGTATCTGGAACAACAGCAACATCTTCACTGATTTTCAATAAGTATTTAATTCCCTCGTGCACATGTGCAGCACTTGGCACATGTGAGGATTAAAAGTGTAAATATAAACAATCAGTAATTTGATTCTTGAATAAGATAAAATTAATCGCCTATCTCATAAATTATTAGAAAAGTTTTCTAGTTAATGAGTTAACATTGAGTGATGATTAGAAAGTTATGCAACGTTAGATTCATCAGAATTTGTAATGTCATTTCGAGAAATATCGCACTACTTCAGATGAAGATTAACTTTTCATATTTTGCGCAGTGTGCACGTGTTGTGACCACGTGACGTTGAATTTCCATTTGTGCTTTGTTGACGACTTTCGAGAGAACTTCAGGAAAGAATTTGTAATTGAATGTCGTTGAAAGTTCAAGTTACACGAGAAAATTAAAATTAATTTTCACACGAAATTTCCCTATGTGCGTGAATGGGAAAGATAAATAATTTAAAAATACTTTTAGATCTTAAATCACAAAGTAAAAGTTCTGAGTTTTGCATAAATTTATTTTTAAATCAGCAGTCAACACAACTTTTACAGTCATATTGAATTCTTAAAACACGAGAATGCACTTTTTCAATTTAATTCTTGAATATTTAGTTCTAATGAAACTTTAAAGAAGTTTGTAATTTGAATCATCACACGCGGCATCACGAAAATGGAAAAGGTTGTTGATTTCGCAAGAGTCTTTTGCGTTGCTAAATAAACTATAAAAAAACTACCACAATGATGCGCAAAATGAACGAAAAGAAGAAGGAAAAAAATCAACTGAGAAACCGTCGAGGAGTTCATGGCCAAATCAGCAAGAGTTCATTCATATCTAAAGCAATATTTTTCAAATGCGAAGAGGGTTCGAGCGCGCGCGACGAGAATTGTCGGTCGATTGCATAATTTTTTCCTCGTCTCTCTTTATTCTCCCTCCGAGTTTCGCGCTTCTTCTCCTTCTTGTTTGGTTCTGTCTGGTTTTATTTCACAGCATTTCGATCGAAAACTATTCTTTTGATATAATTTTTATGATTCTCCGAATTCAGTCTTTCTATTTGTCAAAATATTTTTGCCGGAAGTTTGAAAGAATCTTTCACCAGCGAGCGAATAAAACGAAAAAATGATAATTTTAAATGAAATTTACACGAGCCACATTCGTTATCAGATTTAATTGAAGCCTTAATTGCCCAACAATGCTGCTTTTGAAATAAAGATAACTGAATAAATAAGTATTGTCAACAATTTATTACGATAATTTCATTTCATTGTAGACAAAGTGGAAACGATTTTAAAATTGCACAATTTCAAGGCCATAAAAATATAAATAAATCGCAAATCGTAAAATGCTTCACCACCAGCTCAAATAATACACAGAATCATTTCAAATTTTCCATTAATTCTTAGCATATTGCAATCTGACTAAAAGTGCTTTTTATTCTTTCATAATTTGTGTTCTTCTTTGTATGTTTGTATATGTTTATGTTGAAGCATAATGTGCGGTAAACAGCAAAAACATAAGAACAAACTTGCAATACAAAATACAAAAATTCATTCTACCGAGAAGTATCAAAGTGGAAAAAACCGAGTAGTAAGAAAGAACTGAATTATGAAACACTGGGCAACATGTTAAACGCGATACAATTCTTTATTTGCTTTCAAGGTGATCCCCAAGGCCAAATGAGTCTTTTGACATGATCGTTGTACACTCACTGTAATCCGTAATATTTCCCGGAGATTAAAACTAATTTCAACATGTTCTAACGCGAGCTTTCGAGTCACAAACACAAACGCGAAACTTATTAGTTTTTTTTTTTGATTATCCGCGAGTTTGTCTAGACTGCAATGGAAAAGAGAAAAAATGGTTCGAAGAAGAAACAAGCGGTGTTGCTGAGGAGTCTTGACAATGTGTTTTTGTTCTGTTTCGTTCTCAACCAAAAAAAGAACATTAAAATTAGCGCATGTTCAGAATATTTTTGGGTTAAAGAACCTGCGGAACGAGTTGCTGACTGTCTACGAAGGTTCCTTCATTTCCCCCTCGAGAAAGAGATGAAGGAACTTTTTGCCGAATGAAAGGAAAAAGATTGATGGTTGTTTTAGTTTGTTGAATTTTCCCTTTTTATTTATGATTCGATTTGGTCGGGCCATCAGCCCTGAGAGTGGTTAGAACATATTTGGAGGTTGTCTGCGATGAAGTTCTTTAAACTCGACCCCGAATCGAGCAATTTCCTAGAATGACTGAATATCCCGACCGCAGATTAATTATCTGTCTCTTATTTTGTCTCTAACGGAAATCACATTCCCTGACTTGACACAAAACCGAAAAAACCACATGAAGTTCTCATTAAATCAAACAGCGCGCTCGTGATTTAATTGTTGAGTAATCTCGAGCCAATCATTACTCAAGCGTAATCTTTTTGTTATTTCTTTCTTTCGTTTTTTGTTTAAATATAAAAAAGTGAAATAAGCATTTAATTCAGGGCTTTTCTTTGCTTGTTTTTTCACATGACATTCACCTCGACCATCGTTTTTATTTCTTTTCGGCAACACATGTGTGAACGGTTACGATGATGTCGCGCTTTGCTTTTTTTATTATTGTGTTAAGTCTTTTGATATAATTTTTTTTGCTTATTTAAATAAATGTTGGAACATTCAATGTTCTTGTTTGTTATGCTATTTACAAGTTCTCAAATTGCTCATCATGTCGTTTTTCTTTAAGGTAAATAAGTACTTAACTTGATTTAATTTGGCGCGCGAAATCTTTCATCGTAATGCGGTCTTTGGCACGATGAGCTTCTATATGAATAAATTAAAATTTTACTTTTTTATTTATGAGAGCGTTGGCTGATTTTGACCAGAAGATGAAGATGATCTTTTAATGAAAATATTTAATTATTTGTCGATAGGTATTTCAGATCGACGCACCCACATTCGTATTTAAACGAAAGATTTCATCAAGATTCTTATTTTCGATCTTTAATTTCAAGTGTTCAAAGTCCATAATCATTCAGTGAAAGTTCGCATAAAACCTTAATAAACTTTTATTAAATTTGAGCTGTTCATTGACGCACTGATAAGAAGCTGAAATAAAAATATTTTGAGGTCATATGACTTTGTTTACAAGCCCTATTTATATGGAAACGAGCAATGACATAATATTGTGTTAGAGTAAATTGATTAGTTTGCTTATCATGCTTCAAATAAAATATTGTTCTCAGACTGACGCAATCGAACAACAGAATGAAACCTGTTTCAATATAAAACAGCAGAACGATTACGAGGCTAATAAAATTCAAAGTTATTTTCCTTCCAAGAAATTATCTCACAGGAACATTGCTTTGTCTTTCATTGCTCCCGAAAAAAATAATAATAAAATATTAAAGCACACATACACACACAAATATTTATGAAGATGAGCTCGAGAAGATCATTGCGCGATCTTTATTTTTTTTCGCTCTCACACACAATTTTTTTGGTCGCTTTTACATCGTGTCAATCACCTTTCAAATCATCCAACGACGCAAAAACAAGATATTTGAAGAGCAAAGAAAAAAAACGAACAAAAATTCCGCACAGGCCAAAAAACTTCTTTGCCATTGAAAGGAGCTTCGGACACGCGTGAATATTAATCTGTTTAGAGTTGGAAAATGCCATGGAAAATGGAGTTATTAAAACCATTAGATAAAATCGTTATTTTCACGTGTTTAAGGCTCGTTAAATATGACCATGCGACATATTTTCGAGACATTCCAATGCTGACATGTGAACATATTGTTCATCATTCCATCATTATTATTTGCACAAGGTTTCAATTTGGCTGTCATAACATCGAACATTGAATTGTTTATCGCACAACTCAAAAGCTTTCGACGTGTGCAGTATTTTTTTCCTTTTTCGCTTGATAGCTTCAAAAACAAATAAAAAAAATTTCTTTATCAATTGAAGACAAAAACACAAGCGTGTAAGGTTAATGGCCTTAAACGTGGTGCAATTTGAAGTTGCAAGTTCAGGAGATTTCTTATCGAAAACAAACTTTTTTTACTTGTTGTTTATGAAGCCCGGTGCAATTTTTATCTCAGCAATAAAAAACAGACTTAAAAACCAATTGAAAGACATTGCACGATAAAACATGAAGATCATTACATTGAGCAACACTAGAAGCAACATGTAAAATGAAATTTTATTTTTGTTATTACGAAACATTCCGTCGGAAGTTCCTTAGAATTCTTTTCTTTCCTCTTCTCCTTTTTCTCTGTTGAATTATAAATATGGGAAGAAGTTTGCGATGCCGTAAGACGCTTTGATTACGCGACGTGAAAGATGAACCAGAAATCTAGAATGACTCACATTTAGCCTGACGAGGGATCATCAATGTGTTCTAACACAGCAAGGAATCGTCGTTGTAGGGTAGAATGCGATGTATAACGGAGAGAACGATATAAGTATAGCAAGCAGAGAACTTTATTTTTTCGTAAAGTCGGCAAAGCAATTATTTAGAGACAAAGAGAGTGCGATGAACACAGTCATCGGTCACCTTGAAAAAATAATGGAACAACGGGCGTAGAATACAAATAAACCTCATTCGTTGATATCCATTCTGGCATGGGGTTGGTTTAATTGTCTTTGTTGATATGAGTGTTGAATGTCTGCGGCTTCATATCCATGAAAGAAGAAACTTTAAAAGTTCGAAGAATTACAGAAAGAAGAAGTGCAAAATCCGAACACAAAAATTACGCAACGTCCAAAATATATAACAAGAAAGAACGCTACGAGGCAAAGGAGCAATGAACAGCAAAAGAAGAGGAAAAATGTTTAGACAGTTGCTTGGGAAATGAAGTTGAATGCTCGATATACGATGTTATAAAAAATTTACGAAAAAAACGTTTTTATAGATTACGTTAAGTTAAACATTGTTCAACAAATATTTTTATTACTAATCATGAAGATCTAAAAACAAAGTCCATGCGACAATGTTCTAGACACTTTAAACAGCAGCAACTTGAACCCCAATCTAAGTTTTTTTTTTCATGGATATAAATCTGTCTGCGACTGCAAGAAGAAGAAAATCTTTCAAATGTAAACGAAAATGGTTGTTGGTAAGGGAAGGAAGACTCTACAGACTCATTTCCTCGATGCCTTTTCTCTTCACGTCTCATAAATTTTCATCTGCGTGACACTTCAAAGAGAGATTTGTCTTAGCACGTAACTACCTAGTGAAATGTAAATTTTCAAGTATGACACCATTTCGCACCTTAAATATGAATGATATAATGAACAATACTTTGAAACGAGTGTCTAAGTAAGAATTCTATAAATAATAATGAAAAAATACTTTGTTTCTGAGGCTGAGAGTTATGGAAGCCAATAGCCTTTCGTTTTATTGTCATAAACTTCGGTTATGATACATTCTGTTTAATTTAAAATTAGTGCAAGGCTAATCAAATATTTACTTCAAATTATCAATGTTAGAAGCTTTTTCATTAAGTTGAAGTTTCTTAACATGAGTTTGGTGACTTTTTTTATGACCCACATGAAGAAATTTAAAGGCTGACGATGAAATCCGTTTACTTATCTATTTATATTATTTGTCATGACAACATATAAACATTTCCCTAACTTATCTTGAGATTTTATTAATCAAGACGATTAGATTTATAATTATGGCAAAAATTTGTTAAACAAATATTTATAGAAATGTCAAATTAGAACTCAAATGACACCCTTTCAAATTGATATTAAGGGCTTAATTAAGTAATCAAGCTCACGAAATAATTTCATAGTCAACCTTTATTTATATTTCAGCCATTAAAATAATTTCTCTCTCATTACTTTGATAGAGTTACATAAAACTAATTTTTAAGCAGTTTTTGGTGGAATGAAATGAAATGAATGTATGGCAAAGCCAAACTAATTGTTTGTGTGTATCAAATGCGGCAATAAACGTTCAACGTACACACGAACCGACACTGAACTATACAAACGAACATTAAATATTCTCTTTTTTCGTCGTGGCTGTCGTCGACGAAGGTTATACATTCGGTTAAAAACTTTTTCATCAGCTCTTTTTAACGCTCCGTATCATGAAAGAGGTCAATACACTTTTCGCAAAAATAAAGCGTCGGAGAGTGAAATGGAGACGGTGTGTGAGTGAGAAGGAAGGAGAAAGAAAACAGAAATAAAATCAGAGGATGTTTCTTCATACACTTCTCGTCTCTTCTCGAACTACAGGGTTACATGTGTTTTATTCCTTTCCAACGCTTTTCAATTCCAGACGAAAAAAAAATGTAAAATAATGTTACGAACCTGATGATTGTTTAAATATGTAAGTAACCTGAAATAATAGGACGCCTGGGCACGGGAGGGATAGAGAGAGAGGGAGAACGAAAGAGTGTCAATCACCAGTGTAACTGACCTAACAAAGAACTTTTGTTGGGGGACAACGACGCTCTCGCGCGCGCTTCATTGCCGAGACAATATGAGGAATGAAGTTTGCACAATCTCTTAGTAGAATGGTTCTGTTAAATTTTTTATTTCGTTAATCGTCGTTATGTGAACTGTTGAGTTTCAATGACAATGGGTTGGTGACACTTTGGGAGGTTTTTAGGTTCTTGACTAGACGTTTTAGGGTAGAGAAATATAAAAAAAAGAGTTGCTGATAACACCACTTAACTGTTGCATCCTACCGCATCGTAATGAAATAAATTCAATCGAGTAATAAAATAATTACGATAGCGAAACTGAAAAACAATTTATCGAGTCTTTGTTGTCTCCAAAGTTAATTGCAGCTTGTTGAAATGTAAAGAAAAAAAAGTAGATCAAAACTTTCTTTTCACCAACTGTCCCCACAAAAACAGTTGTGAATATGTCGATCACATTGAAATAAATTGCATAAAATTTAAGTCTATCACTTAACAATCATGCCAGCGCTTGAAAGATTCGCGCGACCTAGAATTGTGAATAGATTTATTATTGGATAGAAAGTTTTTCTTTTTCTTCTATCTTTGGCAGCAATGAAATTGCACGTCAGAAACTTTCTTTTCGCTGCTTTTAATGATGAAAAATTTTCTTTCAGAAATTGGAGAAAAGAAAGTATAAATAAATATCATTACATATTTAGTCAGAATGTAGCACACTATCTCTTGTATTACGCCGCTATTGCTGCTGTTATTTACTTCTTCCAACGTAAGATATTATCCGCTCGCAAACTGTTGTAACTCAACTTCGCACTGAATTTAAACGAAATTCCAAAATAGCATCGTGATTACGAATGTGTATGCGTTCTACTTTTTTACTTAACTTCTTCTTCATCTTTCTTCGAGATTTTTCACATTTTTTAAACAATTCGTTGATATTTTTTTCCGTTCATCTTTTGAAGGATGTAAACTTTACATTTTAAGCAGTGTAAATATCAAATGATATAAAGAAGAATTTTTCTTTGCTAATAAAAATGCATTTCTATGTAGGTTAGTCTCTGTTTCTGTTTCTTTCTTTGTGATAAATTGACTTGACTTAACCTTCTCAAAGATCTAGGTTAAGCTCTCAGCTTTCTAATAAATAAATTTGATGTAACTTTATGTTGTCGGTCGGGGGAATTTTTTTTTTTCGAACCAAGAGAAAAGTGTTACAAACCCAGAGATTCAAAAGTTCTTTACAAATCAACCTTGTCATAAGAATCTTTTGACATTCCTTTTGCCAAGAACATTGACCCTTGACAATGTATGTTTAATTTAACACTCATCGTCATATCATGTTTTAACTCAGCTCGTCTCAGATAACGTCTGATCAGCTTTTTATTCACTGGGGAATCAAAATGCAGAAAAGAAAGTTTTAGATCACGATACTTGAATTACCATATCGTAACAAAAATGAGAACAGCGATGTCATGTCATGACAGTAAAGAAAAGAACAACACTTCAAAAAGAATGCAATTTGTTCTATCATGTCGTGGCTTCATTAAAGTTTTAGAGGAATGAATAAATGCTGTGACAGAAGTCAATATGACGTAAATATTATTGCGATAGTTAAAGTTTGTTATCATGAAGTTTTATCATGAACGGCTTAGAAAATACAAAATAGCAAAAGATAAGCTGGTGGATTAATCAGAACAGAAATGGGACATTTGGATCAATTTAATCGTAACACAACTAAATAATTGCCTTGTTGTAGACATTCTCCAAAGTGATTTGATTTCCCTTTTTGATTGAGGTCAATGTGCAGTATTTAAATGAATTAAGTTTACCTATGTTGATAGAAATTAATGAAATTAATATCAAGAATATTTGCATTTGATTTCTTCTCAGTCTAATGAAAGGAAGTAAGTGACCGTTTAATTTGAAAATCTTTTAAAATTTATTATGCAAAGACAGAGAAATGCTAACAAAATTAATTCGAAATCAAGATTCCTTCTGGTTGTCTGATGTATTCACAAGATTAGTAAAAGATCGAGACAATTCTTCACGCGATAAATATAATAAGACGTGCAATTTAAAGAAGAATGTTTCTTATTGCATTCTTCCATCAGCACTGCCGTCTGTGTCATATTATAAATAGCAAAGCAGAAGCGCAGAAGGTTTAAAAAAACATTCTGCAATGTGCAACACATTACAAATTGTTCGAGACAAAGAATGAGCTTTGGGAATTGAATAATGACACAGAAAAGATGTTAGCAGAAAGTTATAATCGTTGAGCAAACCTAACGTAATTGGAAAGCTATCAGTTGAGCGTTTTCGGTTGTGAAACACTTTTTCCATGACGCCCGGAGAAGAAGAATGATGTCTAATAGAAAACTCTCAACATTTCGTAATGTTCCACTTTTCCTCTGAAAGCCCAGAAAGAAATCTTCAAACGTTTTAACTTGCACAACAAAATTTCATCATGAAATGAACATTCAGAAAATTTCCCCTTGGGAAAAGCTTTTTCTCGCACGAATCGTGGATGTTATACAAAAGTGTTGTGAATCTTATTGGAAATTTCAAGTGAAAGTAGGTAATTACAAAACCGAATCGAAGAAGGCAAAAGAAGGAAAAAAACGGCTTTTTATAACTCCATCAATTAATGATAAATTCAATATCATTCCAATGCCCTTGATAATGAAGAAAACAAAGCGCTTTGTTGTGTGATTTTTTATTGCGGTGAATACAAATGATGCAAACTTTCTATCGAATGAAACAACATTGGAATAAAGTTCTTAAGTTAAGCTTGTGATTTTATTTTGACATAAACAATGTCAAGCTGATAAGTGAGACTAATGAACACAATTGCGGCTTTATTCGAAACATCCCGAAAATTATTTATTTACGAAGAAATGACTTCTGAATCATCGAATTTCTGAGTGCGCGCTCATTGTTGAGTAACAGAGAATTAAATCTAACGGTCAGTGGAATGGAAATGATCTCATGCAAATGTCGGGAAGAAAGAGAAAAGATTGTCGTTGTCTGAGAACTACTTATTTCGTCATCTTACGAATGCTTTCGAATGTTTCCGATGGAAGGAACACATAAAAAGAAATTAATGAAAACTGTTAATTAATCTGTCTGACGACTCAATTCATCAATGATCAATACATAAATATTAGATTGTTTGTCCGTGAAATATGAAATCGTGTAGCATGTGCCATTTTTATTATAAAACTTATGACAGAGAAATCATTTAAAATTATCTCGTTGACGATTAAACGTGCAAATCTTCAAAAAAAGGAAACAAAAATGGCGCAATTTGTCGATAAATTTCAATTTTCCAAACGTGCCAAGCCAAACAAAGTTCATCATTCTCTGACGGATCTTCGAATTTTAAATTTATTCACAAAAAAAAGTTGAAATCACAAGGCCAATTCTTACAACAATTTAGTTTCTAAGGCGGAAATTTACTGAGAGTGAAAAGAAATTTATAAAAAGCACGCGGAATCTTTCAAAACGAATTTTCCTTTCACGTGGAAAAGTCATTAGTCACATGGATCGAACATTTAAGTAAATACGTAACACGATTACAGTCCCTAAAGATTACTCCTACTTAACATTATGGTGATATTTGCTTCGATAACCATGTGACTGTCACCCTTTCTTTCGAATGTTCGAGATAGTCACGATAGATAATAAATAGATTGCTAATATGGTGTTGTTAAATAGACAGGAAAACTCACTTTTATTATTGAGTAATTAAAGAAAAGGAAACTAATACGAGTAGTTGTGAAATTTATACTTCGCCTTAATAATGACGATGAGATTATTACGAATTACCATCGTGCATGTGTTTTTGATACCAAACAAAATATTTTGTTGAGTGCGACTGAGAAAAACGACGATTTCTTTCAATGAACCTGATTTTTTGTTGTTATTTCCCATTATTTATTTTTCCCGACTCTTCTCTGTCGTTTGAGTTTGTATATGAAGTCTGGCTCTTCTTATTACATTTACTTCCATTCATACCGTCGCAAAGCTTTTTGAGATCACTCACACAGCACACGTAAAACATTCGATTGTACAACGTAATATACTTTTTCGCCTGTTGGTTCGAGACAAGCTCACAAACAAGTCACGGGAGAACAATCCGAGTCGAGCGCATACAAACAGCCGAGAGAGAAGCGAACGAAAAATAAAAATATTTCGACTGACTTGTGCGATCGAAGAAAATAAAACCACATTGTTATTTTGCATGCCGAAACGACAACACGTTATTTAAAAACTCTCTTTTAATAAATGACGATAAGTTACAATTTTATTTTATTTAAAAATTAATTCGACAGAAAAGAAAAATTTGAAGGAAAAGTGAAAAACAATTTGAAAAAAAAATATTAAGAATCACGAAATTCTCGGAAGTTTCAAAAAGTGACGAAAACTTTAATGAATGAATAATCAAAAATTTTGGGAAACTTAAGGTGACTAACAACACTTAAGAAAAAACAGAGAAGAAAAACGAAACAAAGTGAAAAGTTACAAGATCGCAAAATAGTAAAACAGAATTTTCATTGCGAAATAATTTTTTCGGTGATTCAGCAAAAATTGCTTAGAAGTGGAAAATTGTTTATTAAATATTTTCTTCTCGTGAAATAATTTCACGGTGAAAATAAAAGAAAAGAAAACATTTAAGCAGAAAGACGAGAAAAGGCGCAAATTCCGGATTAATTCACAAAAGTCGCTTCAAGAACAACACCGTACATTGTAAGTAAACATTTTGATTCTTTTTAATTTTATTATTGGACAAGGTCAAGCGCTAAAGCTCGTTAAACTTTTCTCTCTGCTTCCGACGCTGAAAATGTGAACATGAAAAAACACATTTCTCAGCTGACGCGGCACACATTTCTTTATCCTCTCAGTGCAACAAAGTTCAATAAATAATAAGAAAAAAGGAAAAGCTTGAGGAGAAGGAAAAATCACTTCAAGCCTTGAAAGTGTGTCGTTCATTATTTCAACAAAAAGAAGCATAAAAATTATTGCATTTCGCTAACAGTTCATTTTTTACCCAGTTTCCATGCTTCTCAATGAAGTAAATAAAAAGAAATATGAATATGGAAAAAGCAGTTCAAACTCCAAAGAATCGAGTCAGGCGAGGCACGAATTTTTCGCTTTAATGGCACACTCGACATTAACGATTAGCGCTTGTGACAGAGACCTCTAAAAACATTGAAATGATTTTGCAATGCACAATTTTAATTTCCTACATTACATGAGCTGTGTTCTCGCGACAAAATATTATATAAAACGGAAAATAATCCCGCGTGTTTTTCTCGCCGATACTTCCTCAACAAGCACACAAAAAAGCAGCATTTTTGTAATCGTTCAATGAAACTGAGAATTGAATTCAATAAATAAGAAAAAAAAAACATTAAATAATATTAGAACCGTTTAGAAACGTCAAATGGTGACGCATGATTTCAAGTTGATTATTAATTTGTTAATTCGACTAATATGCGAATAAATTGTTGTTATTCTATTATTGCTCAATTCCGAAGAAAAGATTTGAAATGAAAAAGCTTCCTTGTTTTGCTTTCGGTGCTTGATGCGCAATTATTTATTATTCAATATTTGTCGTTGTGATTCGACTTCATCGTAATAAGAGAACTTTGGAAGAAATGTTTGAGTCGAATTTGAAAGAAAGAAAATAAATAATTGAAAAGGAATTCGGCTGTTTGTATCGAACATCATTGTCGGCATGTGAATGAAACGACTTTTTGTACACTTTAACGTCGACGTCCATGGATGAGTCCTTTGACTCTCTGTTTGGGTTCACGCGTTCAGTTGCCGACACAAACAAACATACGATCCGAATCCGAAATAAAAACAGAAATAAAAAAAATGGCGAAGGCAAAAAATGTGTATAAATACACAACAGTCAAGTCCTTGAATTCGTTCATCGGCTCTCTTTTGACTCTCTTATATCGTCGCGACTTTTCTTTCAAACACATTGAAGATATATTGTTTCTGTACTTCCATTCGATTCTTTTCTATCATCCGTGTTCTCAACTCGAGAATGAGAAGCGATGAAATAAGAAGACAGAACACGAAATAATATCAGCGACGAATTCGCGCACACAGATTGAATGAAATTTACATCAGAATGATGCTGAGATGTAGGTCAATACTTTTTATTTTTTGGACGCAGACTTTTGCGTTGTAGATCGACTTGGTCTTTGATATTTGATATGTAAGAACGATAAAATATTTCAACAATTTATCATTCGATTCCATTAAATGTTATCAATAACAATGGAATCGGCGTGACGAGGGATTGCGTCACTTTTATTGTTCTACCACCCCTTCGTACTCGTATTCGTCACGTTGCAACCTAATTTCCCCAAATCGACAGTCATTAAATCGACGTTTGTCCTTACAGCGCAGAAGGCAACAAATTATTTCCCGATTATCCAACAACGACATTCTCACGTGAAAAGCACAAATCACGAATTATTAATAAAAAATTTTCTTTCTTTCTTTCTTCTCTCGTCTCTCCACGAGCAAGTCGTTAAAGGAAAAAATTTTCAATTATAAGCGCGATTTGACCACAAATAAAATCTCAATTGGTGACATTTCTAATGACCAATTTTTATGTCATCGCACACGAAAGTCCGGTAGCTAGAAGCAAAATCGTAGCAGTAAATTTCCCGCAAATGTCTCTCTCAATCTAAATAATGTCCTAAGTCAAGCTTGAAAAGAAGGTAAACGTATAATAAGGTCACAAAGAAAAGCGCGTGTAGCGAGAAAAGAAAGCATAAGAGACCTAGAAACACAGAAAGTAATCAAAGCGGGTGGGAGAGTCAATTCAAAAACCGGCCACGAAGAAACACAACATAAAAGAGAAAGAAAAAATAAAATTTCTTTGACCTTGTTTCATGAATGAAGTGTTTTCTCTCTCACACAACTTACTGGAAACTTTCAGCTATGAAAGCTCGTTTTTATCTTTCTTTTTTGCCTTCACTGTTGCTTAATGCTTGTTGCAATTCCAATGAGTAAAGCAGAACAAATACAACAATAAAAATTTGTTTCTTTCTTCTTCATCTCAACTTTTGCCACATTCTACTAGCCAACTAATTCCATTCAAACATGGACGAGAAATATTTCTCTTATTTATTGTGCTTTGCACGCTAGAAACTTAACTAGAGAAAGTTTTTGTGTGGAATGAAAGATGAAATCAGAGCAAACCACCAATCGAAGAGAAAACCATAATCATAGAAAATATTAAGCAGTTGAGAAGCTTTCTAGGCTTCAATTTACCTAAAACTCATGATACATGAATCATTTATTAAGCAAGCATACGAGAAGAGAATAAAAAAACTTTTGTGTAGCGATCATACTTGAAGATTATGTAACACACTGTGTGATGTTTACTTACTGCGTAGAACTTCTCGTTATCACTTCCACATCGATTGCGTCACATATTGTTGTTGATCGGATGAGCAGTTGACACGAGCTAAGTTTCTAAGGTAAACTATCTAGCAAAACATATTTAATAAAACAGTACACAGACAAATTTGACTTGTTACTTATATAAAACGTTTATTTCCAAAGGTTGAATGTAGTTCGATGTATCATATCGTTCATTGAAAGTTTAATTTGTTGTCAAGTAGCAAATAAGAAGTAAAGTTTTTTTTATTAATGTGGAGCTGATAATTCTGCTTCCATTATGCCCTAATTTTCAGCGACACTCTCTGTCAATATTTGCATCTTCAAGTTGAGTACTTTATAACTTCTGTTAATTATTTGACTTTGTTTACGTCACAATCAAGAATTTACAATATTATTAAAGTTTCTGAGTCTAAAAATAATTCTCATCTTTACAAATTTGGTGTAACGTAAATGGCTTTGCTTTTAATCTTAATTAAATAAGTAATTTTTTAAAGGCCACATGATTTGAGATCATCTTCAACTTTTCTCACTCTACAGTTAAACGATTCCATTCCTTATCCAGACCTTGTCATTAATAGCTTGTGTGTACTTAAGTGAGCCAGCCATAAATTGAAACATTCATGAACTCTCTCCAATCGCACCCGTAAATGTTATTGACTCTTGAATTTATTTTTAATCATTTGTTTTTATAAAGAAATGAAATTCCCCATATCGATGGTGCAAAAAAAAGATTTTGTAAACAACCACAAGCACACACACACGCCCAATCGGATGGGCTTTTGATTACCCCAAAAAAAAGAAAGAAAAAAAGGAAAACAAATTACGTTGTGGCTTTGATAACGCGAAACGACGTAATTTTAAAAGGAACGAACAAACAAAAAAAAAATCAGCACATGAGACTTTAGCTTGAGGGTGATAAGAAGTTACTCATATCAATACCAACAAAATTTTCAGCTGTCTGACTTCAAAAGGTCTTTGAAATTTCAATTAAAGACGAACTCGACATCCATTCAAATAAATTTTTGCGAGAATCTTTCACACCAAAAAAAAAAAATTAACATCGTGAATAAAAATGAAAGAATTTGGGTCATCTAATATAAGATGTTGATGATTTCTTTTTCTTAGATATCTACATGAATCTATGCGAGTGAAAATGATCGGAGAAGATTTTTACTACATCGTCCAAAATGTGAGAATTGGAGGCGTAGTTAGTAATCGCTGTTGAGAAAGAACACGCAACCCCAATGTCATGACGCTTTATGTTTTTCTCGTGAATTGTTTTGCACAACTTTATCGTTAATTCCCATTTTGTTTTGTTTTTTTCCGACGCATTCCCAAACCTTTCTGTTTATTCTAAAACAAATATTAATGATTGTTTTGATTGTTAGGCGTAATAGAAGTAAGAATGAGTGATCTAAGTGGTGACGACATTTTATTTCATTTGTCACGCTCAACATTTATTTTGTTTCTCTTCGAAAACAACAAAGAGCGACAGGGGAAGCAACAAATAAGAAGCTGATAAGATAAACTAAGCAATACTTTGTACAAATATCACTTTTGTAATATTTCATAGCAAACAACTAAAAGGTTTCTACCTTGAATTTCATGATGTTACGAAAGAAGACTTCTCGAAAAAAAAATTCAGTTTGAGGGGGAATTTTAATTATACAGAAAGTTATATGAAACGGGTAATGACAGATAATCGTTTTTATTATTAAGGAAGAATGAAATCTACTTAGTTTTAATGAAATACTGTTAGATAACATTTTTATAAATGTGTCAACATTATCAGTGAATCTTTTCCTTGACTTGAAATTCTATCTGCGTCACGTTTTAGCGTTGTAAGTGATTTAATGGAGTTGTGAAAAAATGCTGAAGTTACACAATAGGAGAAAGAGAATAAATAATTTCCACTGTTGCTTTTTCTTTCAATACTCAGCACACACTCCTATCACGACCTTTCACGTCCTACTGCAAGTCAGTGCCACTTCAACCAAAATGAAGTCAAGTTTCTTTCCATGTGACTCGGCAAAATATGAAAATGTTACACATTCGAGAAGCAAAATTTTCTTCGCAGTTATTTTCGTACAATGTCGTCAGCAGTGAGCGTGGCATCGGAAAAATTCATACCTTTGTCGTGTTATTGAATATTTTTTGTGTGGCTTTAAATTTCACATGAATACCTACATGGAGAAAACAAGGATCACGTGTTGCGAAGATTTTCAACAAAAAAAAAAAGTTCTTTTTGAAATAGTTTTGAATATTTTTCCATTATCGAATTAATTGCGAAAACAAAAAAAAAGCACGCGCAAAGGTGAAGTGATAAAAGACATAAATAAGTTTTGACCGATAAGATGAACAAAGAGACTTTATATTGAATGATTTCCGCTCGTTGTTGGTTCACCTTGCCTTGTGTGATAAGCCGAAAAGTCAGTGATAACAAGCGATTCTAAAATTACTGAGAAATAATTAAGCGTAAGGCGTACATGTACGATGACCTTAAAAGAACGAGCCTCTTATAAATATTTTTCACATCGTCATACGTTTGTTTAGCGATAGTCGTGATAGTAAATAAGCTAACTTACTTAATTATTTGAGGAAGTAAATTGAATAAATTCTTCGACGTATGAAAATTGTGTTTTGTAACAGACATTGACGTAACTAATTCTGATTTCATTTCATTGAGATGTTTTCTCTAATCACGTTGCAAGTTGATTCGGTAACAGATTCTCGAGATGAAAATAAGGCTCTTTGAATGACGCAATCTAGCAATTTAGTCAAAGTGAACGTACTTTTGAATGCTTCTTCCTTCATTGGAATCAAGTCATATGTTTCGTAAATTATAAAAAACGTGGATATTGAAACGTGAAGAACGTGAGATTGATTTTATTTGCTGTTATCCGAAACACTTGGCTAAACATATTCGACAGAATTATAATATAATTTACATTGTTATACAATCGGTTGCCTGACTGTGAAACTTTCTGATACATCAAACGAGAAAAAGAATTAAAATGTTTGTTACTATCAAAGATTCATTGTTAATTATATATTTTAAACACGATTGCTACTTATTTACATAGTAGTTAGGTCATGCTTTGCTACTAACCCAAATATAGAAGCAATTAATGATACGATAATTCAACAAACAAACTCAACTTCTTAGTTATGTATGACATAAATGTGACCACCAAGAATTAACACATTTCTTTTCCATATTTAATTTAATTTCAGAATGTTCTTTAACAATCGGAAAGTAACTAGCGCACACGAAACATTCTAATCAACCTCAGTTTACTTTGTTATGGTGATGGTGACTGAGCTTCATCATCAAGAAAGTGGAGCACCGATAAATGGTGGAACCATTCAGCGAAATATTGATTCAGGTTTAAGCAAATCGTGTCATTATTCAAACGGTGAGTTTATTAATTTTAATTAATTATTTATAAACTGTTGCTAATTTTCGTGTTTCTCTTTCTTTCATTACTATTTTCAGATTCATCAGTTTTAATGTTGAGATCAGACTCAATGAGTCCCACAATGATGAGTGAAATGGGTGACGAACATTACTCAAAAGACTCTTCACCCAACTCTCCAACACCCTACGACGGTTCAGTTAAACGAAAAGATATTTTTTCACAACGAAAGCAACGCGAATTCATCCCAGATGCAAAGAAAGATGACAGCTATTGGGATCGAAGACGTCGAAACAATGAAGCAGCAAAGAGATCACGTGAAAAGCGACGATTTAATGACATGGTTCTGGAACAACGTGTCATTGAGTTAACAAAAGAAAATCATGTTCTCAAAGCACAACTCGATGCCATCAAAGATAAATATAACATCAGTGGTGAGAATTTGGTAAGCGTTGATCAGATTATGGCGACATTGCCAACAAGTGAACAGGTCTTGAGTCTCACCAAACGTTTGAAAACAAGTCCATCACATGGTAGCAATGGAAACATTCGTTACGATACACCAAGTTTGAATGGAAACAGTCCACCCAAACAATCATTAACACCAGCTAACTATGTGGTTACACCACGTGAACAGTTACATCCCGTTGAACACTCTCAACAGATTCATCAACAAATGCAACAGCCGCAGCCGCACATGATTTACAGACAAAATCAGGAGAGTCCATTTGAAGGTCATCATCATGTTGATGATCGTAATGAAAGTTATGGGCCTTCAGCGAATGTTCCAATCATTCGTGTTTCACCAAATCCTCCACATCATCAAGTTCCTTCGACCCCAGTGATCACTTCGTTGTTTAAGCCATTGCACCCTACACCTGTACAATCACATCAACGTCAACCATCACCTCAACAACATCATCAGCCACATGATTTACACAAATTTATCTTGTTGAACAAGAACGGCGAGTCGTTGACATCTGAGAAAGATAAGAAGCCATCAAATGGAGCGAATGTGATTAGCGTTGAAAAAATGGTGATCGACGATGAACCTACTGGTATGATAGCAACAAGCAAACCACCATCTGGCTTTCAACATCATATTCAGCTAACAAAGTTCTTGACAAGTAAAGCGAATTACATGCCACACCATTCGTATGGTCATCACGCGCACCATAATGAATTGGAGACAAGCAGTGTATTGAACTTGTCTAGAAGAACGTGCAGCACAGGAAGTGGAAGTGACATTGGAAACGATCATGAGGTCGAGCATTTCGGTACAAATGAGTATTACAATGATTACGCAAATCACGGTGGTGGTAGCAATGGAAATCAAAGTGATCGAAGTAGTACAGTTGATGAAGATCATGAATTGGAGCATACGTCGAATGCAAGTGCTGGAAGTAACATTTCAAATGATCACAATAATAGTTTGCCATTAAAATTGCGTCATAAAACTCACTTTATCGGTGATAAAGAATCGGCAGCAACCGCCTTACTTGCCTTGCACAACATTAAACAAGAGCCAAATGGAACGTCAAGCTCACCTGTTTGGGATGGTGAGAATTCATCAGACGAACGTGACTCGGGTATCAGCATTGGACATACCAATGTCAATGGCACTGATTGGTCGAACATTCAGCGTAAAATTATCATCAATGCTAACACGGCATCGGCTGAGACCTTCGAACCATTTAACACAAATTTGACGGGTTTGCTTGTAGCTGATCAACGCGTAGCAACGGAACGTGGTGACATTCACCTGAAGTCACATCTTGCACGTTTAGAATCGGAAATTCACACAATCAAGAACATGATGATTCTTAACACAAATGGTAGCAGTGCCCCAATTAATGCTTAAGATTCTGACTTCTCCCAAAATCTTTTTTTCTTTTATTTTCGTCTTTTACAAATCAATGTTAAAACGCACGTCTTTTCATAGAAGAAACAGATAAATTAAAAGGAAACAATCAGAATATATCTAAAGATTAAAATTTGTTAATTCATGAAATTTATGCTTGCTGTGGTTGCACAACAGAAAAGCAAAATAAAATTTTTATAAACATTATTGATCATAAATTCTTATAGAATCGGAAACGATAATTAATTTTATCGAAATAAAATGATAAAACAGAGAAAGAAAGTAGCAAAGTTACTATCTGTATATGTATGAAAGTAGAGAGACAGAAATATATATTTTAGTAGATAATTAAGTTTCGAGTCAAGGACTCGATTAAGAATTAGAATTAATCATTAGGATTTTAATTTTGTAAAGAAAGAAATAATTCGTCCTTCAAAATGAACTTTTAAAATATGGAATGATGAAGTAAAGTTTGTAAATCTTTTATACTTATAAATATTGTTTGTAGCTTTACAACATAAAAGCTTTGTGCACAGTGCACGAGGCAACATAATGAAGATATTTTATTTATTGATAAAAACATTTTTCAACTATCTTTCTACTGTTTTAAGAAGAAGTGAAGTTTTAATGATTTTAGTGGATATGTTTTTCCTATTGTTAAGTTATTAGATATGTTATGTTCAAAAACACAACCAGCGTTTACAGTATGAATATTTAATTAAAATTTGTAGTTTTATCGTAAAAACTTAAATGCCTTTTTTTTTCTTTAAATTTATTCACAGAATTTTCTGTTACAGGAAATAAATTTGTTTTTACATTAGATTAAAAAACGGTGGAAATTTGCTGAAGGAAAACATTGAAAACAAAATATTTATGTTTGTTTGACGGTCAACAAAGTTTCATTCGCAATAAGGTGCTTAAACTTATTCACTGTTGTTCCGATTTCAATCACGATTCCATCAATTACTTCCTTCGCTTTCAATGTAAAAGTTCGATTTATTCGATTTCAATGGCTTTTCGTTTGATTTGCTTCTTTCAGAATTTTGTCATATTATTTTGATTAGATTTGCTTCGCAGATTCTTAGAAGAGAATTCACTGAAAATTCCAAACAAATATTTTTCAACAAAAGAAAAAAAAACTTTTTAAAATTGGAAATTTTTCCATTTAATTCCATTCAATAATTCTATTTATAAGTTTTCTTTTTCAATTATGATGAACAACGAATATAAATAAACATTTAAACGACTTTAACAACATCATTCGTCAATCCTTCAACAACAATACTTTTGTTTCTTAGTCCGATGCTTCCACCAAGCCCACCATCAGGAAGCAGAAAGGTTTCATTTGGATGCCACGATGGCTGCGCAAATTCTTTTAAATTTCCATTACTTTCGCTCAAGTGTTTCAGTGAAAACAGTCCCAGGTTTTTTGTCTTTCCGTGTCGCGCAAAAACGTGAAACTAAAATTAGATTTGAATGAAAGGAAAATTGAACATTTTCGCTCACATAGTTAATGAGTTGACCCATATTAAGTCTACGCAGAAAGGAAATGAATGAAAAGCAATTAACTCTAATTATAGACGATTCACTTCTCTTTCAATGACTTTGATTATTCATTATTCAACTTACGTTGTCAGTGTCCTCGATTAAGTAGCCACAGATGAGACACCAATGCGCCTTATGACCGTTTTGATTTGATGGTGAATGATTCCTATCGGCGTCATATGGCACAAGTAACATACAATGTTGCTTAAGCTTTTCTTTAATAAATTCGGAATCAAGGTCTCCGTCATAAATGTAAGACTTCACTTTTCCTGGATTAAGTGATGAATTATTTACACTTTGCTTCAACAAACTCAGTAACCAACTTGCACTGAACATTTCACCATTATTTGTATATTTACATTTAATTGCAGTCTCAAGAAGATCGTCAGCTGTCGGCGTACCACAATAAACCATTGATAAAGCGCATAATCCACAAGTGGGACCTGAAGAAGATTTTTTCATATTTAATTTTAGATAAAATTTTTTCTTCTAATTTTGATTAATTTTCTTACCTGTTTGCAAAATCGGTTCCACTCTTAGATATGTACATTCTTTTGGTGATGTATGGAGACAGGTTCTGGCAAAAAAGCATGCTCTTTGAACTTCAGGATCACCTACTGCCCACAGACATTCGGAAAATTGTAGTTTGTTATTATTTTGATCAATAGAATTCTTCTTTGAATTTATATTTATTGATGACAATGGCAAAGGTGGAGGGGGTGGAACTGTAGGCATTCTATCAAGTAATTGACTAAATAAATAATACTTAAGAGGAAGACACTATAAATAAACTAAGGTCGAACTACATTTCAAAATTTTGTTAAGATTTAGAGGGGTGTTAAGATTAGAGCTATAATTTTTACTATCCGGGGTACGAAGGTAATTATTAACTGCAGCTAACTTCAAGGCGTGAAACTAGTAAACAACAAAAAAATATTTTTTGAAAACTTTTTTAATTTAAGAAGCGTGATCAATTCTTTCAACAATATTAGATTGTTGAGGAAACTTAAATCACTCTAAGTTTTCAAAATATAATTTAATAAAAGAATAATCTACGAATTATCCAACTTACCGAAGATTTGCCAAAATTATAATATTTTCGATTAAAACAAAGACTAATTAATGGAATTTGTTAAGCAAGAAGTATATAACCTTGATGGTAACACTCAGCTCGAGTTTCTCAATCAAAAAACCATCATAGTTATAGATAAAGATCGTTTTTTGGTATGTAAACAGTTCCTAATCGAAAATGCTCCAGATGAGGATTTTGCAGCTTTCCTCAACATCCCAATTGAAAAAGTTCGCTACTTTAAATACAAAATGCAACTTTTTGAAGACACCATAAGAGTTCGAAGACGTGCTGCTGTACTAGAAAAGCAACGTAAAAGACTTTTGAAAGTAAATAATGTTCGTAAGAGAGAAATTTCATCTGAAGAAAGATTTCGAAGAGCTCGCGAGTTGATTGCAAGGAATTTAAGCACCAATCAAATTTCAAAGATTCTTAAAGTCTCTGAAAGATCAGTTACTCGTTTCAAGCAAAGAATGCGAGAAGAAAAACGTAAATTAAAAGCAGAAGGAAAAATTTCTTTTGATCCTAACGATCCAGATGATGAGAATAATTTCAAATTCTTGAAACCTGAAGAAAAGATCAAGAAAGCAAAAGAATTGTTCCGAAAGCGTCTCAAGATTCAAGAGATATCTGAGATACTTAAAATAAGTGAAAGGTAAATAAATTATTTTGAAACTTGCAATGAAAATTTTTTTAATCATTTTTCCGTCTTTTCAGGTCTGTTCGTCGTTGGAAAGACAGACTTGGAAAACTTAAAGAAGAATCGCACACTGCATCAAAAATCATTGAAGAACAAATGAAAGGAGATAATAAATCATCAAAACGCCCAACACGTATGGATTCAAAACTAAAACAAGAAAATGTCAACGAGACAGATGAAGATGTAATTGAAGAAGAAGAACTTTCAACACCCAACAACAAGAAACGTCGACTTACAATCGACCGCGAAAAAGTTCAATACGCCAAAGAATTGATTGAAAACAAGCTGAGCAATAAAGAAATGTCGATGCTACTTGAAATGTCAATCGCTTGTGTTCGAAAGTTAAAAATGAAAATTCTTGATGGAACTGTTGAAGAGTTGATTGACAACAGCGAGGAACATTACACGAAATTGGAAAAGATTAAAGATGATAATTTATCTGACAATTTTGATCCTGATAGTAAGTTAATTTACTCTCTTAATTATAAAATGTCAATTAATTAATTTTAATTACTTTTAGCTGATCCTTTGACTGTCAGTGACTTGCCTTATTACAACTCAATTGGATCGACATCATTGAACAATTACAGTTATGAAAGGAAGCCAAAAATTGTGCTAAGCGATCGTGATATGCATAAAGCTCGTTTGCTGCGTGAAAACAACATTCGTACAATGGACATTGCTAAAATGATGAAAATCAGTGAACGTTCTGTGACACGATTGCTTGCAAAGTCACGACATTTAGAATTTCTTGAATGTGAAAGTGACGTCTTTGATGAAGTGAATAAATTGTTGGAGGAGAAAGATGAAATTTTAAATTCTGATGATTTAACTGACATGGTTGTTCAGGAAACGGAAATCCAGGAACTCGACGATCCTAAACGTCAACTTGCATTCAATTTACTCGCAATGAATGTCAAAGTCAAAGATATTTCGAGAATGCTTGATGTCAGTGAAGTAACTGTGAGTCATTGGAAGTCACAAATGACCACAAAATCAGTCGGTGGAAGTCACAATGTTAAGACGAGACATGAAGAACCACAAGAAATTATAGTTTGCGAAGAATATGAAGAGTACGAATAAGATGGAGGAATGTCAACTTGATGATTTTTGACGAAAGTTTAAAGTAAAAGTGTCAAGTGACATCTCTGTTAAGAATTGAAAATTTTAAAGATAAATAAAGAGTTAAAAAAAGAAAATAATTTTTCATTAACACTTATAGTTTTTATTACCTCGCCTTATTTACATCTCATCATCATCATCATCATCATCATCGAATGTTTAATTATCTAACAACCTTCTTAAGTGGTGCGTCGTGTGAACCTTAAATCACCTCATTTGCCTTGTCGATGTCTATTTATAGATAAAAATTCTAATTACGCTTATTAACGATGGCTTTGTTTGCTTTCGCACTCGTTCAGACTAAAACCACACACAAATCTTTATGTTTACCAACTTAATTAGTCAGTTAATGATGAGCTCAAATAAACAAGTTTGTCCTATCGACGCAGATGTTTATCGACCTTTTTTCTATTTACGAAACGTCCCCGACCACTGTAAATGTTTTAATTTTTATCCAAAAACTTTGAGTTGACATCGTCTTTAAAATAAACATAATCAGTTCACTCTCGTTTGTTAACTTAACAAGACGCCTGATGAAAATTATGCTTTTCAAAATTGTCGTATTTCTACTCACAATCAGTTCGGTTCAAGTTTCTGGTAATACACTCAAAAGTCTTTTCTCAGGTTTCGGCAATTTAAACGGATTTAGTTTCTTTCGATTAGGATCTGATTGTGATATTTCAAAGTGCGATCCAATACCAAAACATTATGAAGAGCTCGGTTGTGAGCCGATAAAGAAGAAAGACGAATGTTGTAACGTAAGGTAAGTTCTTTCTCTTTTCCGACGCTACAAATATCAAACCTGCCCCTCAACCTTGAATAATACATTATGTAAATTTATGTTGCTTTTGTCACAAACATCTGAACAGCTTTAATTGCAAACATCTTGAAGATCGCAACACTAAGAAATGCTACTTTAAAAATAAGACATTTGATAATGGCGACAACATTGACGATGCATTATTAAATGGATCATGTGAAGGAAATTGTCGTTGTGTTGATAACAAAATCATTTGTGATCATATTAATTGTCCCGAGCAGTTTGGTCCGCGCCCAGAACTTGGATGTGTAAGAAAATATTCGCTCGACAAATGTTGCTCGATTGGAACTGTTTGTGGTAAAATTTTATTAGTTTGCAAAGCATTTGCCTTTGTATATTTTTTAATTATCGCAATTTTTTGGTTTTTCCATTATTAGCCGAAGAAGCAAAATCTTTAAAGACTTGCGAGTTTGAGGGGAAAACCTATAAGGAAGGTGAACGCATGCAGCCTGAAAACTTCAAGTGTCACAAATGTATTTGTTCGAGCACATTCGAGAACAAACCAGTTGAAGATAACAAAGATTGTATCAAAATCGGATGCAACATCGAGTTATTTGAAGCTGAAAATATCAAAGATGGTTGTATTCCGATTTATCATAAAGACAGTTGTTGTCCATATGACTGGAGATGTCCATCGGTCAATGATGCGATTATTCCAGGGGACCAACAATTAAAGTACAACATAACTAGTCCAAAGTGCCAGTTTGGAAAACTTACTTTAGAAATCGGTGACTCATTGTCAGCTGGCGAGAGCGGCTGTTCAAAATGTACATGCAAAAATCCACCATTCGCTGATTGCGTCTTTACAGGCTGTTAAACGCAAACTTAATTCTTATTAATATTTACCACTTTTAACGCTATGTTAATTAATAAACATTCTTAAGTCACATTTACGTAATAAAAGGTTTTTTTTTATATCTTGATTTTGATTTTGTCTGATACACAGACACTCAGTGTTGCCGTGTGTTGTTTGGTTGCTGATGATCTTTCTTTCATTTCGCTAGAAATTTAAGTAAAACCAGTTTGAATTTCATCGGAAAAATGATAATTGGAATATCGAAAATAAACAATCGTCACGAGATACTGGCAGAGATTAATCAAATTAATGTGTGGATCTTTTTAACAATGATGTGTGTTCAATGATTGAATGTATCAATGTTTGAAATCATTAACATTCAAGTTAACTTCTGAATAGAATAATCAAATTTGTCAAATGACTTGATCAATAATCTTATGACGTTCATTGTAATAAATCAAAACACAACAAAAAATATCATTTTGACGATTAGTTAGGTCGCCATGCGTCAAAAGATGAATGAATTGACCTTCAATATAGAAACAAATTGACGAGAGTTCTTAAGAATGATCTAATTAGAGGTTGTAAGAGTACATTCAACTTTAAAGACTTCAATCATTCAAGTTGATGAACAAGTTAAACTTTCCACTCAATGTTTACGTTTTTGCTTCTATCGGTCGACTTCCCAAACCTCGAAATGACCATGAACGCGAAATCGCGAGAACCGATTTTTTATATTGTTTAACATCTCGAGACCTTTTTAATTGATTTCATACAAAAATAAACAATTAGATGGAATTCACATTGTGCAAAACAATAATTAATTTTAATCATCTCGATATTTAATTAGAAATGTTTCAAAGTGTTGATACTTTCAACGCCTTTGGAAGTCTCCAAGTTATATTTAATTGATAAAAACAATAAATTTACGTAAGACATGAGAGACTCTCACGTATCTAAATGAACCTTTAAGCAAAAGTTTTAAGTACTAACCTTTGATTGCAGAGTGAGTAAGTATCACCATCGACAATGATATGAATGAATCATCGCACTGCGCTCAGTTAGCTAAAACGAATAAACAGACATAAAGAGTTGAGAATCAGTGCGATTCCGATTCATCTCAGTATATAAGTCGGCGATTTCAGTCTTTTCACATCAGTTTGTTTCTACACGTTGTCGTGATCGCGAACCAGTCTAAGGTAAAGCTTCAACAACTTTTAATTATATTTTTTTAAACTCTCCCCTCCAACAATCTTCATATCGCCACAATTCTCTACTGAAAAAAAAGATTCAAACAAAATGCTTGTGCGTGTGTGTCTGCATTATCGAACTTTTAAAAAAGAGAAAAAATTTACATAACTTATGAATTAGATAACATACAGCAAAGCGCCGAAAGTTAATAAAAATTAAAACAAAAAGTGAAAAAGAATTATGAAATCACAAGTGAGAGTAAAAGTAAACGAACTTTGTAAAACTTTTATGACAACTTTAACTTTTTTTTTCTACCTTGTGCAAGCGTTGAAGTTTTTCTTCCATTTCCATATTTTTTTTGTCGTTTAATTGCGTTCATTTATTCTCCCACTAAGTGAGAATTTGATATTGAAAGCGAATATTTTTTTATTCTTGAATTATTGACTAAGTTTGTAATTAGAAAATATTCAGAACAACTCAAGCACGTGGAAGTTATTAAATTCAATTGTAATGTAACTTTTGAATGCTTTGATTAGTTAATTGGCAATAAGTGCGAATTTAACAGCAAAAAAAGATTTTCTGTTGAATATTCTAATTATTAAAACGTTGATAAAAATGCGATTAAACATTTCAAACCGGAATACAAATAACCGGAATAATTTTCCTTTTAATTCTAGAAACCGAAAGTCTCAACATGAAATTCTTTATTCTAACTGTTTGCGTAATTCTTGGAGTTGCCAGCGCTCAAAGATACACCACAAAATATGATGGTGTCAATTTAGATGAGATCTTGAAATCCGATCGTTTGTTGAACAATTACTTCAAGTGTTTAATGGACCAAGGAAAGTGCACACCTGATGGAAATGAATTGAAACGTACCTTACCCGATGCACTCAAAACTGAATGCTCAAAATGTATGACAGAACTTCAATTGTTAACTTTTCAATTTGTTTTTTAATTGAGCTCTTTTTCTGATTTCATAGGCAGCGAAAAACAAAAGCAAGGAACTGAAAGAGTCGTCCGTTATTTGATCAAAAACAAACGCTCACAATGGGATCAATTGCAAAGAAAATACGACCCAGAGAATCTTTATTACCAACGTTTCGAAAAGGAAGCTCAGGCTCGTGGCATCCAAATCTAAACTTACTTCCTGAAACAACAATATAATCGTTTGTCATTGACTTATTTATTGTGATTTTAAATTATAAAACAAACCAACTTGAATATTTCGGCATTAAAGTGAAAATAGCTTGAAACCTTTAGAAACATGACAATAAAGAAACTTGTTTAAAAAATCAACTTTTTTTGTAATCTTTTATCTGATTTTATGTTTCAGATGAAAGTAGATTTGGTAGAAAGTATTGTTTGAATTCAGGCAAAGTTTATTTACAAAACATTCAATCGAGATACATAAAAAAATGAATTAATTGACGCGTGCAATCACAGCGAATAAAAATCCCAGAAATTAACTTGAAACAAGATTTTCACGGCTGTTTAAGTCACAATCGTAACAAGATCAATGATGTTAATTTATGGCAGTCGACAATATGTGACACAGAAAATAAATAATTCACACTTTTAAGTTGTGCAAATACGACGATATGTATGCATGCAGCACACCATGTCTGATTTCATCACTTCAGATGTCTTTTTTTCTGTTTGTAAACAAAAAGTTCAACCGGCCAATAAATGAATGTTGCAACGAAAAGACAGAGAAAGACAAACTGTCGACTCATATATGGAAATTAATTGCGTAAATTTTAAAGTTTTACGTCATTGAAATGAAAGTTGAAGATATGAGGTGAATGAGAAGTAAATACCTAAATGGTCGATGGAAAAAAGAATTCGGAGAAATAAAAAAAGAATAATTTCAGACTTTTATTTATTTATTCTGTGATGACGCAAGCGTGAAGAAATTTTATAAAAAGTTTCAGGAGATTTTATAAAGAAAATTAATCAATGCTTCAACCTCAATTTGGATTCTTTAAAAGTTTTATAATCAAAAATGATCATTAAAAGAACCACAAACGTGATACTTGCTACGGTCCACTGGCTCTTGGAATTCCCCACACGTCACATTAAATTTTGCAAAATGTAAACAAAAAGTTAAAATGTTCATTAAATGCATTTATAACACAATTCATCTTACTTCAATTAATTATTGATGTAAATCATTTGTTTTCAATTATCTGCTTAATTTATTTTACGATCAATTGAAAGTCGTCGAGAATCTTTTCAACAAAATTCTGCTGAAACTTTAATTACACTCATGAGCTTCTTTAATGAAGCAGACAGTTCTCAGAAATATTTTGTTTACAGTCGATTGATTCACATGTTAACGAGTTGAAAACAACAACATGAACTCAATAAGTTGTTTGGTCATTGTCTGGGTCATTCAAATCTTTTTCCAAGTTCAACCGAAAACAAAATTCAACATTAAAGATATTAAAATAATATTTACAATCTTTGATGATTCAGTTTTGAGTTAAAGCGATTTCTTGACTGTTTCAAAATCTTCTGAGAACTTTCGGTTTGCGAAGATTCAATAAGCGTCAACACTATGCAAACGGCTGTTAAAACAAAGTCACACCACAACATTTTCCGTTGTTTGATAAACTTTAACTTTGTCCTTCAATCAATTGACACTATCAGGGTTTATACCGTTGATTTACGATTGACGTTAAATGTTAAATTTAAAGAAGAAAAGTCTACGAGCGATTTAGTTTGCTTCAAGTCGCGCTATCAACGAGTCGTCTCAAAATGATCAGTAAAATATGCATAATGTTGATGCTTATGCAATTCGCCATCGGTGCATTGGTGGCAAGAAATTGCAAAAATCTCGACTGCCCCACGTTACCAAAGCATTACGAAGAGTTGGGATGTAAACCAATTATAAATGAAGGTGAATGTTGTGCTAGCAGGTAATTAAAGTTTGATTTACGATTTATAGATAAATAGTAATTATTTTGAAGATAAGGAAATATTAATCAATCCTTCAAACTTGCATATTAAAGTTTTAGAGGAATAAATGAAAAATTTATTGAATTAAATATTCCAACACGCTCATCGGGTTGTCTTATCAATAAAGCAACTTCTTATGACCGTGAAATGAAATCAACTTTTCTTCTTCTTTCTTCAACAGTTACAAATGTCCGGATTTAACAGCAGGCGATTATGATAAATGTTACTACAAAGAAAATGTATTAAATGTCACACAATATCTGAAGAGTTCATCACTTGGTGGGATGTGCAGTGCCGCTTGTTATTGTGCAAAAGGTTACAATGGAAAGCCAGCAGAGTTTCAATGCGCCCACGTTACTTGTCCAGAACATTTTAACAGACGAAAGCCCAAATCTATAGGCAAGACTTGTATTCATCAATATATTCGAACTCATTGTTGTGCGATTAAGACAATGTGCGGTTAGTTAAATTATAAATATTCAAAGCACAGAAGTTTTAAAAAAGTTTCCTTATTTTTACAATCAGACGATGATGTTGATAAACTGGCAAAATGTGACTTTGAAGGCAAATCGTATCGTGAAGGTCAGAAGATGTATCCAAGTAAGCAATGCTACGAATGTTTCTGCTCGAAAGATTTCGATAATAGAATTGCAGTTGAGGAGAATAAAAACTGTAATAAAATTGATTGTGGTATATCATTACGTAACACTGGACGGATAATTGAAGGTTGTATTCCGGTTTACTATAAGACGGCTGACTGCTGTCCTATCGGTTGGCGATGTCCCGGTGACAAGCACATGATTGAGAATGACACAGCACGAAGCATAAACGACAAAAAACCGCGTTGCAAATTCGGAAAAATGGAATTTAAAGTTGGCGAATCGCTTGATCTTGACAACGATAAATGTCAAAAGTGCACTTGCACAACTCCACCGATGCTTCATTGTATTGAAACATGTTAAAAATAATTCCCACAAAAATCATCTGAAACGCGTCAACTTGTCTAGCAAAATTGGTTGTCTTGAAATCACAAAAGGATTCAACAATTTCTATTTTAGGTAAAAAAGTTGTTGTGCAATGTAAAAAGAATTTAAGAGAATAAAAGTTGGAGATTTTTTAGAGAAGATTGGAAGAAAGAAAAGATTAATTTAGTGTGAAAGGAGAAGAGAACCTTACACGCCTTCAATCTCAAAGGGATTCCTTTATATTGGATTTGTGTCGACTTTCTATTGTCTTGAATAGTTTGCACTGTGGAGATAACTTCGGTGCACTCATGAAGGCTTTTTGCTTGATTTTGTTTCGCATGATTGAAACTACAAAAATTAAATTTTATGATGTTTGACTTACGAAGATTATCTCAGCAGTTTAAAACGAATTTTGTAGTCACACTGTTTACTTTTCTTATTTGCAAAAAATGTTGTAGAAACAAACTTCACTTCAATGATGTTAAACAAACCGAAGTTCAACATCAAGGGCATCTTGTCTTGTTCTTCAATCGATTGTTAAGAAAGAAAAGATTTTCATTCACACTTTTCTCTCTGATTTCTTATTAATAAAAAAAGATCGAGAAATTTTCTTTCAAACCACAAGCCAATAAATTACGAAATCTTTTGATATCAAATATTACATGGAGACCTTCTGTCTAATCGATCAAGTTCAAATAAAAGAAAATGCTTTTAGTATTAAGAAGAAAGTTTTATTTTCTAAAGATTGCAGAAAAATGAGCCACCAAAGAAGACGTTTTAATTTTCGCCAAGAAATTTAATGTCGACAATAAATTGCAAGAGAAAGAATTATGACTTTATCTCGATGATCTTCAATTTCTTTCACCTTAATATCGATCAACAACAAAGAAATGTTTTTGTAATGATCACAATCTCTTCGGATGAAAATAAATAAATTTCGCACAAATGTTTCAATGAACATTTTTACAATTCAACATTATACAATGAGATATCAACATCTCATCGTTGTTTGGCAAAATTCTTCTTCTTTCTTTAATTTTAATGAAAGACAAACAAAAAAGATGATTTAAAAATTATTTCAATGTAAAAGAGATTCTCCTTCATCACACCATGCAACGAATGTCGATTATGCGGTTGAGAAAAAAAGTAAATATTTGAAGAAACTTTTGTCACTTTTTCTTTTGCTTCTTCCATGGGAAAAGAAGGAAATTGGCTTAACAAAATTCACAACTGGGGGTATTTGAATAGCAAACTGTGTGGATGTGTGAATAGTGATTTGTACATTGACACAGTAATCGCCACCCTGTTGAGAGATGCAGTTTAAGTTTAATTGCATAATTATCTCTCTTTACTGTCATTCATTTACTTTTCATTGTCAATATTTATCAATTACTTCTCAAATTTATTTCAAGTTCGACATAATGCAATTTAAAATGTAAACAGGGAAGCAATTCTAGGATATTTGACTTTTGAGATTTACAATCAATTGCGAGAAGAATAAATTAAAAATATTTACGTCAATAGATTTGATTCTCGTTGTTGAATGAAGAAACATTCAAAAGTAACAAATATTTTGATTTTTATTGTTGATCCAATCCACACCTTACAATTCTGCAATAGAAATAATTTTTTGCAACTATTTACAAGCTTTTAAACGGAAGAACGCCCACGATGCATCAATTGCATCAATTTGTTTCCTTTTATCATTTCTATCTCAATTTCAATTGATTTATCATAACTTCTTGCTTGCCTTTTTGCTGTATTGTCAAACAATTTTATGACTCTGATTTTGCTTCTAGTTCTGTAATTGTTTGCTTTCATGCTTAAGAAAAATCTTGAGTATTGTTTGTGCACTTCCGTTTGCCTTTTCCTTTCCTTAATTGTTTTTGAACATTCGAGGATGTTTTGACGTGAAAAGTGAATCACATTTGGGAACAAATTGTAAGAATGATCTATCAATTAAACGACATCCTCATCGTCTTATAAATAGCAATTGATACAATTAGAAATTGAAAAGTTTTTTTTATTGATTTCTGAAGATACTTTTTGAATCTATTCATCACTATGAAAAGACCTCACAATTTCAATGGAAGTGTTTTGATTTGTAAATCTACAAATTGATTTATCGATAAATGATCGATTTCCGCGTGATTGTTGAAGAATTTTGATTTAAGAGTTATTTGATTTGATATTTTCTCAGGTAGTTAATTGTCCTTAATCTGCTTTTTAGGGAAACAAGTTCAGCTTCAGCAAGTTAAATTTTCTGCTTTAATCTTGACTTGCAAATAAGAAAACATACAACCGACGATTAATCTTGAATTAAGAATGACTATCCGACTGGAAAATCCTTGAATTTTCACAACATCTCACTCAATGTGACTTCTATAAAAACTTAATTGACGTTAATTCCAATTAATGAAAACTTTCTTCCTTCTGCTGTATAAAAATATTTTTTACTTTTCAAGCATTCACCATTTTGTTAACAAAAGGAAATAGAAGCAACAAAAATATTTCAATAAAGCCACGAAATTATGTTGAGGTTTAAATATCATGCAGCAACTGCACTCAACAGCAAGAGCAAAAAAAATCTTTTCAAGTGGGAAAAAAACCTTCAAATAAAAATTATTAGAATCGGAGGGTCGGAAAGATTTTTATTGTTATTGATGACAGTTTTCATCGCACACACTACGTAAAATATTCATTTTCGTAGCTTGTAGCTATGTTGGGAAGTGTGGAAAATAAAAAGGGAAAGAAAGTGAAAACAAATGGCAGATTCTCGGAGGAAATCCATTAACGTTTAACATTGATATCGTCTTGCATTTTATTGAATCAAATGAGCCCCTTTTTTGCGTTCAGATAGAAATCTTGTGCAATATTTATGATATTGCCTGAGAAGTTTCTACTCAGTTGCTTAACGTTCGAGAGCTTCGAACATCAACAAAATTTCTTTTATATTGAAATATCAAAAAAGTTTTTACGTTCAGAATTGAATCTTTGAATTCATTTCCCACATCAGGCAACAATTTCATCGGAGAAGATAAATAAACGAAATTAATGACAGCATGAAAAGGAGCAACTACAAATTTCTCTTCATGCACAAATCTACTCACGAAGCAAACCACAAAAACGATCTCAATTCATAAAGTAAAGCAAGGGGTCGAGACCAGAAGACAACAACAGTTGAATGAATTATTGAATTATTGCCATTTGAGAGGCCACGAACAAAAGCGCCCTCCGAATATATGCTCACTTTTTCTGGTTTTTCAGATTACAACGACAACACTGAAGAAACAAAAAAAATATCTATTTGAAAAGAAAAATGAATACTTCTGGGGATGATGAACAGTTTGGCATTTAAATTGTGCGTTTCAATCCCTCTTCGAAAAGAGGAAAAAGCGTCATCAGCAATTGCATGCCGTTGAGAATGAAAAAGGCCTGCGAAAAGGCAAATCGAGGGTTTTCCAATGCCCTTCTTTGCACACACAAATATTAACATTAGAAATGATTATGCGAAAATCGTAAAATATCCGTGGAATGAAGAGGGAAAACGTTGTTTGATTTTATTGACTTTTCCTCTGATTTATTTTCATTGAAAAGTTTATTTACTCACTCGATAAAAATGGAACAATTTCCATTAAAAGTTAAAGAAATTGAAAATTTGATTCAGGACATTATAAGGCGATTGAAAATTTATAAGAAGTTTAAAATCATTTTCAGAAAATAATTTTGACTTCAACTTTCCTTAATATCGAGACTTAACTTTAAGCAATCAAAACGATCGACGATGATCCCTCGAAAGAAAATAAAAAAGGTTCAAGAGGGAGGTTGGCCTTTCGATTTCTATTCTTTCATTTTTGTATTGTGTGAGGCTGGTTGAGGGTTTCGAAAAAAAAAATCCCATTTCATGCACACAACAACAATGATATTGTCGAAGAAGGGCAAGTTTCAAGAGAAGGAAGAGAAAACCTTATTTTAAGGGATGCAAGGACACAATCTGATTCAGTTTGTAACACGACGGCAAAGTGTACAGAGTTGATATTTTTATATAATTCAAGTGTGGAAATAGAAAAGTTTTTATTGATTAGAATGGCAGGAAAAATGTCTTCACCGCCTCAAACTTATTCAAGAACAATTTTCCGTCCTTGGGATAATAAAAGTGGAAAAAATGGAAATGACAACGTTTCAACAAGTGCTAATAATGATAACAAAGTTGAAGTGCCATTAATGATAAAAGAAGAATCGCTTGGTATGCAGTCAATGATGATGTCGAATCCATGTTTAATGAACGGATCTTTGACGATGATTCCTGACTACATGTACATGCCACCACCCCCGCCAGGAGATTTTCTTCCGCTTGGACCCTTCGATGCATACTCAATGAGTATGATGGAACAAGAATACGCGAGAGTGATTGCTGAAGAAGCTCGAGCTAAAATGTTAAGTGCTAAGAAACAACGACCTAAGAAATTCAAATGTCCACATTGTGATGTCGCTAAATTCTCTAACAACGGCCAATTAAAATCACATATCAGAACGCATACTGGAGAACGTCCTTTCAAATGTGAAACTTGTAATAAAACTTTCACAAGAAACGAAGAGTTGACACGTCATAAAAGAATTCACACGGGCATTCGACCATATTCATGTTCAACATGTGGGAAGAAGTTTGGAAGACGAGATCATCTTAAAAAGCATGCAAAGACTCATTTAACTCAAGATCGATACAGTGCAGTTCTTCTTCCAGTTTATCCTCCATATCTTTATGGATATTAGATTTAAGAATTGAGAAGAAATTTTATTAATTTGTACATAATATAATTAACATTAAGTAGATACATTTGAAGAGAAATATATTTTTTAAAAGACTTAAATTTTCTTTGTTTTAACTATCTACTTGAATGATTTATAAAAAAAAATTGAAGATGAAATTTTGTTTTTCAGATGTTTCTCAATTTGCCAGTGATGAAAGTTATGAAACTTCCCTTTGGTAAAATAAATTATAAAGTTTCATATTTTTCCAGCATCTTTGATAAAATGTTTCACAAAAAGTATTAAAATAATTGAAGATTTCAATGAGATAAGCCAAATGTTGCCAAAACACATTTTGCTGATATGTTTCAGCCATTATTCATTGAACCCTTAAAGAGTTGAAGAAGGCGTGGTCTCTTCGAAGTTAAATCTCACGAGGGTTGCTTTAAACGACTGCATTTATTATTTCCATTCTTTCCCCTGCATAACTTTATGTGTTATGCGGTTGCCATTGATTTTTATAAAGCATTCAATGATGGTGTGTTCAGAGTTCTTATGATCAAAATTTTATTCTTATTTATGTTCTAAAAACGTCATTTAGTCGATTTTTGAATGAAACTTTACACAAAGGAAAAGAAAATTCTATCAAGCGATTGATCCAAAGTGAAACCACGAGTCGCGCGTGAAGCTTCGAAGGCCTTTTGTGCAAACATCTGCTGCAGCTTTTCCTAGAAATCATTACATTTAATTTTCATTGTGTGGCTTGAGGCCCAAAAGAAGGTGACATTAAAAAGGCGAATGGATTTCTTGTGGCACTTTTCTTAGACAACAATTCTAATCAAAGAACATTTCATAACAGCGACTAACAAAAGATTCCATTTCAGTGGCAAACAAAAGCAAAGAATCAATAAATTAAATGAAATTTTGATCGAGTGGTAAGCGAAGAGTGTTGAAGAGAATCGCGCAAATTTCTCTAAGCATTTAAAATCGATCAAATTCTGTTCAAACGACACAATCGCCTTTTAATGACATTTTGCAATATTCAAAACAATTGCGCAAAAACATCAAAAATGTCAAAGAATCTCAAGATTGATCACTTTTACTTAATTTTCAACATTTTTTTTGGGTGAAATTTTTTACCAGGAAAAAAGGAATCGAGAAAAGGGACAAGCCCGCGCTTAAGTGACAAAACCGCTTCTCCGATTGTTAGAACTTTTTGTATAGAACGAGAAATTTATTACAAAGGGATGAGCTCGCATCGAGTGCTTCTTTCATTGTTGTAACATTTTTTTTTATTTCACAGAAATGTTTCCAGAAATATTTTCCAAAAAAATTGTGCCAATAAATCATTTATTTCGGGTTCGATTGACGATCACATTGCTGCTCTCTTTGATTCATTTAATGTGATATTAAAGAATCTCTGGGGTGTCGTTTTGAAAGTTGAATGAAAATACGCGAGGCTCATGAAACAAACCGCATCTTGATCGATGGAATATGAGCCCGCGTGGCTTCGATTACCTTCCAATTTGTCATCAAATTTCTTACAATGAAAAGACATTTTCAATTGATTTCTCGATCTATAAATCTTTAAAAAATAAAACAGAATTTGATCGATTAACGTTTTGAGATCAAAGAAAGAAAGTTTTTGAACATTCAATTGTGAAAATTAACATAAAATTTGCAAGCCGAATTGCAAATTCTTTGTATCCATTTTCTGCTTATTTATGTTGAATGGCTTAGTCAAAAACATCACTTGGTCTCTCAAACAACTCAATAGAATTTGGCAAAAGAAGTTCAATGAAAGCATCTTACGATAATCGCTTGTCATCGAAATGTTAAGTGTTAAAATTATATTTATCTACACAGAAAATATATGCCCCATTATCCTATTATCCTTCGACTCACAATTCCATTCAAATTTCAATGAGTCGAAAGAAATCCTCTTCATTGTGTATGAGAACTCGAAATGATTTTAAGAAAATAGAAAGAGAAACATAAAAATAACAAACAAAAACTTTCGGTCATGAAAAGAATTCTGAAACTTTTTCATTTCATTGAAATTGGAAGCTGAAGCAGAAGCTGAGGTAGAAAGTAGATTGGATATAAAATTTAATGTTCAGTTCACTTTAATTAGTTTGATTTCAAAGTTAAAATTATTGAAAAAATCTTGCAATGAGATTGCCACGACATAAATATTAAAAAGCAATTGAATGCCAACTGGCAATTGTGTTGACTACCTTATAAGCTCATAACAAGATGTTTTCCTTTGAAGTGTGCAAACTATTGACCGTAAATTCTAAACATGCTAATAAGCATTCAAAACACAACATACAACACATGCTACAGTTGAGCAGATTAAGAAATTGTAATCCTATTGATTTCAAGAACCTTTCAAACTTCAGTTTCATTCAAGAATGAGGTGAATATGTTGTGGAACTAATCGGATTTAATGCAACAATTCCACTTAACTTCATACTCTCACTTGAATGTTATAATTGTTAAGAAACGAGCTTCGAATGAATGAGAATTGCCTATGAAAAGAAGGTTTCATCCTTAAATTTCGATTAAGAATAATCTTCAATGTTCACTTCTATTCAAGCTAATTAGTTCCACAAAATTCTTCGCAGCATTCTGAGATGACATTTTCATTGCCTTTCATTAGATCGAGCGGAAAATCTAAATTATCAACGCCAACGAGACTTCGTTTTCTGTCATAATTGATTCTTCACACATCGATTTCATGAACTTCAAATAAACAATGAAAATATCTGAGAACATAATCTAATAAAAATCAGTTCACAAGGAAAAGATCAAACAAAGTCCATGCCGAATCTTGGGTTGACTTGAAGGGGCAATAAATAAATATTGTTGATCGTAGACTGTTTGGCATCTTTTAGAATAAAAATAACTTTGTAGAAGAACAAATGGATCGAAGAAAAACTTCAACAATAACTTCTGTCATCGTTTGCTCTCTGCTGCCATTAATATTGTCAATCCATGCCAAACCACATCATTATATTTCTTACTAACAAACACTAGTAGTGCAGAAAAATATACAGCAAAGTCATCATTAGTGACGACAACATTTTCGGTCGTTTCTTCTTTTTTTTTTCGTCTTCATAAAACTGCAAAACAAGTCAATTTATGGCAAAATCTTTTGAAGACAAACCGAACCCAGAAAAGAGAATAAAAAAGTTGCTTTTTTGATAAAACAAAACAAGACAAAAGGTCGGATTGCTGTGAAGTATTATTTAGTTAGACAAGAGTTATTTTATTGTTCTATGAATGTAGTCAGTCGGTAGCTGATGAAAGGTAACAAGTTTGAGGTGAGAAATGAAAGCATGAAACGAGTCTTTGACAAATGACTTTTAAAACTTAATATTCCAGGATTTGCAATAAAACCAGCCGAAATGTCTGGAGTTGAATGTTCTCGAAATCTGCTCGTTTTCATCTCGTGTCTGAATCCGGTTAAATCAACAAAAAAAACTTGATTATGTTCATTTGTGGGAGCCAACGATCATTAACAAGAAGAAACTAACAAATCTGACACATAAAAAACACGAGACGGCCTTTAAAACCGAGATCAAATTATGCAAAATTCTTCTTCAAAGTCGATTTCAGTTCTTCTCCAGATTTAGACAGAATAAGACTATGAACGGGATGAGCTTGAAAAATTGCGTCTTATTATTTTGTACTCTTATTTGTTGTGTTGCGAGTAAGTCGTGTGACAAAAGTGAGTGCCCAACAATTCCGAAACATTACGAAGAACTTGGTTGCAAGCCCGTGAAACAATCTGGAGATTGCTGTGTGAGAAGGTAAGCGAATCTTTCCTATCATTATTGATTGATTATAAATGTCATTTAATTTTCTTTGTTTTCAAAACAGTTTCGAATGTCCAGATCACAACAATCGAAACAGCTCAAAATGTTACTACCAAAATAAAGTTTTGAATCCTGGTGATACTTTGGAAAACTTTCAACAGACGGACACTTGCGAAGGAAAATGTTATTGCAATCTTAACAGGGGCGGTGGACAATCAGAAATTATTTGTTCACGATTGAAATGCGTTGAAAATTCGCCGGTTGATCAACAAGTTCAAAATTGTATCAAGCAATACAACGAGAAAAATTGTTGTCCTATTAAAACAGTTTGCGGTAAACTAAACTGAAATACTGAAATGCGAAAAAATCAACGTCAAAATTTCATGAGTGTCTCGTAACTTTCACAGGTGATGACATAAACAAGCTGAATACGTGCGAGTTTGAGGGACGATATTATTTGGAAGGGGATAAAATGTATCCCAAAAACATTTGTAACAAATGTTTTTGCACTAAAAACTTTAACAACAAAACGGCGGTGACAGCGAATCCAAATTGTCACAAAATTGACTGTGGAATTGCTTTGACGAAGACGATGAGACTCTCTGAAGGCTGCATTCCTGTTTATATCAAGACCGATGACTGTTGTCCAATTGGATGGCGATGCCCTGGCGAAAAGCATATGAAAGTCGGCACGCCGAAAGGAAATGAACTTAAAGACAAATGTAGGTTCGGCAACATGATGTTGAAAGTTGGGGAGTCGTTGGATTTGGGTGGCGATGAAAATTGTCAGAATTGTACGTGTACAATGCCACCAATGTTGCATTGTATTCAAACATGTTGAGCTTCTAAGTTTTGAATAACAATAAATCATGAGATTTGAAAGCATTAAAAGGAATCTAACTGGAAGATGAATTAGCTTCTGATTTCTTATTGGACTTTCTCGTTCAAGAGAACAATTTTTATTTTGGTTTGGTTTTCGTTTTTCACTTCGCATAGTTTTACAATTTCTGCTCTCTTCATACTCACAAAAACATCTTCGATATTTAAAAACAACCATTTAACCACATTCGGGGTTTCATTAAATACTGATAACTCAACCGACTCTATTCACCATTTTGCAACGATATGAAATTTCGCTTATTTATAGCAATTTGTTAAAATGACAAAAATTTCGGATGAAATTACTAGGCGAACATGAAACTAAACGAAGAGAACAAAATCGAAAACAGTAAAGAAAACTTTTTTTTTCTTCTTTTCATATTTTTTTGTGTTATTGTGATATTTTAGGGTTCTTGTTAGTATTGCAAACGTCAGATTGAAAAGAAAATTTCGAATGAAAATGATGAGTTAAAGAAAATTCATAATGAACAATCAATTAGTGTTTGATTTAAAACGCTGAATAATTTCAGTTTAAATCTCTTCAATTTATTCCTTTCTTTTGATGATTTTGCTTAATTAAGTTAAAACTTAAACGAAAGCTATAAATTTTTTTTTGGAAAACGGTTGCAATGCTCGTAAAACCGCATCAAAAGCGAAGATAAAACACTTTAGTCGACTGTTCCTTTATTCTTTGATATCAGATGATTAATGCTGACTCGGATGTCATTAACTTCTTCGCTTTTAATTATAAACGAGAATTTTTTTTGCAAGCTTATCATTTTAGCGCTTTGTAAGTTCTCATTTTACAACGGATTATATTTTTAATTGTTTGTGGATTAAAAGGATTTTAGTGATGCATGAAACATACATCATGTCTTTGACATAAACTTTTCCTTTATCGCTTAATTTTTTTTCTCTCTTTAATGAGTTTAATGACTCGATATCTCCTGATAAGCGCTTAGTTGAGGCAGACACAAGCCTTTGACACTCATGACAACACAGACGAAGAAACACTTCGTCGTAAAATGTGACAAGGTCACACAAAAAAATTTCGGTTCATCATAATGGGCTCGCAGAAAGAGCGAGTGTTCTGAGGAAACAATCATTGAGAAACGAACTTTTGAATGCTGAATAATTTTGTTGTTATTGATGAGGCATATTTGTCTTCAATAATATTACGATGAAAATTGAATTTCCACATCATTTAGTTCAAATGAATTCTTCAAATATATTTTATCACTGAAGATAAAAATTTTATTCAACTGCATTCGTTTCTATAGTGAAGATGTAAGAAAAAATATTGAACATGATGATTATACTTAATTCCCTACAACTTCTTGAATTTGCAAGTTTATACAGCCAAGGAAACTGTGTAACGATCATCCAGGAAAGTTTGGAACTCTCAACAGATTTACAGTGAATGAAAAATGTTCTTCAATTGTTCAGTTTGAAGTTAGCGTTTTCCTGTTCTTTTCATTAAAATTAAACAACAATTCAACAATCAAGACTTGTACACAAGTGAATGCTTTAACTTCTAATAAAGAGTTCAGGAAGTTAATCCTAAAGTAGTTCAAGACTTAATTGCTAATCAAAACTTTCCTTCAATGCTGGATATTTTAAGATTTCAATGACGACGAAGGGATAAAAATTTTGCGCCTGTGGATTGGACAACCTGAAAAACACTCGAACAGAATTAAACTCAATTAGGTAAATTTAGCTAATTCTCATTACCAATGTAGCTGAAATTTTTATCTTTTATAAAAATAAAACAATTTAATCCAATTTATACTTGATTAAAATAAAATAGCTTTCACTTCATAAAGGAAGCTTTAGAAATTTTTTCTATTTTTATCATCTTTTTTTCTATCTTTTGTATCATTTGTGATGATATTTAATTGTTAAGTAAAATGTTTCCAGAAATTTCCACTGGTATTGTTCAAAGCATCCAATAATGAGAAGAAGGAATAAATTTTTCACCATAAATTCCAATCTTTTTTTGAGTTTTACTCCATTATCTCAAGTACGCAGATTACGTTCTTTTATAGAAATAAATGTTTTTGTTACCTAGATAAAGTTACAAGCATATTGTTTCTAATTTAATTCTGTTTGAAATATAATCTGGTATTACGAGTATTTCTAAAGTCATGAAAGTCTAAAGAAAAGATTTGCTTCCATTGTCATTTATCTCAATAAGAGTTCAACAATATTTCAATCAAGATCTATCTTGATTTGAGTCGTCATTTGATATTATCTTTTGAATTTTATATCATGTTCATTTGTTGAATTCCAAATAAAAATCTTTCTTCTGAATTAATGAAACTTTCAATCACGCGATAATTTTTTAATGGAAATGTAATAAAATAACATCGAAAAACGAAGGCAATTAAAAAGTAATTTACATGCAAAAGGATTGAGTAAAAATGGATAAAGACTCAATCCCACAAATTTCTGATAAAACTGGAGCAATTCATTCATAAATCATTAAAAGAGAAAGCTCAGAGTGCAAGAAACATAAAAAAGAAATCCCATGGAGTTTCTCCCACAGTGCAGCTCGTTGATTCATTGTTTGTCGGGATTGGGTGGGTTGAGGAAGAGTAAAACAAAGCACAAAAGTGAATCTTTCCTTAAATTTCATGATAAACTATTTCGAGAGTAAATTTCACCTGGAAAACTTTCTAATTCTCAATTGTACTGAACTGTAGTGAACCCAATGGAATTTAAACTCTACGGTATGGAAATGTAATTAAAGAAGAATGAAAATTGAGTCGGTAATTTCCATTACAAAAAGAAAGTTAAGTTGTGGAAAAGTTTTTCCTTTTTTTCTTTATAAAATCATGAGAAGGAAGATGAGGGATGAGAATTTGTCTGAATCATGACAGACCAAACCACTGGAAGTGAAAAAAAGCTTTTGAATAATTTTAAAGATTTTTTACATATATTAGAAGCGAGAAAGGAATTAAATTCAAAGTTATGCAGCAAAAAAATTAATTTAAAGTTCAAAATATCGCGGTGTGAATAATTTAAACGTCGTTTCGGATGAATTACAGGAAGCAAATGTTTATGTAAACATTAATTAAAAAGCAGTTAAAAGTTTTTCGTGTTTAAATCATCAGACATCTCAATGCACTTAACATGTACCAATATTGCAAGAAAGCTCTTAATACCCCTTCAGTTTCTACTTCATTTCAACACCAATTACAGATCCAACGACAAAGTTTCAGCAAAAATTGGACAACTTAATTAGAACTTGCTTCCAACATTCACCAAACTCACCCAATCAAATTGAACATTAAGACTTGAGTGATGTTGCTTTAGGGATGTAAACTAGAAAGTATAAAATTGAATCTTAATAGATCTTGTCGCTTTGGCTTTCAGAGCTTTCAAACTTTTCTCTTTATTTTAGTCCATTTAATTTCTTTGTTCACTTTATATAAGCAAGGAAAACAAAAAAGTGTGACAAAATTTTACCCACAAAGTGCAATTGGTCGCATAATGAAGAATGCTAAGAGAGATTACGAAGTTTTCGCATTGAAGCGACTCACATTAAAAAGAGAACTTTTGTCTCTTCTACGTGACTCGTTTAAGCTATCAAAACCATATTTCAAGTTCCTTTACAGCATCCATCGAGTAACATGGAAGGAGAAAGGAGGAAGAAAAATTTACATCGTCTCATAAAAAATTTTCTTGTAAAATCGTCCCACAATAATTGTGATAATTTTTTCCTGCATTCGAAGACATTTTATGTCTTTATTCCTTCGACAATTAAAAGCTTCATAGCTTTATAGCAAATTATACATAATAGATGAGAAAAAGATGTTAAATAGAAGGGAAGGAACAAGTTTTAGACTCACCCTGAAGCATAATCCATTGCAAAACGCAATACATTTTGCTTAATTTGTTCAAGCGAGCGAAATCCATTCGAATGGAGCAACTGCAGTTTGGCTGAAAATTAATCCAATGTTTTATGTTCTTTTACTTTCTTTGTTTTAGCTGCTCGATAGAATTATACATGGAAAGGTTTGGGGTGGAAATATTTTTAATTTTTATAGCTTTCTCTTATTATGTTGAAAGTTTTATGGGTTTTTTTCATCCATGGCTCTTCTTAATATCGAAGCAGAAACCGTCTGATGGATAACCGGAAAATTTTCCAATCAATTTTACTTTTCCCTGTAGTAAGTTTCATGTAGCTTTAATTACCGAGAAGAAAACTTTTTTTCATTTAGATTTGAGGGTGGGGGAGAGTTGAAAATCGCGATTTTTCCGCTACCGATTTAGAATCATTACAGGTAATTGTGGATGTTTGCCAACTGTTAAGTGAAATCCTTTCCATGTTTTTTTTCTAGTATAAGAGAAGATAGAAAATAGAATTCAGTTCGAGGAAGAAATCTCGTTGCAAGCAAAGATGAATTGAGGTTTGAAAAAGGTTTCGAAGCGGTTTCTAAATTTAAACAAGCTACACAACTCGGCTGGAAATTGCCATCGAAGAATGTCGCTCCAACAATGTTTCTCGTACATCAATGTACAGTTTTAAAACCAGGCGCTCATAAGAGAAGAGAGTGTGAAGAATTAGTAAACATCGAAGCAAAAACAAAATCGAATAAGAGGGAAAGAAAATGTTTTTCTCTGCGTTTAATGTCTGAAGGTGCTGTTATGAAAAAAATGAAGCAAGACAGTCAAAACGTGCGAATTGAACGGCCACTATGAAGCGAAGTCGCACAAATTTCAGCGTCAAATGACGCTTTGAGTTAAATTTTATTAGGAACGCATGATATACGACATGTTCTTTCCTGAATGATTCTTTTGTACTCCATCGAAAATTATTTAATAAATGAAATATGTAAATCAATCGCCAAAGGCTATTCCAAGTCAATTGATAACAATTTACTGCTATTCAGTTCAACGTAACGTGATTATTAATTTTCAGAGTCATTTAACTTGATTTTTCAACGCTCTATTTTATGAAATAAAAAAAAGTTATGTAAAAATTTGAAACAACTCGCAATGTGGCTCAGCAAGTAATAGCTCACAGTAGCAACAAACGAAATGAACAAAACGATGACGGTGATAATTTTCCAAAAAAGAAATTGCTCTCGTGAACGTGAATTCTCGCCATCGCTTTTGGCTTTGTCTGCAAAATTTATTGTTCTGCATTTTATTTTTCTTTTCTTTTGGTTTCGTTGGAATTTTTATACTTTTTGCATAGCATTTTTGTTCGGTTTCATATTATTATTATTATTATTATTATTATGTTTTTTTGGTTGTTCAACTGAAATTTTTATTTCTTGTTTCACTTTGCTTTCATTGAATTCAAGGTTTAAGTAAGAGAAGTTTTTAATGATTCAAATTCAGTGTTTTGGAAATAATGAATCTTAAAGCGAAAACAAACGAGAAAGAAACTTTGTCGTCGCGTAGCAGGTGACTAAGATGAGTTTGCATTGCAATATTCAAGCTTTAATGCAAGTGGTTAATGCTTTATATGCTACCATGACTCTGAGTAGAAGTATTGTAATTTATAACATTTTTAATCGTCTTTCAACTTCCGTATGGCATATCTTTAACGTTTGAATGTCATCAAAAGCATGATTTACTTCTTTTATAAAAATATCTTTTCAAAATAAAAAAGATTAAGTTAGCATTCATCTGCAGATATTTCTATACATTCAAAAGAACTGAGATTAGATTTGAGAAAAGGTTTTAGCACTGATATTTAGTTTTCTCGACTGCCTTGATATTTTGCAAAGAAATCTACAAGAGTAAACTTTATTATGCTCATATGCATAGATATGATTAATAAGCATTATAATATGTAATCAACATTTTTTCACATCTATTTAGTTTAATGTAGCGTGTACAATATTGGCATTGAAATGAGTTTTACATTTATTATTATATAAAAATTATTCACAGTAAACAAAAATTATAATGCATTTCCCAATAATTAAAATCTCACGATGTTAAAAAGAATCTATGTCAAGCAAGGTGATAATTACGAAACAGTGAAATGGTTTTTATTAATTTCTGACATGTGAATAACATTACTTGCTAATCTTTTTGCTCATAAATTGCGAAAAAAAATCACATGCTGCTTTCATCTCTCTTTATTTTGGATCACGCTGATTTACTCTCCCGGATCCGGATCAAGCCGGAAGAAGAGAAAATTGAATGTGGCAGTTTGAACTGCTATTTTTAAACATATCAACTGTTGAAATACTCACTTTCACCTTCTAATCAATAATGAGTCGTAAAACAATTAATATTAATGAAGTTCTCATAGATTGTATGACTATGAGACAACTGACTTATGTATCAATAAAAAATGACGTTCATCAAATGTCAAAAGTTGACTTGTCATATATTTAATCAAAAAATATAAATTTCAAGTCAAGGAGGTGTTTCTATCCACATCTCGACATAAGAATGATAAATTATAGTTCTTCAGAATATTTGTATTAAATTCTAATGAACAATCGACACACTTTTTGAGCTTTACGTCAATGAAGGTCAATTAACATTACGCTGTATCATCAATTGTCACTTCATCAACTACAGTCAACTACAGACGAATACATAAATTCAATTTAACTAAGTAAAGAAAATAGCAGTCAGCAAAGATAAATATTAAGTTGTCTTGTCAGACATTTACGTTGGTGTTCGCGTGAGAGTTGAGTCGAGCCCTCGTTCTCTCATTGGATATATTTGCCGATCGTACGATCGTTTGCTTCGCATAGTTGCCGTTCTTTTCTTGCTTTTCTTTGAAATGAATATGAGTAAGTTTTGAAATACTTTGGATCGTACGAGTGCCCACATTCGCTTACTCACCAAACATCGTACGATATTTTTTTATCGTGTATTGATCAATAGCGGAATGAGTTTTTGCCAAAAACGATGTTCATAATTTATGTTTTCTTTTTAATTTTGCAATTGTTTTTATTGTGTAAGACATTAATATTGTTAATGCCTAACACGCGGAAAAAGATTTTTAATCGAATCACGATAAATTTGCTCAATTCATATAATAACTGATTGAAAAAGGTGAATTAATGTTGACCTTTCTTCATTTGACATTGCAAACAGAACCTTCGAAGTAAAGAGAGAAGAAGGAAGAACTTGAAGAATAGTTGAGGGGATCTTTGAAATCATCTTCAAAAGAGTTTCTTACAGAATCTTTTTGTTGATGTTTCTATTCTTTTCAAAGCATTTTAAAAGTCAAAGAAATATCCTCAAGATCGAATGTATGACATGAGATTATTCTTCAATTACAAAATAAAATGCGCAATGAATATTTAAAAGATTTTGTTGATAGGTAATGTTTTCATGGAAAAGTCTGGAAATATTCAATGATGTCACTAACAAATTTGTCGCTTCGTTTACGTTCACTCATATGAGCACTTGAATAAAATTTCCATCATTAAAGTAAACACGTTTTGGAATTGTTTATTCAATTAGTAAATAAATGACGACAAACGTAAGGATTAATATTATTAAACTGTTGCGAGTTAATCTTTTTTCTCTGATGTTGTGTTGATTGTGTTGATTCTACACGTGATATCAACACATGACTTACGTCACAACTTCGCTCTCTTCTTCGCATTCTTCTCTCTCAAAAAAATCCTTCATGCTCAATTTTTTCGTCAGCACTGAATAAACTTTTTTATATTAACGAAGTCGGAAGATAATTTTTGATTCAGTCTTTCAGAAAACGTTCGCTGAGCTTGAACACAATCCCAAAAAAGATATAAATAACATACATAAATATCGTTCGATCAACATTGAACGTCACCAAGGCCTCGCGAATATTTTTTGAAATACTTTTCTGTTTTTTTTTGTCAAAAATATTTCTCAAAAATTCACTAAAAAAAGTCATTTGAGTGAAATAAAATAAACATTTGTGCAATAAAAAAAAGTCGATTGTTGTAAGATCATTGTGAACTTAAAATAATTTATCGTTTAAAATCGAATTGATTGATTTCGATTGCGTGATAAAAATTGAAGGAGACAAATAGATTTAAAAAAAATCGAGACGACTTCAATTAAAATTTCAATTGATTAAAGAAGCTTGAATCAAAAATTTAATTGAATTTGAAATCGTCGAGAAGTGTGCAGAGAGAGGAGTTCATCATGCAGTACAGACGCTTAACTTTGTTTAACAAGCTTTCACTGTTGGCTACACTTTTAATTACAGGTAAGATTGTTAAGATTTCAACGTAAAAAATTATGAAAAAAAATCAAATTATGTCACATTTCATTTGTTATGCAAATGATACCTTCGTAGGACGTTATCGCGATAATGAAAGTTTTCAGAGAACAAAGTTTCATCCTCCCGCTACACGCTATGTCGTAAAGCTCGTAAATTTTTAAAAATATCATTAATATTTCTCTTGTAAAAAAAGTCCCATTTCTAACCCTTTCGAGACGTGATGCTGTTTGTTGACAACTGCTTCCTTCTCTGTTTTGCTTTGAAAATCAAGCATAAACGAAAGGGTCGTTAATTTTTAATTATTTGTCCGCTCCACCTCAACTTTGGCTTAGGCCATTTACTTCTTTTTTGTGACTGTCTCCGATGCCGTTCTGCAACGTGATAGAAAATTTTTTTGCTCTTAAATTGAAATCAACAAATTCTGATTATGCTAGCAGCTAGCATGATAAAAAAGGACTTTTAAGAAGAGAAGATTAAATGGCTTTCAAAAGAAATCTGATGGTTGAGTGTCTACGAAGGCAAACAAAAGTTCAAATGATCAAAAGATTAACAAATTGTTTTCCTTCTCCATCCGTCCTTTTTATAATTTTATTTACTTAGAAGAAAATTAATTTTTGTATTGCTAAAAGCTTCTGAAAGTTGATTATTTGGGTTCAGCTTTAGATGTCATTCTCATTGCTTCACTTTCTGTTTTTCTTATTAAACTTTTTTAATAATTTCATCAACAATGCACTGATAAGTGAGTAATTCAACTGCGCATTGTCGTAGATAATTAAATAAAAAATTCTCTACTTTATCAATCAAAACTTTCTACATTTATTTTCTGCTTCCTGTTTCTTCATTCATTGCTAATTATGTTTGTTTAAAGATCTTCACATTTTCCACCCCCAATCATCCCAAACAAGCAAAAGAGTTTTGTTGACATTCCATCCCATCCTTTTCTTTACTTTTTCTCTCATCACAACAAAGTCGTGAGGATAAATCGTTAAGAAAGCACAATAAAGTTTACTCCAACTTTTGAGCGAAAGCTTCTTTACTCTTAGTTGAATTACCTCCAAGGCGACACCTCAATGAAATAAAAATTATGCAAATACGCGAGAATCTTTTGTAAACATCAACTCGATGAGATGATTGATTTGTAAACAAATTAAAAAAGCATTTCCCATGTTGTCTCTACGTTTTTTAATCTATCTAAAGGTAAAAGGATGAACATCGTACATGCCATTGTTTGTGAAAGTTCTTGAATTGAACATCAGAATAAGGTGAAAAACAAATATCAAACTCACATCCTCCGGAATAAAACATTATGTCACGTTTCAAGGTGTTAAAGTTTCAAATATTCTTAACTTTAAATCTCAGTCTTCACGTTTTCTTCAAAGAAAAAAAAAGCAAAAGTTTTACAACTAAAAACATTCCACTCGATGACCAAGAGATGATAAAAATCACGCGAGGTTTCTTTCTTTGAATTAGCAGATTAATATTTATGAAAAAATCATACACAAGCAAAAAATATTCCACGCGATCTTTTCTATTCTGAATGAATCGATTGAAATATCTTTTCATATGTATTGTAATAAATAAACACGTTCCATTATCAGCTGCAGGTATTTGAAAGGTGGTGTGACACTCATGAGTCAGTGATAATGATTTACAATAAATTCCCATTGAATTTCGTCGTAAAATATTTGTTTACTATCAGTTTAAGAATGGGGAAGTTCCGTATCAATGTTTTTAATACTCGCTACCAGTTTGCACTGGTAAACTCGTAAGAGATCAGTTGAATGCTTATCAGTAAAATAATTAATTAAAAATTTGCAATTGGGAATTAAGATAAGAATTATTAAATTATATTCAATGGAAAGTTTGCGTGTAACAAGCTGGTGTCAAACTAATTTATGTTAATTCGTTTTGAGACATTCATGAAACTCCTACAGTTGTCAGGAACTTCAAAAAAGAATTATTTTTAAACCTCTTTGACGTAGGTTTATTGTGTGTTATTTCTTTAGTATTTAATGTTTAATTGACGTAATTTTCGCTTTATGAACAAACCTGTTGGTATCGTTAAAAGAGAGAAAAAGTATCGTACGATCGTCGGCAGACCCAATAGAAAAACGAGGGCTCGACTAATACCAATACATGCGATTTGTATCTTACTTAGATATCTACTTTTCAATGCAACATAAAAGAGAATCATCATTGTTTTCAACTTGTTGAGATCTTTTTAATGTATCGCAAGGTGACTCAAACCAGAATAAACTGCTTCAAGTAGAGATTTGTTATTGTAAAACGTCTCCGTCTTTAATGTACAATTTGATTCGAATTACGTTTCTGTGATTTTTCCCAGAAAATATCTCTTGGGGGAGAGTTGATTGTAAAACAGGTTAATGGTTAAAGAATCTCGAAAATTTATCTCTCATGTCATTCATGATACGGAAAATTAAATTCGTCACTTGTATTGATGAAAATTAAATTTTCCTTCGGTTTTATAGCATCGTCTTTGACATAAAAATTTCTTCGTTTGATGATTTTTCTAGATTTTTCTAGATCAAGTTACTTTAAGGTAAACGCTCAATTACCAAGATTTTCATGATATCTTCTTCATCTTAAAAAGCTGCCAATGATCAAGAGAATATTTCTGAGGATGAATTAATAAAATCTACATTAGAAATTTTTATATTTTGCTCACAATTTGTGAATAACTAACTAGCTTACTACTACTTTGAAAAATAGCTAAACACAATTTGTGTCTCATTCTATGTCAGTTTGAATTATATTCAAGAAGAGAATACCTAAGAGAATAACGAATATTCAAAATAAAGGCAATTGCCAGAGAAATATTGCAATTTTTTATCATTTCTCTCTTGCTTCATGAAATATTTTACATGAGGAAAAATTTGTTTCGTTCTCTATTTATTTAGTTGTTTGTAATAAACTAAATATTCGTTTGTAACCGTCATAAAATGTGAAAAATGAAACAAACATCAGGAGATATGCGATAAAACAAGACACAAAGTTGCAAATTATTTCTGAATTCTAATCATTGCAGTTTTGAAGATTTTTACATTTTATATGCAATAGAAAACTGTCAGAAATTAATATAAAATTGATTTCTTATTACAAATGTTGCTATTTGTTGTTTAAAGGTGGGAAAAGCCCAGAAGTTCAATACACTCACTTAAATCCGATGTAAACAACGTCAAAAGTTAAAGCCACATTTTTTGACTTCATCCAAATGAAACCAAGCAACGTAAAGAACCCACAAACGAATGTTTTTTTATTAGGTATTGAGAAACTCAATTCATTTAAAACGTCAGCGAATGTTTGAACAAGCTCGACGTGTTTTCAAATCTTTGACTCACTTCAAGGATTTTAATACGATTAAAACTTTTGGGAATTGTTTTATTTTGATGATGTTATGATGCACTCTAACGAGTCTTGAAGATAAGCAAAGCTAAACACTTTCTGTTTCCGACTATTTCGAAATATTATTTATACAGTAACGTAATTGTTTGTTGTTTTCACTTGTGGAAAATCTGCTGATTATTCTAATTAAAACTGTTTGGAAAGTCATAAACGCCACATGAGCATTGAAAGCAAAATTTCCTTTTGTGTTAACTGAGTTTTAATCTTCATCAGTTGTTATTTGTTTAACCATTTAGTGCGACCATTGAAAAAACTTTGAACGTCGATATTGCAAACTTTTTTTGTGGATTGACAAATCTCATTTATTCACATGTTGTTTCTATTGCATAAGCGGATCAAGAAATCTATTTAATTACAGTTTTAGTTACATTTGCATTTCTCCATTTATTTTTCGTAATATGTCATTTTGAAACGACTGAAATATTCTTAAAAGCTCACACTCAATCAATGCATATCCCAGCATAGTTCGAATAATCTCTCAATAGAACCTTGCACTTCCCTAAAGGAATAAATTTAGAAAATTAAATGGACGGAGCGAGAAACATTTTCCCATCGATTACGCTTTAAATAAATTTCCGGTCATGTACCATCCGCATTCTAGACTTCTCTTCTCGAAGTAAAAACTTTTTTCCTTCACATCGTTTTGTCTGTAAGCAATTTTAAAGACAGACAAATAGTGATTTTATTTCAATTTCACCCTCAAATGTTTTACATCCCTAAGAAGTTATTTGAACTAAAGTTATAATAATATAAATTCAATTTTTTTATTTCCAGTTTATGCCACAAAAGCACAAGCGGAAGAATGCGGTCATGAAGAGCTTAACAAATGCTCGAAATCTTTACAAGCCTTAAAGTCGGCCACTGATTTGAGTTTCGCACCAAAACGTGAAGAGTTGGCTGAATTATGTCCTGATCTTGAAGCTGGTTTACGATGCATTCGAAGCTACACTAGACGATGTATGACATTACCGCAACGCCAGCAATTTATGAAAATCTACAAGGGAACAGACGACGTGATCCGAGATTTGTGTCGAGAAGGCGACTATCAAAATGAATTCCTAAAGCATGCAGCATGTTTACGAACGGTCAAGCCGCAACATAAAAAATGCGAAGAAAAGTATCAAGAGACAATGTTATCACTGAAAACCCCCAGAGTCAATCAAACGATGCAAAATGAACAGCAAACCGAACAAAACACAAACGATGATGTTAGAAAAGTTTGTTGGTAAGTTTCAGATCATCAACTTCTCAAGAATTAAGTATCGGAGGTGTTTGAGTGGATGGATAGAAAATGAGAAAATTTATATAAAGTTTTCAACTACTTTTGCGAAGAAGTTTGTTGATAGATTTCGATAAAGTTACTCATTCTCTAACATTCAACCTTTAACCACTTTTCATACATATTCATGAGCGAAATAGCATAATAAAATATTACCGACCATATGAAACGTTGTTTACTAATTGATGAATTTATTACAGTTCATTCCGTGAATATCTTGACTGTTCGGAAGTTGTAACACGACGAACATGCGGCGTCGAGACTGGAACATTTATTCGAGGCTTTCTGAAAAAGATGTCAGCTACGTTGGAGAAAGATTACTGCGAGGAGTATTATAAGCAGGGCGTTAATCAATGCCCCAACATATATTCATCAGCAACATCAATTGTTTCTTCACCATCTGTGGTCAAAGCACTTCTCGTTTCATTTCTCATGGTGATGTTGAACCTGAGATAAAACCATCGAGCTAGCATCGAATTCAAGTGATGGGTAACTTGACTGACCGACCATTTGTCATGCATAGCGAAAACAACCTGAATGTTAAATCCGTTCCATTAGTTGAAAGTATTTTTCATCATATTTATTGAGAATCCTGGCTGATATGAAATATCTTGGTTAGATTGAGACTGACTGCTTCATTATAGAGAACAATGTTGGAAAGTCAATTTGAAATGAAAGAGCAATTTATGAGATTGACCTCAAAGAGCTTTCATTCATATCGTTTAAGATTAATTGGTATTTCGAATATATTCCTGGAATTTAAGTTATTTGTTTAGTATTGTTAAGTTTTCCACACCAAAAAGATAAAAAGGTAAAATAAGAGAAAATGAAAATGTAAATTAAGATCAATTGGGTCGAAGGAACTAACTATAAGTAGTTAGACGCTAAGCATATTTATAATGATTGTAAGATTGATGAGTAGCATTAAGCAAGCCATTAGAAGTAATTGTAGATAGTTGAGCACTTTTAATGTTTCTTTCTCCTTTTTATTTTGTATACTAAAGTCTGTGATATGATCATAACATTAAATGATATAAACCATCGGAAAGAAAATAAAAAGAAATCAAATGTTTAAATGGAAAAAAAAGAAGTTAAAATGAAGTCTTTGACTTGGGTTGGGATACGTGATGCTGTGAGTTTTTGTGTGCTACATGATTGTTACTGATACTTCATAAGGCAACAGAGAAATTATTTCAGAGAGTTCCGTGATGATTAAGAATTTATAGCTTACATTTTGAAATTCGTTACGCAGATTTCCAAAAAAAATATTTAATTGGAATGCATTTTTAATTCATTTATATCGTGATATTCAATACGATGCAACCCCACGATCTTGTTGTGATTAATTGTTGACTCTGATATGCTTTATGTTTCAATCGGCTCATTCCTTTTGAATCATGCTTCGATGAATTTTAAATATCGTGAAGCATGTAAAATTCGTTTTTCCTCGAATGCAAATATCGTGACAAGATGCAATTAACATGCTACGCCAGCCAAATTATTTCAGATCCGCGTTCTTTAATTCACGACACTATATATTAATAAAGAACAAGAAGATGAAGTTTGAAGTGAAGATTACAAAGTTCAATGACTTTGAGAGAGTTAATTGATTATTTAAGAGAGTTGTAAGAAAAGTTCCACCATTAAAGGAATTTGTGCAAGTAATTTTTTATTATCCTTTTAGTAGAAAGTGATGAACATATTTCTTATGTTGTCATGGATCTCAATGCTTTTAGATATAAACAATGTTTCAGTTGTTACTACGGAATTTTATTATCGCGATGCTTCAATTAACTCTTACAAAAATTTTAATTATTTAAGTAGAAAGTCAAAAGAACATCCCAAATCGCCAGTCATTATGTGACGTCAGAAATTACGAGAGAAATGAAAACACTAGCAGCAATATTTGCAACACTTGTGGGGCTTAATGTCAGCCTCCTTGAGAAGTTTCATGTTTCTTGTTGGTGTTGACAGTTTCCATGGAATTCGTTCTTGAGGAATTATTTTATTAGGTCTTCGGAATTTTCCACTGCAGATCAAACATCTTGATTTTCTCTTCATGGGTTGTGAATCATTGACTTGAGTTTCATCATCGCTGACGTCCGTTTGGGATGATCTTGAGTTTAAGTGTGGGATAAATTCACGACTTAGGAAACTAGGACGTGGCGTATCCCAAAAGTTCTTTAATCGTTTTGTTGTCATAATTGATCCTAAACGTTGAAGCAAACGAATGTTATCTTTATTGACTTTGTCTTGTCTCTCACTCTCCTTCTGAACCTTCTTCAGCTTCTCAGTGATATGTGGATAGTCATTTGGTGGATAAAAGTCGATGGCTGGACCAGCACTTTGTACTTTTTGTCGATGCTGATGAAATCTTTTCATTTGCCAAGGATAAATCAACAACTTTTCCTTCTTCGTCAACATCACTAACTGAACTGAAATGAATCAACTTGAATTGAAAATTTCATTGATCAAACCCCTTCATGCTGTTAATGGTTTACTATGGAAACCTTTAATTCAATGTTGTTATGAAGTCAATAACATTAAATTTTCTACTTAATATTTATGAAGTTCAATACCGATGCAATTTAAATTGTTTTGTTTACTTAGCGTCTCTTAGATATCTTAACGGTTGAGTAGAGAAAATATTTTCAATAAGGGTAAATTTGCAACCAATTTGACGTCTTGAGATTTCCATTAACAGTTTATTCAATCAAATGAAGCTCTCTAAATGTGCAAGTTTCGACGGAAGGAAAGTTCTTGAACAAGCCAATAAGCACTTACAAGTAATAATAAAATGAAAACTTCATCAATCATTGAAATCTTAGAAAATATTAAATTATGAAAGTTATTTTAACATTTCTCATGCATTAAACTAAGATTATGCTTCTGACATAATAAAAAGGAATGCAAATGTGAATTTCTGCTTCCAACAGACAGCTTGCTTTAAGTATGATTTCTTATAAAATCCATTAAACTTTACTTCAAATTGACAATGAAGCGTTCACTTATCCACTTATAATCTAGTTTATTTAGAGCTTTTAGTTATGGAGAAGGTATAAGAAACTAGAAAGAACATTCTAGACAGATTATTAAAGGCATCGATAAAGCATGTACTCAATAAATTTACAATACGACAGATTCAATTAGCCGAAAATAAAAGAAAACTTTCCGTTTTTATTTTTGGTGTTTTTCCAGCAACAACAGCGAAAAATAGAAAAGAAGTTTTCTCTTCTCTTTTGAAGCAATAAATAAAATTAAATCCTGTTATCTTTGAAGCAGGACTTTTATTTCTTTATGGTGTATCATAATCCTTGGAAAGAAAGGAAGAAAGTGAACGCCAAAGTTTGCAAACGTAAGATTCTTCTTGTTTGATCATAAATTCTAAAATATAGATTTTATGGTTTACAGATTCATTAGACGTACTAAGCCGCAGTTTGACCAACATAACGTACATCATCAATTTATCGCTTTGCTTCGTCATTGATATGCAGATAATGTACAAGCTTTCGTGCAAGATATGACGATGAAAACTTCTAATGGACTTTACACTATGTGTTCACAGGAGTATTGAGTGAAAATATTTAATTAATTTTTGAGAGGTGAAGCTTTTCATGTTCGGTTGGATATGAAAATAAATTATGAGCTCAAGTGAATAAACTTTTAAGATCAACATATTTCGAGTGTCTTGTTTTGTCGTTCAGATCAACCCACTGTAAGTATTTTCATATCAAACAGTAAGTCCAGAGGATTACCTCGGGTTTTTAACGCCATCGTAGCACTGAACAAAAAATAAAAAACATCAAAAGCGACCACGGTTAAACGAGTGGAAAATATTTTAAAATTTAATGAAGAACCTTAAAAGATTAATTAAAAGATTAAACGACGTTTCTTCCTGCACATAAAGATGAAATGCAAATAACATTCCCTTTTTCTCTCCTACTTTCGGTTCATCATCGTCATAAAACTCTTTGCTTTTGTCTCTTTTTTTTTCAGCGTAAAAAAATTTTGTTATAACATTTTTAATCTCTTCATTCTTCAAAGTAAAGTTGAACATAAAATTAATTCTTGTTGGAAAATCTGAAATGAATGCTTTTTCATCATGGGAATTAAGGAAATGTTTAAAGGTATTAAAAATTATTGATAAATTTTGTCCAACAGCTGTGCTTGAATCATTTGTTGCTGATATTCATGGACGAAAAGGTGTAAAGAAAGGAAGAAATTTAAATGAGTCATTAACATGGAAAATAAAGTTTAAAATTTTCCTGTTCAAAGGTCATTTGTGTATTCAGTGAGATAAGCTTCAACCGTAACAAAGCGCATTGAAGAATGAAATTAGAAATCAAAGATTTCAGACTGGATAAGTAAGAAGAAGTGTATCGTTAGTCAATGATCGAAACTTCACTTCTATAATTCTTTTCTAACATCTCTGTTTGCCAATCTCATGACTAACGACCTTCGTTCATGTGCTTGAATCTACAATTTAACTCTTTACATTTATTTAGAATGAATGAGAGAAAGCTTTCTCCGAGAGAAAAAAACTTTCCCTAAGACTTTTCTTTATGCTTCGTTCCGAATCAGAAGCATTGTGAGAAGTCAACATAAATCCTTCGTATTGAGAGAAAAATGAGAATGTTTTCACACAAAAGAATTTTCTTTTTCCTTTCTAACTAAGCAGCAAGAGAATTTTTGTGATTCTAACGTGTTGTTATCAGTAGCAATGCAGCGTCTGATGATGAGTGACATTTAAGAAGATTTCTTGCCGTTCAAGAGATCTAAATTTGTAACATCGGATGAATCTATTTAAAAGTTCAACAATTAAGTGTAGTGATTTGTTAGTGTAAAAGTGGAAATTAAATAAATTTATGACAACTTTTATTTTTCATTTCTCCTAATCATAATAAAAGCTTGAAAAGAACAAAAGAAAAAACAAAATAAAATAAAAATCAATCTCCACAAAAAGGGGAAAAATAAGAAATGTTGAAAGTCACGAAACTCTTTCACTTTACATTATTAATGATGTTTCATCAAACAGGTGAGATCTGATCATTAATTTTGCCATTTGTTTTCTCAGTGAATTGAATTTTCTTTCGTCTTTCATTATTTTTCTATTTTCTCCCCTCTGAGTGTCCTGTCCATCAAGTTAAAGTTGATTTTTTTTTCACTCTGACTTGTCATTTTTTTTTACATTGTTATCAGATTCCTTAGTCGGATAAATGACTTTAATGACTTTTCATTCGTGGAAAAGTATTTTCATTTCGCATCAACTTCTTTGAAGATTTAATCGCGTTTGTAACGTGAACATGTGATAAGTCGTGGGGAAATATAATCGCATAGAATGAATCTTATTAAAATGTGAACAAATCGTTCTTGTTGTGATAAGAATCTAAATGAATGTTGAAGTGATTTTCGTCATATTTCTTTTATATTATTTGATTCGAATGCGATAAGCATGAAAGTGAAATCTGTTGTGATATTTTATGAGTCTTTAATTTACTTTAAGTGCTTTCATAAAGCTTTTGTGTACAACTGGTGACTTATGGGAACTTTATCAAATTATTCTCCATGGATTAACACTTTCGATGATAAATGAATAAGTGCCGGAAACCGAAACCGCATACTTTTTGCTTCTCCGGCTTTAAAGATATAATTTAACCAGCTGTTTCATCTTTTGCTAATCAGCTTGATTTAATTTCCTATCGCAAAGTTTATTTCTATTTGAAGAAACGTCGATTCTGATTTAAAGTTGCTTGTTTTCTTCCGGGATTAATGATATTTATTTTGAACGTAGAAACGACATTGAATGATGAAAGAATTTTAAATATTTATTCACAAATTACGACGTGTATCAAGATAACAGATATCTCTTCTTATGATGAGTAAAATAGGATAATTTATAACACTTCTTACGCCTTTCACAATTTTAATGAAGCAGATGATCAGTAAAAACCACAATTTACTAGCACAGCACACAAAAAATGTTTGAGTTAGAACTCTTGCCAAAATCATTTAATTTGCAACCGTCCCAACTTAAGACTTCTTTCAATTTGACTACGAAATATTCAAATTTTCCTTAGGATTCAATTATGTCCCATACATTTTTAATGGAATCATCGAATGCTGATAAAAACTGTTCGTCCTCGTCAACGGAGAAAAGTTTTTTTCTCTCAAACTTTTTTTTATATAAAATTTTACGTAAACAATGCAATGCCCAGACAATCGAAAATACTTTTTTTTGTCGGCAAAATTTTAGGTCTAATTATGTAAAATGTTTTCGACAGCTCTAGCTGGAATCAAGAGTTGTTAGACAATAACTTTTGAATTATTCACTCGATTTGAATCAGACATTTGACGATTGAAGTTAGAAAAACTTTTTTTCCGTTTGTTTGTTTATTTGTTTGGGTCTAAGGATTAGACAAGAGATTTGTGAAAGTTTCTTTTTCTACTTAATTGAGTTGATTTGAAGTTACGTCACAATTCAATGATGCTGTCGGAAGACGAAGGGAAAAAAATATTAAAAAGTTTTGACATCGGAGTGAAAATTTTTTAAAAGTAAAGTTTGAAACTCCGTCAATGATACTTTCAACTGGAAGAATTTGTAAATCCCAACTGAAATCTCTAGTTTACAAGCTAATCTATCTTTCAAATTCAATTTCTTCTTCATAACTTTGAAATCCTTCAAGACCATGAAACAAAATCAAACAAATTTTTTTATCGCTCGTCTCGAGGAAAAGTTTTCGCCGATTGAGGCAAGAAAACAATTTTCCTACATAAATGGTGGGCAAACGTCAGCGATTTGATGATTGAAATTTCACTGAAATACGCGCTTTCTTTTCCTTCTGTACACAATTCTCATTAATGTCTCGTAATAGAAAGCCGAGAAAAGAAAACTTTCAATCCTCCATTGGCTTATTGTTTGCAAAAGTCCAATTTAACTTTTGAATCTGTTTGCCTCATTTTTACAGCGTCGTGAAAGTAACTGAGAAACATAAAATGTTATTAATCTTCTTAGATTGCCTCAAACGAGTGCGAAATAAATATTTCACCCGTCTCTTGACTTTCAAGTTTGTAACTAGAATGAATGTGGCAATTTTGAAATTTGTACAGAACTTTCTACGAGAACTTCAATCGTATGTTGTTGCATGCAATTTCAAATTGCAAATCGCAACAAAGCAACAACCGAATGAAACGATTCTATTTGAAATAAATTATTTAACCTTACTAGAAAAATAACATCACGAAAAACTTTTCTCTACTCTCGTGTTATTCAAACATGAAAATGTCAAATGCACCATAAAAATTTACATTCATTCCCCCAAAGACATTTTTCACAAAATTCATTTTTTAAGCTGTGATTTGATTAAGATGAAAAAAAATAACCAAAACGAGAAAATACGAAGGATAATCGAGGATATTTACTTGTCACAATTTGTGATGCTCGCTGTCAAATGCAGTTTAATTCTTTCTCAAGCAAGATACAATTTTGAGCTTTCTAAAGTATCATTTAAGAAAAACTCTCACTACTTGAACTTATGAAATTTATGATGGAGAAAGTTTTAATGGCGTCAAATCCTTTCACTCCAGTTCATTACCGTTGCAATGGAAATCTTAATTAGAAAACATACAGAAGAAGGAACACCATGAGAACGGAAAAGCAATTATGTAAAACGGATACCACTCATTATGCATAAAAAAGCTTTTTTCTTCTTTCTTATTCAATTTAAATTACTCAAGACGAGGTGAAAATAAAATTTGAAAAAAGTTTTTCTTTCTTCTTTTTACTTTTCACCCGCAAATGTGTGAAAATATTTTCTCTTTGTACTCAGCCGACATCGTCAACACATCAGAGTTTTTCATTCAATTCAATCACTAATCAATAAACTCGTGCTACATATGTGCATGCACATATGAAATATTGTTATGAATAAGAATTTAAAATGAAGATGGATGGTTGTCGAAGTAATGTCAAAAACAATTCTCTCATAACTTTTTCTAATAAAAAATTGATTTCAAATTTTCAATTAAGTTAAAATCTTCATCTCTTCTTTCAATTGAAATTTTTTTAACAAGAAAAGTGACTTAACATCCGTACGAATCCTTTCCATAAAATTATAAACCAGAAAACTTGGTTATCGCGAGTGAAAGAAAGAAAATTTCTCATTGCTTCATATTCCACGTAAAAATTTTCCCCATCAAACTCAAACGAGAAGAAAAAAAAGAAAATTATTCCAAACGACCTGTTACCGTTGCATGAAATGCACATCGTAGATATCTGCCAACTACGTAACAAAGGTTCATTCTTTGAAGAAGTGTGGGAAAGTTCTTCGTCGTTCGTCGTTGAAAGCGAATTGAAAAATAAAAACAAAAAACTTCTCTCGTTAATGGAAATTACCATAAGCTTAGCGCTGAAATAAAAAAGCTTCAACTTTCGATTGAAATCACTTCTTCCCATCCAATATCTAGGCTTGTTTTATTATTTAATAAATTTGTTTTCTCTTCTAATTTTTCTAATAAAATTGGATTAATTTTATATAAATCTAAATATTCGTTCCATTTATCAGCTGCCTTGCGGATGATTAGAGAAGATTGTGGGCATGAAGAGCTTTCGAGATGCGCCAAACCTTTGCAGCTGCTTCAGTCAACCACCGACCTTAGTTTCGCTCCGAAACGTGAGGAATTGAGCAAATTATGTCCCGAATTTCACAGTGGTTTAAGATGCATAGGAAGTTACACCCGCCGTTGTATGACACAAATGCAGCGTGAAGAGTTCAATAAAATCTATCAAGGAACGAATGAACTGATTAAAGAGCTTTGTCGTGAAGGTGACTATCAGAATGAATTTTTGAAGCATTCACCGTGCCTTCAGACTGTCAAGCCACTTCACATAAAATGCGCTGAGAGATATCAGCAGACAATGTCGTCAATTTTTAAAGCATCAGCAAATCAAACCACACACAAACAACAGCAACATCATTCAGTGCACAAAAAAGATGATGATGATGGTGGTAATGATATAGAAAATGTCAAAATTGTTTGTTGGTAAGTTCTCACTCTCATATGAATACGAATGATGTGAAAATTCAATGATTTCAACAAATAATTTCCTTGTTTTTCTCATGATAACTTGAAGCTCATTCAAAGAGTACTTGGACTGCTCTGAGGATGTTACACGTCGAACGTGCGGAATGGACACTGGACTCTTTATTCGAGATTTTATTCATCGAATGTCTGATACTCTTATGCAGAATTACTGTGAAGAGTACTACAAAGGATCAAATCACTGTCCCAAAAACAAATTCTCTATGGCAACACGAAACTCGTTGTCAGCTTTTTCAATGATTTCAGTTGCTGTTTTGGCTACCTTCACAATCCATCGAATTAGATGAAAATTGATGGTGAGTTGTGCAGCGAACGGAAAAAACTTGAAGCGATTTTATGGAGTGAGATTAAACGATGGAAAACGTTGCTTAATATTTTTTCTCCAATTTTTCACGATTGAATTTTCATCAATTAAATCAACGATCTAGATTTTCAATTGTTAATTGTTCTATTAACAACTCTTGCTTGTTTTTAATTTTTCTTGTTCAACAATCACTTTGCAAACAAGTTAAAAATTTTTATTCCAACTTTTCACGAAGTAAAAATTTTTTAAAACTCCAAATGTTCAATTTACGTAAAGTAAATTTTGTAATCTCATTTTATTTCCAATAAATCCATCTTTTATTACACAAGAACTTGCACAAGAGAGAAAACTTTTATATTTCAGGTTCAGTTTTAATAATTGACGTGGTAAATAAAATAAAACTCAGCATAGAATTTCTGTTTTTTGGGAATGTTTTTCAACGATATTTTACGACTTACATATAAATAAATATCAATGAAGGGTAACATGTTGTCAATAACAGTGTTTGGAATCGTCATTAATTTAAATCTCGACATCAAAACATTTCCAAAATGAATCACGATTTTCAATTTTTTAAGTGTCTAAAATTTTCCTTTGAATTTCAAGCTCTGCTCAAAAATGATTTAAAATTCTGTTTAAAATTTTCTTTTACGATTCTCAATATTTTTGATTTTTCATGAGTTGTAGCAAAACGTTTCAAAACACTCCCAAATTATGAGCAATGAAAGTGAAAATATTTCTGTAGATTAGTGGAGTTCATAGTTAGATTGTCTTTGGCAAGGTAAAAGCAGAAGAAATATCAGCTAAACAAGACATAATTATTGAGTAATTCTTGTCTTCACTAAGCAAAACTTTTGCACGACTTGGTTTACCCAAATAAATATCAACTTTAAATGTATTAATGTAGTTTTCTACTTCAAAACAAACTACTTCGAACTTATAAAAGCTTCTTTACTTTATAAGTGCGACTCTTAAGAAACTAAGTTACAAATTAATCTTAATGATCTTAAAAATACATGAAGGATAATGGAAGAACAAAAAAATATCTTAGACAGCATTTTCTTCTAATATCCGGCAAGAAAAGCTTTTGCTTTTTTCCAAATAAATCAATCAAAGAAAAACAACATTGAAAGAAAATAAAAATCGATATTTGGCACAAAATAAAAAAGATATAAATTAAATAATATCATCATCAAAAAGTTATTTTCGATGGAAACATGAATAAAGCATTTAACAGCTTCTGATAAGATAAAAAGGAGTCGATGAATTTGTTAAATTAAAACAATAATTGGGTAATGGATAATTCCATTAATATCGATTTGTTATCAGCTTATCAAAAAGTAAACATTAATTAATATCAATTACAAGAAGGTTGGTTACGGTGTGAGTTAAGTTCTGTCTTAATCAACAGTCCAAATTAAACATCTTTGGTTAGAGATTTTCTCACAAAGTTTCATTTTCTATTTATGCTTAATCATCAGTTAAATTTCTTGGGAAATTAACTTAATTTACTAAACCACATTTTCATCTTAACATCATTTTTTTTCTTTCTTTTTTTGGTTTCAAATGAAAACCTAAACTCTAAAATTGCACACAACATTTCACATTAATTTTGTCATGTTATTTAAAATGACGTCATCTTGGGATTAAAGTCAAGAAGATTCAACAATTTGATGTATTTAAACCGGAGGTGATCGAACTGTCGAGATTGAACGGAAATTCACCGAGCGGTTGCAAAATTTGAAATAAAAATCGATTTAAGCTTTTCTGACGAAGAAAGCTTTTATCATCGTACATTTCCTGCGACGTCTTCGAGGCTGAAAGTGCGGGCAGCATTCGATGAAGCAGATGTTCTCTGTTCAATGCAGGAGATAAATTAAACAAACATTTTCCAATGAAAATGTTCAACAAACTCACCTGAGACAAAGACAAATGAAAAGTTGAAATTTCTCATCAGAGCCAATTGTTGAATTCTTTGAAATCTCATCAACAAGTTGGCAATAATCATTCCAAATGTCAACAAAGTTTTCATCAATATTCTGTTGTTCATTTCCACCTTGCATTGTTGCTAACGTGTCAGCAGTTAAATTTTGTTCAAACTCATCTTTGCATCGAACTATTTTGAAAATAAATCAGGAATTGTAATGGGATTGATTATAAAAGTAATTATTAGCTCGTTACTCACCGAAGAAATCCCATAAGAAGAAATTCCTTCCAAATAATCTTTGAGAACGGAAGCCAAGCATAAACGCCGACATAAGACACTCGACAAAACCACCCTCGCCACATAAAAGGTTCGTTAACACCGACATGTCATGACTACAGTCAACTCCACTCATGAGTCGTTTCTGATGTCGATAAAACCATTTCACAATCTTGTTAACTGAGTCACTTAGACCATTTTGAATCTCATTTGGATCTTTTTTCTCTTCATTTCCCATAGAATTAGAGTTGCTGATGAAACTGTCAGTCATTGATGCTGGTGATGAGTTTGTCGGCTTGTTAATGACATTAAATGACTTATCTGGTAGACTATTGAAAGTTCCACATTGGTCGTCCATTGGGTCGGTTGTTGGTCGAATCAATTGACCAATCAAAAGTCGCTCCATTGAACCATCATCAATTCCTCGACCCAACCACCGATTACATGAAAACTTATAAGCATGACCGGTAATCTCATTTCTAATCCACACACAATCGAGATGAAGTTTCGTTGACGATGTTAAAGTTGAGGTATTTTGTGTTCCATCAATTCCAATTCTCAAAGTTCTTAAAATTCCAAGGTTTTTGTGTTCCATTAAATGTTCGATTTTATTTAAAAAAATTCTGTCAGTTTCACCAATCGAACCGAAAATGGTTATCCAAAGTTTTGGCATCATTGATGATTTTCTGGTGAGTGTACCGGTGCCTGACACTGGAACAATTAAAAACCGATATGGAATAATTGTCATGCCATAGACTTGTGTGAAACAAAAGTAATCGACAGCGTTGAGGGTCAACAAATGATACAAAAATTGTTCCTTCTCATCTTCGTAGGTCAGAAAAGCTGTTCGCTTGTACATTGAACGTAAAATTGAAACATCAGCTAAGAGAGTCTTCAAATGTCGTGATAAAAGTTTCTTTTCAAGCGTCAACCTCACAAAAGCTCTCGCATATCCAATGTCAGTTTTAATTTCATGCATCGACAAAATATTTCTTATATCATATTCAAGCGATTCTGGAAGCTTTGGCAAGACCATTTCAACGTTATCAGAACTTAAGAGAGTTCGCTTCTCACATGATTTCGAACGACGTGACTTTTGCTGTTGTTGACGTCGTTGAAGTGAAGCTGTTGGCGATGGTGTAGTCGAAAGGGATGCTGTAATGAATGACGATGACATGTCTTGTGGTTCTACTTTAAGCGATGATAAATCTGTTTGTAAACAACAAAGAACAATAACAACATTATTTGATGGTCCACATTTTATTTGTTTTTTAATTATGTCTTGAGGGGATAAATAAAAATTTTCGAAATGAAACCTACAATCCATCCGTTTCCTCATAACTGACCAAGCTAAGGCTTGAAATTGAAAGAACAGAAAAAGGTTATTAGTCACTGTTAGGGTCGGTCGGTGGTGGTAGAGATTAATTAATTACAAGTCTCTTGTTAGCTTCTATTTCCTTGTTAGGATTATTTAATCTAATTAGTTAATAAATTACCTGGTGTGCTTAGCAGCTGCGCATCCGAATCCAATTTCCCATTATTATTAGCACTCCCGCTATTCGTCATGGCGTTCATCTTTTCAAAATAGCGCAACAGATGCGACCAGAAAGGCGATTTGATTTGATTGTTATTGTGATAATGGTTTTTCGTGTGCGCCGATTTAGAATGCGGTGTAATGAGTCCATGTGACCATATTTTCTCCAACAAGTCGCACATGGATGTGATGAGGGCATTTTCCTCAACATCAGCACTTCCTCCAACTTCCATATCGATTTTCTCCATCAGCATTCTCTTAGTTTTTGTTTTGCATTCCTAACATTATAAAATGAATGTAGATGGATGAATGAGAATATTACAAACACTTGATGCTACTTATTGAATGGCTGAATCTCTCATTTTGTCAAAATATTTCGAATCTTCTTCATTTCACCGCAGTGTTGATAATAATTTGTTTCAACAAGCGAATTTACATCCCGAGAAAAAATAAATTCTCTCTGAGATGATCCCCGGACATTAATTTAGAAGTTCAACTTTCAGACACGTTTTTGAAAAGTTTATTAAAACATTGTCGTGATAAAGCCGCAAGCCGACTGATATTAAAGTTTTTTTTAAGTATGATAAATTTTTTATAAGTTTATGTGACTCAACCTATCAACAAATGCCACAAGTATCATCTAACAAACTAATTTACCTTCAACAATTTCTCAACGAAACTCCAATTAGTTTGTGCAACAAAAGATGCTGAAAATTCTTCACCTTTGGAGTTCTTCTCGTCGGCAGTCACAGGTGGATGTGGCGTGCTGATGCTACTTGAGATGCTAAGACTCTCAGCACTTCCACTAAGATTCTTATCAATATCGATTTCACGAAGGTAAAACTTCTGATTGCTCTTCTTTTCCAACAGTCTCCTGTCATCTAGATCCAGTTTCTTTTTGACGCGCCTTAAGCTATTTGGTCTTTTTGTTAGTCAAATTTGTTTTTGTTTATGTTTTGAATATTTTGTTACGAGTTTTATTTATATTTATTACACGTGTTGCACAAGAAGAAAGAGTTGTACAAGTTCCGTATAAAAGTATAGGAGAGCGTAAGCAGGGAAGTAAAAAAGAGACAATAAAATTCTGTTTAGAATGACGTGAACCTTCCACCATTGTGTGACGACATCATTATGCGTGGGTTAAAAAATAACATTAAAAATGCTTTTAAGTAAAGTTTTATACCAAAAAACAACATTAAAAATGTGTCATAAACATAAAAAATAAAAACATTCATGTCATCGTGTAATGTGTCGCATGCGGATTTAGTGACTTAGCTTTTGAATAATTTTTTTACATTACAGGTGATTCCGGTTGGTCTTTTGAAGATGGTGCAAGTCTCATAAGTTAAATCATGCCTTCCACATCATGCAACAATTATTTAATTTGTTAGAACTTTCCATCAAAAACAAAACTCGATCAATTTTTCAGTACACATTACTTCTCGTTTATTTCGTTGATAAATAATTTATTTTTAAAAAAGTTCGCTATAAAAAATAAAAAAGTTAAAATCATTTTTATCAAGGGCAATACATGAAGGAAAGTAGGAAAAAAGTCTAACTAATTAATTAATTCGTTTTAATGGAAAAGATTATCTGCAAAATCAAAGAAAAAAAAAGAAAACATCACAGTTAAAAATAAATCAAATTTTACAAGCACAAACGAAGTCTTTGATCAATTTTTCGTTGATTTTATTTGAAAGAGAAATTTACACAATATTTTGATTTCCCAAAGCATCTTCTAAGCGAATCTAAAGTGAGAGTCGTTATTTAACCAGACAATCTTTCGAACATGTTGCATAGAATATTAAGCCTTTTGAATTTCTTTTAATGCGATTACAATTTCTGAATTAGAGTAAGCAAGGTTACAAATTATGGAGAGAAATGAAAATCTGTTCAAGAGGGCAAATGAAATTCAAATGCTTGTTGATGAATAGTTGTTAAGCGCAACGAATACAATCTTTCAAACAAATGAGAGCTTAAATCATTTAGAATGTCGAGGTTCTCAATGATTTCTTGCTAATCTTTTCAAAACATTTATCTGATCTCTTCAACTATTCAAAATCTCTTCATAAAAAGTTGCTTGGGAAACTTAAAATAATCCAAAGGCAAATTCTATTCTCATATCAAAAACTTCAGTTGAATTAGATATTTATTTTTAAATTTCTTTAATTAATTTCAAGCGAAAGCCAAAATGCAAAAGCAAAAATGAAATTTCTAAATAAAATATGCGATGAAGCTTCGTTAATTAAAATATGTACATTCATTCAAACAATTGCTTTCACCATGCCATGTCTCGTCACGTCACTTACCTCTCACTCGATACTTGGTTCAGTGCTGACGCTTCAAGCATTGGAAACGATTTAAAATACGCCGGACTCTTCCTTAAAACTTCCGATGGCGGGGAAACTTCCAAGTCAAAGTTTTTCAGACGCTTTTCGAGCGCCACTTTTGAACTATGCAGATGAGGTATGTTTTCAAGATTCTTCCAACGAATGTTGATCTCTTCAGCACTTCCAAAATGTTTTCTAATGTTACAATCACAAAATATATTTTTGTAAGTGGAATCAAATATCAAATTCATACTCACTTCAGTATCTTGATTCGATTATCCAATAACTGAAGATTCTTATTAACATGAACATCAAATGAACTGAAATCTTCATCAGCCTTCTTTCCTTTACCATCACTTCCGCTTCCGCTCGCCTTGTCATCAAACGACGTCATTATTTTGTTGTCAATGAGCGTTGCAAACATTTGAGATTCAAGAAATTGTGACAAGAACGGTCGATATTGCGCTGTTTGATCCGATAAGAATGAAGCTTTATCAAAATTATGCATCGATTCACGATTCTTCAACCACTCGGACTTATTCTGATTTGGTAAAATAACAAACTGCTCGTAATCGAGAAAGATTTGACAAAATCGATTGAGGAAGATTTCACGAATCTCTGAATTCAGTCTCAGATCATTGTAATACTGCTCATTGCTTGTTAAACTGCCAGCGCTTGATTTCTTTGGTGTTCGTGTTGCTGTTTCTGATGATGAACTTTGATTGTCAACACTTGATGAACCTGAATAATCAAAATCATTGAGAAAGTCGTGCAACGAATGCTTTTTCCTTCTTGACTTTGTCAATGTTAGTGTCGCTGAAGGAGCTGCTGGCGATGCTGATAAACGTTGATATTGAATATTGCTGTACTTGTCATTATCGGACGGTGACTGGAAGTAGAAATTGTTGTTGATAAGAAGATTCTTTGGATTGAGAATTGTCGATTCAGATTCCTGTACATGACTTGGTGGCTCAATCTTTTCCGGCATTTGAAACTTTCCAAGTGCATCGTAGATTTCACCAATAAAATCAGACTTGTGTGGTATTGTTGGAAGTTCCTCAGGAAGTCGAATTGTTTTATTATCAATGTCAACATAACACAATCCAACTTTTTGTTGAACACTCGAATCAAGATTCTCAGAATGAAGACCCATCACAAATGGCACTGGTGCGTCGAGAAAGTGATGTAAAGCTGTTGGTAATATCGGTGCATAAACATGAGGCCATTCAAATGGAAATAAAAGTGATGTGATGCATTCAGCGACAATTGTTAGCTTCTGAAAATCTTCAGATTTCAACAGAACTTGATTTTCAAGCAGCACACAAGTGAATAATTCAATGACGCACTCGACACCCAGGTAACTAAAAAGTAATCGTAGTGGAAAATCGAGAAGTGGTAGTTCAGTTATCTTGGGTCGTTGAATGATTGTGTTGATTGGCAACATGCTTGGTTGTTCCGGGGGTAAATAGATTCGAATTGATCGTCCATAATCTGGCACTTTGATGTCGTATAAGATATTATAAATGTAGCTTTCAAGACTGAGACGAGCTCCCGGTATACGGGGAAGACACTTGTAAAGATTTGTAAGAAAAACTTCTGCAACGTGAGCGTATGGAAACTGACAGACGAGTGTTATCGATTTAGTGACAAAAAGCGTGTCTTTTGTGATGTCGTAAAAACTTGCTGCACTTGAATTCTTGTCATCATCACCGAGTCGAAAATGTCGTGGTAAAGATCTACTGATAGGATCTTGTCGTCTCAATGATCCTTGACTGCTTGACAATTCAGTGATGTACATTGATTGAAGAGTTTGCATGGCCGTACAAATGTTTTCATTCTTCGTCTCTTCGTAGAAAACAAGAGAAAATCCATAACAACGCTTTCCATCGTCTCTCGTGCTTGCGAAGGAATGGAATCGCGGTGTTATTTCATGTTTCTGTGTACGGAATTTTAAGCCTTGTGGCAATGAGAGCATACAAATTCCATATGAGTCAAATGGATTTCCCGACACATGAACGGGATAGTGAGCGAGGGTTTTACTTTTATAAGATCGATCAAGTGGCGGTATATTGAGATTAGTCACACCGTCTAAAAAACCAGAATACATTAAAGAAGAAAATTCGTGATATCGATTAAAAGAAATTTAAGCACCTGCATAAAGATCAGCTTCCAGTCCATTTTCCAGATCGAGTCCACAAATCACAAAATAGTCAGCAAATTTTGTCAACTGACATTTATCATTTAACATTTTTAAGCCCGAAGACGAGCCTTTTTTGACTTTCGTCTCCATTCACTTTCTCTGAAAATTTTCTAAATTTTCTCTTTCTTAAACTTATCACAACATTATTTGCACATTTGGAGTGGATTTTTTCGATATATAATATCAATCAGTGGTGTTGAGTACGCGATGTACCTAGTGAAGCATTTCTGAACTGTTTATATTGACGATTATAAGTATAAAGTTTAATANGAACTTTATGGGAAGATTGAAAAATTTTCTTGCAACAGGTTTTGATTTAATTTTTGGTGAATATGTGAAATATCGTTCAAGGCAAATTTACAAGTAAATATGCTGAAAAAGTATATCGAAAGATGAGTTAATTTTTAAAATTCAAATTCAAGTTTTCATTTTCCGGCTGATCGTTATCGATCATATGATGAAGTACTCAACAATGTTTCACTTGCATTGATTAATGACTACTTCAGTAGTTCAGGAAGAGTTCGTCCCAATGTCCCCGCTGTTGTTGAAATTGGGGGAGTTCAAGTGAAACCAGAACCATTACCACTGCCTGAGGTAAGATCAGTTTCTTTAGTTTAAATCTCAGTTGATTAATTTCTTTAAAAAATATTTTAGGACCTCAAGAATTTCTTAGACGAAGCCAAAGATGGTGCAATTTTCTTTTGCTTAGGATCGAATGCAAAAAGCACATTTCTATCGAAAGAAACTCTTCAAATTCTTCTGAAAGTCTTCGCATCGTTGAAACAGAGAGTTGTGATGAAATGGGAAGCGGACACGATGGAGAATCAACCGAAAAACGTTTTCATCAGCCAATGGTTGCCACAAGATGACGTTCTGGCACATCCAAACCTTCGTTTGTTCATTTCCCATTGTGGGCTGGGTGGAGTTATAGAATCAAAATATCACGGAGTGCCAATTGTTGGAGTTCCAATGTTTGCTGGTGATTCAAATTAATATTTTTCTTTCTAAATTTGAAATATTAACATCTTGATATCTTGTACAAAGATCAATTTGACAATGCTGCAAAAGTTGTAAAAGAAGGTTGGGGAGTCAAAGTCGATGTTAATTCTATGACTGAAATGAAGTTGAAAGATGCGATCCATGAAATTCTCACAAATCCAAAGTAAGAAACGAAGAAGAAAAATTTCATTCCCATTTAAAAATCTTTTTCACATCAACTCTCGACAGGTACACAAACACCGTCAAGAGAATGTCAACTCTTGCTCGTGATCGTCCAATGAATGCACAAGACACTGCCGTATTCTGGGTTGAATATGTTCTCAGACATCATGGGGCATCTCACATGCATTATCCAGGAGCTGATCTTAACTTTTTGCAATACAATTCAATTGACGTTATTTTGTTCATAGTTGTTGTTGTTTATTTGTTCTTCAAGTTCTTGAAATGGAGTTGCAAGAAAATCTGTTGTGGTGTCAGCAGCAAACAGAAGGTGAAAATGAACTAAAAATTTTGTAACTATTATAAATCAATTTTTAATTCTTTTATCAACTGAATAAAAAAAATGAATTGATAAAAAAAATCACTGTGCAGTTGATAAGCAAAATTTTACTTCTAACATTTTTACTACCTACAGCTGTTTTGACCACATATGCTCTTTGATCGTCATAAAATTATTTTCGCTTCTCACAATCAATTTTCAAGGGCACACGCATACTAAAAGAGAAGAGTAGAAGAACAAATCAAGTTCTTCAAAATAATAATTTTACGAGTCTCTCAGTTTATTTTTTACTTTGGACGGGAACAAAACATCAAAATGGATATAAAAATCTTTGCATTGCTACTTGTATTTTGTTCCGGACTTGAATGTTCAAGGATTCTTGTTCTTTATCCCACCATCAGCAAGTCCCATATTATGCCATTGCAAACATTATCATTGGCGTTAGCAGAAAAAGGTCATCAAATAACATTTGTCAGTACATATCCATTAAGTAAGCAGGTGAAAAATTATCGCGATATCAAAATTCCATTCAATGAAGCAGATAAGGAATTCATCGGCGAAATGGGAAAAGATCCTAAAGGGAAAGGCTTCACTTACATGTTCCCAAGATTGACATCTTTGGTCTTTCGTCTGGGAAACGAGTCACTTCAAATGCCAGAAATGAAAAAATTGATGAGAGAAGAAAAATTTGACCTTGTTATCGTTGGATACTTCATGACGGAGTTCATGCTTGGAGTTGCTGATCACTTCAAGTGTCCAAGTATTTTGTTTAGTCCGGCAATGGCTTTTGACGTCATCAATCAAGCTCTTGGCAATCCATTAGGCTTTGTTGCAAATGTGATGGTTCCTGTTAAAGAATGGAATTTCATAGGACGTTTGAAAACTTTCCTTGCCACAGGAGCTGAATTAGGTTTAACTCAATATTTGAAGTATCGAGCTCGACAAGTTTATGAGTAAAAAATATTTTACACTTTAATTTCACTTTGGCAATATCAAAATGTTTCATTTTAGTTTCAATTTTCCCGCTGATCGTTATCGATCATATGACGAATCATTGCAAAATGTTTCACTCGCATTAATCAACGATCATTTTAGTTCAGGAAGAGTTCGCCCCAATCTTCCAAGTATGGTCGAAATTGGAGGTTTACAAGTGAAACCCAAGCCTTCACCATTACCTGAAGTATGCAGTGAAATGTACAATTAGCAATGCAATTTATAATAATTAGAAACATTTCAGGATCTCAAGAACTTCTTAGACGAAGCCAAAGATGGTGCAATATTTTTCAGCTTAGGATCGAATGCAAAAAGCACATTTTTATCGAAAGAAATTCTTCAGATTCTGTTAAAAGTCTTCGCATCGTTGAAACAGAGAGTTGTGATGAAATGGGAAGCGGACACGATGGAGAATCAACCGAAAAACGTTTTCATCAGCCAATGGTTGCCACAAGATGACGTTCTGGCACATCCAAACCTTCGTTTGTTCATTTCTCATTGTGGGCTGGGTGGAGTTATAGAATCAAAATATCACGGAGTGCCAATTGTTGGATTCCCAATGTTTGGGGGTAATTAAGTGATTGCTTTTAACTTTGAATTTTAATCTCATATCCTTCGAACTGCCATACTTAGATCAACCTGGAAATGCTGCAAAAATTGTTGAAGAAGGTTGGGCAGTTCAAATTGAACTTGGATCGTTAACTGAAAAGAAGTTGAAAGATGCAATCAATGAAATTCTCACAAATCCAAAGTAAGAAAACAAATCAAAAACATTTTCATTCACATTTAAAAATCTTTTCCCCATCAACTTCATCAGGTACACAAACACCGTCAAGAGAATGTCAACTCTTGCTCGTGATCGTCCAATGAATGCACAAGACACTGCCGTATTCTGGGTTGAATATGTTCTCAGACATCATGGGGCATCTCACATGCATTATCCAGGAGCTGATCTTAACTTTTTGCAATACAATTCAATTGACGTTATTTTGTTCATAGTTGTTGTTATTTATTTATTCTTCAAGTTCTTGAAATGGAGTTGCAAAAAAATCTGCTGTGGTGGTGGCAATGACAAGCGTAAACAGAAGACTCATTAAATGGAACATTGCATGCAGTATTTAAATTGTTGGATGATAATGAGAAATAAAACATGCCTTAAACCACTTATAAGACAATGTTATGTAATTTTAAATTAATTTAATTGAACAAAATTCATTGCTTTATCAAAATTCTAAAGCAAACAAACAAAATGTAAATTTAATTCTGCTTATTCGTGACATCTTAAAGTATGACTTTTCAAAAAACTTTTTTAATCTTTTACGGTAAAAACGGAAGTTTAAAGTCTTTCCTACTTATTTGCTTTCAGAAAAGAATAATAAGAAAGTTGAACATCTTTATCCAATGGAAACAACCAAATTATTTCAAGTCGAATAAGAAAAAAGAAAACAAATAAAAACTTCATGAAAAAGCTATTAAAGTTTCACTTCAATTGCCGACTTAAGCTTTCAATGTGGGAACAATTTCATACACAATTAAACACTATTAATTTCCTGATTAATTATTCCCTCGATTTATATTTTGGTCAGTGCGAGAGCGGCATCTTAAAAAGGTTTGAAGGCAACGAAAGACGATGATAAAAGAGAGATGCTGATGAATTCAAATTCCAGTAGCTATCAAACGACTTTTTTCTATTTAGGTAGATCCGAAGGCAATAGAAATTAAAATTATTCTATCTCCATTGTTAAGCAATTAATTTCTTCTTGGTTGTTGAATGGGAAGAAGCGGTAAAGATACAGAAGAAGTTCTTTTAATTTTAACATCACCACATTGAATATTCATTAAGAAAGCTTACGAACATTTATGATTCACTAACACTCGGATAAGAGACTCTGTTCCCTCGTCTTTGAAGGTACATTGTCAGTGATGTACATTGATTGAAGAGTTTGCATGGCCGTACAAATGTTTTCATTCTTCGTCTCTTCGTAGAAAACAAGAGAAAATCCATAACAACGCTTTCCATCGTCTCTCGTGCTTGCGAAGGAATGGAATCGCGGTGTTATTTCATGTTTCTGTGTACGGAATTTTAAGCCTTGTGGCAATGAGAGCATACAAATTCCATATGAGTCAAATGGATTTCCCGACACATGAACGGGATAGTGAGCGAGGGTTTTACTTTTATAAGATCGATCAAGTGGCGGTATATTGAGATTAGTCACACCGTCTAAAAAACCAGAATACATTAAAGAAGAAAATTCGTGATATCGATTAAAAGAAATTTAAGCACCTGCATAAAGATCAGCTTCCAGTCCATTTTCCAGATCGAGTCCACAAATCACAAAATAGTCAGCAAATTTTGTCAACTGACATTTATCATTTAACATTTTTAAGCCCGAAGACGAGCCTTTTTTGACTTTCGTCTCCATTCACTTTCTCTGAAAATTTTCTAAATTTTCTCTTTCTTAAACTTATCACAACATTATTTGCACATTTGGAGTGGATTTTTTCGATATATAATATCAATCAGTGGTGTTGAGTACGCGATGTACCTAGTGAAGCATTTCTGAACTGTTTATATTGACGATTATAAGTATAAAGTTTAATATAATATATTTTCTGGAAAAAATTTCTTTTGTTGGGAAAATTTCTGACTTTACGCGAAAACTGTGAATTCTCAAATGTTTCATCTTCATTAAAACTTTTGAAAAAATTCAAATGAAATTAGACTTGCGAGCTCATACTTATTTCACGAACGGTCATTTGCAATATTTAGAAGTTGATGATATTAGATTTTGATGTCATTCACGAGAACGTTCGTTAAAAAGTTTTTCGATGAACGCTTGGATTGTACATTTTAACATAAAACCCTGCACAAAGTTCAATAAAGGTTCAAATCTTATTGATCAAAAACGTACCAGCTTTCAATATAAACAACACAAACTTGGGTTCGCTTTGTTTACATTCTAAAAAAGCAAACAGGTGATTTTAATGTCAAATGTTGAAAAGTATGAAGAACTTTTATTATTTCGGATTTGGTAGCAACTTGCTGGAAAAACGGATAAAAGTATGTAAGTTTAATTATATTTGTGAGTTTTTTTACATGGAACCTTATACGAAATGATTTTTAAAGGTCCAAAACAAAAGTGCTGAAAGAGTTGGAGTTGGAGTACTCCACGATTACGTACTCGACTTTGCTGACACTTCAGCTGACAAAAAGTATTATTCACCAACATGGAATGGAAGTCCAGCAACAATTATCGAAAAATTGGGATCGATAGTTTATGGAGCTGTTTGGGAAATAAACGAAATACATTTAAGCGAGCTTGATCGACAAGAAGGTGTTGAATGTGGAATTTATAAACCAATGACTGTGAATGTTTTAGTAGACGATAAAGAAATTTCATGTAGAACTTATAAACTTGTTGATAATCCAACTACACCAATGGACCCTAGCGACAGACCATTTGAACGACAACCGTCTAAATCGTATTTAAATGTTATTCTCAATGGAGCTATAGAAACAAAATTACCATCAGATTATATTGATTTTTTGAGAAGCTTTAAACACAATGGTAATGAAGCAATTAACAAAGAATTGCTCTCTTTATTGAATCTTAAAGAAATATTGTGATGTGATAAATAAAATTTAGTTTAATTTTAAATCATCTTTGTTTTGATAGAATTTATTTCTCTCAAGACGGTCGTCGATAAAAAAAAACATATGACATAACTCCGTTAGAACAATTTTTTTCAACGTTTGAATAGAAAAAGAAAATATTTTGACTTTCTGGTTGAAGATCGGGTGGTGCTAGAAGAAGTTAAATACAGAAAATATTCCGTTATTAATTATTAACTTCTTAGTTCCTGATAAAAATGAATTCTTCTAATCTTCATATTGAAATATTGAATAAATTTTCTCTTCATAACAGTTTATTGAGAGCTTTTATGATGTTTTGTTTGGAATCAATTGTTATCTATTTTCAATGATGATTTTGCATGTTTTTCTTGCCCATGTAAATATGTAACGTGCGTCGCACTAACACAACGTCGAATGATTAAAAATTATCAATTTATTTATGAGTTCGTTCTTGATTTTAAAGTTCAACTCGGTTAGTTTGGGATTGACTGCCGTTGAAGTTGATTATTCTTAGTAAAGTGTCATGGATTTTAAAATTTTATTTCTTTCTGTGACATTCCTTGTTGGATTTGAATGTTCAAGGATTCTTGTACTTGAAGCTACCATCAGTAAATCTCACATTATCCCGTTACAAGCAATATCATCGGCGTTAGCAAAAAAGGGCCATGAGATAACTTTTGTCAGTACATATCTGTTCGATGAAAAGGTAAAAAATTATCGCGGTATCAAAATTCCATTCAATGAAGAAGATAAAGAATTTGTCAGTGAAATGGTCAAAGACCCTGATGGAAAAGGATTTTTCCATTGGTTTCCCAAACTATCGGAGCTGGTTTTTCGTCTGGGAAATGATACATTACAAATGCCAGAAATGAAAAATTTGATGAAAGAAGAAACATTTGATCTTGTCATTGTTGGATATTTCATGAATGATTTTATGCTAGGACTTGCTGATCACTTCAAATGTCCAAGTATTTTGTTCAGCCCAGCAATGGCCTTCAACACTATGAATCGAGCACTTGGAAATCCTTTGGCAGTTTCAGGACTACCACATCCGCTGGTGCCTATTAGCGAAATGAATTTTTTGGGAAGATTGAAAAATTTTCTTGCAACAGGTTTTGATTTAATTTTTGGTGAATATGTGAAATATCGTTCAAGGCAAATTTACAAGTAAATATGCTGAAAAAGTATATCGAAAGATGAGTTAATTTTTAAAATTCAAATTCAAGTTTTCATTTTCCGGCTGATCGTTATCGATCATATGATGAAGTACTCAACAATGTTTCACTTGCATTGATTAATGACTACTTCAGTAGTTCAGGAAGAGTTCGTCCCAATGTCCCCGCTGTTGTTGAAATTGGGGGAGTTCAAGTGAAACCAGAACCATTACCACTGCCTGAGGTAAGATCAGTTTCTTTAGTTTAAATCTCAGTTGATTAATTTCTTTAAAAAATATTTTAGGACCTCAAGAATTTCTTAGACGAAGCCAAAGATGGTGCAATTTTCTTTTGCTTAGGATCGAATGCAAAAAGCACATTTCTATCGAAAGAAACTCTTCAAATTCTTCTGAAAGTCTTCGCATCGTTGAAACAGAGAGTTGTGATGAAATGGGAAGCGGACACGATGGAGAATCAACCGAAAAACGTTTTCATCAGCCAATGGTTGCCACAAGATGACGTTCTGGCACATCCAAACCTTCGTTTGTTCATTTCTCATTGTGGGCTTGGTGGAGTTATAGAATCAAAATATCACGGAGTGCCAATTGTTGGAGTTCCAATGTTTGCTGGTGATTCAAATTAATATTTTTCTTTCTAAATTTGAAATATTAACATCTTGATATCTTTTACAAAGATCAATTTGACAATGCTGCAAAAGTTGTAAAAGAAGGTTGGGGAGTCAAAGTCGATGTTAATTCTATGACTGAAATGAAGTTGAAAGATGCGATCCATGAAATTCTCACAAATCCAAAGTAAGAAACGAAGAAGAAAAATTTCATTCCCATTTAAAAATCTTTTTCACATCAACTCTCGACAGGTACACAAACACCGTCAAGAGAATGTCAACTCTTGCTCGTGATCGTCCAATGAATGCACAAGACACTGCCGTATTCTGGGTTGAATATGTTCTCAGACATCATGGGGCATCTCACATGCATTATCCAGGAGCTGATCTTAACTTTTTGCAATACAATTCAATTGACGTTATTTTGTTCATAGTTGTTGTTATTTATTTGTTCTTCAAGTTCTTGAAATGGAGTTGCAAGAAAATCTGTTGTGGTGTCAGCAGCAAACAGAAGGTGAAAATGAACTAAAAATTATGTAACTACTATTATAAATCGAATTTTAATTCTTTTATCAACTGAATAAAAAAAATGAATTGATAAAAAAATCACTGTGCAGTTGATAAGCATAATTTTACTTCTAACAATTTCACAGAACTACCTACAGCTGTTTTGACCACATATGCTCTTTGATCGTCATAAAATTATTTTCGCTTCTCACAATCAATTTTCAAGGGCACACGCATACTAAAAGAGAAGAGTAGAAGAACAAATCAAGTTCTTCAAAATAATAATTTTACGAGTCTCTCAGTTTATTTTTTACTTTGGACGGGAACAAAACATCAAAATGGATATAAAAATCTTTGCATTGCTACTTGTATTTTGTTCCGGACTTGAATGTTCAAGGATTCTTGTTCTTTATCCCACCATCAGCAAGTCCCATATTATGCCATTGCAAACATTATCATTGGCGTTAGCAGAAAAAGGTCATCAAATAACATTTGTCAGTACATATCCATTAAGTAAGCAGGTGAAAAATTATCGCGATATCAAAATTCCATTCAATGAAGCAGATAAGGAATTCATCGGCGAAATGGGAAAAGATCCTAAAGGGAAAGGCTTCACTTACATGTTCCCAAGATTGACATCTTTGGTCTTTCGTCTGGGAAACGAGTCACTTCAAATGCCAGAAATGAAAAAATTGATGAGAGAAGAAAAATTTGACCTTGTTATCGTTGGATACTTCATGACGGAGTTCATGCTTGGAGTTGCTGATCACTTCAAGTGTCCAAGTATTTTGTTTAGTCCGGCAATGGCTTTTGACGTCATCAATCAAGCTCTTGGCAATCCATTAGGCTTTGTTGCAAATGTGATGGTTCCTGTTAAAGAATGGAATTTCATAGGACGTTTGAAAACTTTCCTTGCCACAGGAGCTGAATTAGGTTTAACTCAATATTTGAAGTATCGAGCTCGACAAGTTTATGAGTAAAAAATATTTTACACTTTAATTTCACTTTGGCAATATCAAAATGTTTCATTTTAGTTTCAATTTTCCCGCTGATCGTTATCGATCATATGACGAGTCATTGCAAAATGTTTCACTCGCATTAATCAACGATCATTTTAGTTCAGGAAGAGTTCGCCCCAATCTTCCAAGTATGGTCGAAATTGGAGGTTTACAAGTGAAACCCAAGCCTTCACCATTACCTGAAGTATGCAGTGAAATGTACAATTAGCAATGCAATTTATAATAATTAGAAACATTTCAGGATCTCAAGAACTTCTTAGACGAAGCCAAAGATGGTGCAATATTTTTCAGCTTAGGATCGAATGCAAAAAGCACATTTTTATCGAAAGAAATTCTTCAGATTCTGTTAAAAGTCTTCGCATCGTTGAAACAGAGAGTTGTNCACAAACACCGTCAAGAGAATGTCAACTCTTGCTCGTGATCGTCCAATGAATGCACAAGACACTGCCGTATTCTGGGTTGAATATGTTCTCAGACATCATGGGGCATCTCACATGCATTATCCAGGAGCTGATCTTAACTTTTTGCAATACAATTCAATTGACGTTATTTTGTTCATAGTTGTTGTTGTTTATTTATTCTTCAAGTTCTTGAAATGGAGTTGCAAAAAAATCTGCTGTGGTGGTGGCAATGACAAGCGTAAACAGAAGACTCATTAAATGGAACATTGCATGCAGTATTTAAATTGTTGGATGATAATGAGAAATAAAACATGCCTTAAACCACTTATAAGACAATGTTATGTAATTTTAAATTAATTTAATTGAACAAAATTCATTGCTTTATCAAAATTCTAAAGCAAACAAACAAAATGTAAATTTAATTCTGCTTATTCGTGACATCTTAAAGTATGACTTTTCAAAAAACTTTTTTAATCTTTTACGGTAAAAACGGAAGTTTAAAGTCTTTCCTACTTATTTGCTTTCAGAAAAGAATAATAAGAAAGTTGAACATCTTTATCCAATGGAAACAACCAAATTATTTCAAGTCGAATAAGAAAAAAGAAAACAAATAAAAACTTCATGAAAAAGCTATTAAAGTTTCACTTCAATTGCCGACTTAAGCTTTCAATGTGGGAACAATTTCATACACAATTAAACACTATTAATTTCCTGATTAATTATTCCCTCGATTTATATTTTGGTCAGTGCGAGAGCGGCATCTTAAAAAGGTTTGAAGGCAACGAAAGACGATGATAAAAGAGAGATGCTGATGAATTCAAATTCCAGTAGCTATCAAACGACTTTTTTCTATTTAGGTAGATCCGAAGGCAATAGAAATTAAAATTATTCTATCTCCATTGTTAAGCAATTAATTTCTTCTTGGTTGTTGAATGGGAAGAAGCGGTAAAGATACAGAAGAAGTTCTTTTAATTTTAACATCACCACATTGAATATTCATTAAGAAAGCTTACGAACATTTATGATTCACTAACACTCGGATAAGAGACTCTGTTCCCTCGTCTTTGAAGGCCTAAAGATACATTAAAAGAATATTGATATGCTAACTTTACTTTGCGGCTTAATTAATTCCTTGTAAGTTAAAACAGACGCCATAACTTTTTTATTCCTCAAGTTCATCTCATTTTGACCGAGGTTAAATATCACTTGATAGAGCCTTAAAAGAAGTTCATAAATATTAAATTGATTAATTGGTGAAAATTGACCATCAGAGTCACATTGCGTTTATGATATTGAAAAAATAAAACATTTCAGATCAATCAATTAATAATTTTAGACTCTTTAACTTCACTCTTAAAGATTTCATTTATCACCACAATTCAATAGTTTTTTTTCTTAACACGCGATTGCTAAAAAGGTTTCTTTTGATGTGTCTCCATAACATTAATATCGGCATTAGAATGGAAGAAAATTCACAGAAACCGTGGTTTTATTCCTTTAAAAGCGTCGATGATGGTCCATTAATTTTTGTATCGTTTATAAAACGATTTCAAAGAAATTCGTTGTATGTTAAATGAAGTCAGAAAGGCGATTAAAGTGGACCTGGACAGAATAAGAAACTGTTGAGAAATGATCTCATGGTTTATCGCGACTTTTACGAGAATTTGTTTCTTCATTCGATGGAGAATTTTGGACATAATTTAAAGACCTTAAACGATTTAGTTTTATTTTTCTGACTTCTGGAATTTCATCTTTCATCGATGATAATCGAAGAACTTTCTTGTCGCTCTGTTAATGGTCTGAACTTACTTTTATTACTTGGAGAATTCAGATCACGAGATGAAGGCAGGAGGTCGAAAACCTAAGGAGACAAGTTTCATCTATTCGCAGGTGGTCTCAATACTCTCGTTTGAGTTTGTACCAAAGCGCAGATTAATTAAGTAGAATTAGTTTAATCGCTTAGGTTTCAACTGCTATTAATATTATCGTTTCCTCTTTCTTTTCTCTTCCCGAAATATTTCTTGACTGCTTTTGAATTTTTATAATTAAGAAATTCTAACGAAATCGACCTTATGAGCGTTAAATTTTCTTTTGATTAGGGATAAAAAACTTTTTTATGTGACGTTATGAAATTTGCATGTAAGATTTTGTATCATTTCATGGAGCTTTATTCATTTTTAATGATTTCATCGGAAATCGATTCAATGACTTTATTTTGGGACTAAATAAGAAGCAAGACAAATATATAAAAAATTTCTTAGAAGTCAAAAATAACCATAATTTAATCGTTTATGATGACATTTCAAATGGAATCGCATATGGTGAGCTGAACTTCGAAATCTTCACAAAAAAATATGAAAAGAGTGATCGCATTTTAAAAATCGTTTAGATAAATAAATTTGCATTCTTTAAACGAAAGAAGGAAAATTAAGAAGGTTGATTAAATATTTAAATACGTGATATTCACACTTGATATTTGAACAATCAAAAGATTTAGATGATGATGCAGACTCATAAAGATTAAAACAAATTATTACGACAGGTTGTCAGGTTAATACTTTAAAATCATGCTTGATCCATTATGTTATAAAAATTTACAATTTAAAACAACTTGAACTATTTCAATTCACATCCCTGACACGCTCGCATTAAATTCTAAATGCAAACTGCATGTTATTTATTAAATTATTAATTTTTAACGACACTTGTGATTATCCCTCTTGTAAATGTTATTTTGAAACTTCAAAATACAACAATTGTCACTCGATTTCGTTCTCATTTCGATGACCTATAAGCTTTCAATGTTATCAGTTTGAAAATAACAAATAAGCAAACATAATTTTGAATAAAAAGAGAATGTTTTCAGTCAATTTCGTTTAACAGTGCTAACAGGAACTTAAAATAACTTCATCAGGAATGTTTGCGAAGATATTAATTCTGCTTCTCAGTGCATCTAGCGTGTTCTGCTATGTTTACATCATTCCAAGTCAGTTGGGAAAAAGCAAACGTGAGTGTCAACATCACAAGCCAAATGGACGTTTTATAACTTTTTTTTCTAATTTTTCTAGATCATGACAATTATTGTTTTTTTAACGACACAAGCACTTTAATTAAACGTGGCGAATCTTTTATAAATCAAGAAATGTGTGAAAAAGTTGATTGTAATGAGGATTATTCAATGAGTATCTATGGGTAGATTATTTTTATAACTTTGTATTGAATTCTTATAACAAAATTATTCCCTAGATGCGGAACGTTTTCGTTGAATGATCCCAATTGCCTTAAATGGAAGAGAGACTTGTCGAAACCTTACCCTCAATGTTGCACATCATTTATATGCGTCGAATATGCAGACAACTTTTTGGACAACAAACTTGAGTCTTCGAAGGAAAACTCGGATTAATTTATGGAAATTCAAACTTTCATTTTCATTACAAAATGTTAAGATGAAAATTGATTGAATTGTTAGGATGCAGACTCTTAATTAAATATTTTTGATAAAATTTATTGTCCATTGGACATTTAAATTTGAAATACCTAATTTATAATTCCTAACAAATATTCAAAATTTTCAATAAATTCTTTAAATTCGTTGTCTAAACGCATCACAAACCTAGACATTCACCTCTTTCCTGGCTCCATTTAAGAAGAAACATCAAACATCATGTTAGATAAATTAGGCTCGTAAATTAACAAAAACTTAATAGCCTCGTGTTCGATGAAACCATTAACAAAGATTAATTAAAGTATGCAAATGAATATAACCAAAACGACATCATCAAAGACATCAAAAGTCGAAAAACTTTTGATATGTATGTGAAAACACTTTGATTTACTTTTCATGTTTAATTGAGCATGTGCTAGTTGAGAGTTAGCCAACTTAAATAGCGCATTAGTCATAATAAACATTGAAAACAGAAAGCATGATTTAATTTTCATGCTCGATATGAAGCATTCATTACACTTTATCCATTTCGCTTTTGCTTTACATTAAATATTTTGATTCAAACGTTCATTGTACAAAATGAAGACTCAAATGAAGTCGTAAAAATGTTTTTAGCTCTCATAATCATTGCTATATGCTGCACGTTTAATTTTGACTCCCATAACCTTTCATTGTGTGTAATTTTTCATTTGTTATGAGCTTGTTACTCGATGGTTTGCCACTGTTCAAATAAAGGCGGTCTTTGTTAACTTTATAGCGATTTTCTTTTCAGTCTCTAGTTGTTATAAGTTTTAAACATCGGAGAATGAATTTGAATAAATACTTTTTGTCTATTGAAGGAATAAAAGAGTTTCATGAAATTTTCAGTTTAAACATTTTATTTGAAGGGTGAAAAGTTTTGTAACTTCCACGAATTCATTTGCGGAAATGTTCCTGCCATTACATTCAAGCAGATTAAAGCTGAATTTTCTTCAATATAAATACAAATATAAGCCATCGAGTTTATTTAAGTAAGTCTTGTTTGTATTATTTAATTGTCCATTAAAACTCCATTAAGTTTATGATGAAGAGTTTCTTATTATTTTCTGGTTGCCGCTTAATGTCATTAATTGTAATCAATAAAGATTTCATTTGGATCGTCTTTCGATGCAATTTGACGCTTTTTCGTAATTAATTTTTACTGTTTCACTTCATTTGTGTCACAATAAAAGCAATTAAACTCTTTTCTTATATCAATGATTTAATATTGATATATCCAACATTAAAGCAATGAGTAACAAGCTTCTGGTTTTACTTCATTACTGAAACTGTTTGGTTTAAAATCCAAATTACATTTTTTAAATGTGAATTCTAACAACTCAAAAGTTTTAAAATTTGTTCCCAAATATGTTTCATCTCAAGACGATGTATCCGATTTCAAAACCTCGTAAACATATTCCAAAAATTTCTTTGTCGTTCAGCAGCTATTAATTATTATAACATAGCATGGCCATTGAAAGAAATTCGAGGGAGAAATATTGAAGGAAAATAAAACATTTTAATGATGCTGAATGAAAATTAACATTTCCGCCCTCATCTTTCAAATTTTTAAACAGAGCTGAGTATAATGAGGAGAGCATAGAATGAAAAACAATCTAGACGAGATGTCACAAATTTTTTGATGTTTCCTCAAATTATCTGTGAATTTTGTATGTAAAAATATTTATGAATGAAACTTTCCTACCCGAAAATCTTTTTTTACTTCTTCTATGACTCTACGAAAAAATTTTCCTGTCGTATGATCGATCGCCTTTTAAGTGCCTCAAGTGCCACACTGCATCAATTTAAAATCTACAACTTCTTTTAAAATGTTTTCTTCATATGACAGAGTTTTACTTGAAACCATTAACATTTTACTTGGAAACAATTTTTCAATTTTCCGTTCAGTATTATTATGTGATAATCGTTTATGTACATGTAGATATGTTAGCATCAATTCATGTTGTTGGGTTTACAAAGCATCAAATCAGCTCAACTCTCAAACATTTTCGCTCTCTTCTTTCCATCCACCCTCAATTATTCAACGTGATATTCTCTCGTATCTTTTCCTATGTATATCACGAAGCAGAAAAACGTTTAACTCAAATCAAATATCCATTATGTAGCAAATAAGAAGACTCAATAAGCAGAGTAGCAAAAAAATAACAAATTGTGATGATGATGTAACGATTTAGTGACTTTATATTCTCTTACAGTTGTGTGTGTGAATCCTGTCTATATGATGGGATGAAGACAATCTATAGCACTTGAAAGGGTGAAACTGAAAACGATTGAGAATTTCCGTAAAATGTAAAATGAAAACAATTTATCGTGTAAATGTGAAGCAGGTCGAAAAATTTCTACAGCGAGAAAGAGTGTCTGAAATCTCAATTAAATTTAATTAAAACGCTTTTTAATGTATTGAGTGATATATCTACTTATACATCACTGTGAGTTTAGTATCGTAATCTTCCATCAGTTGTAAATATATTACAGACGAATGAGTTTCAAAAGAAGAAAAGTGACGATAAATTTTATCGTTTAATAGCCAATTAAAAAGATTTTTCTCTGAAGAAAGCTACATACGGAAATCGTATTATGTATCGAGAAGAATAAAAATTGTGCACATATTTTGATGAGAAAGAAAGAATTGTTGTATTCAAACTCAAAACGATATCACATTTGAACACAATTATGTAACATCTTGTTGAGTCATCCTAAAGTCACAAGTCATCATCATTATGCGTTGAAGTGAAGTTAGGTACCAGCTTAATAAGTTTAATTTTGAACCAAAGCAAAACATTGAATTTAGGTTCTAACAAATTATTAGCAAACTACAAATCAGGAAAAAATCAGGTCTGCAAAACACGTAGACTTCATGTCTGTGTGTCATCGAAAAAATGTCTACTAGTCATGTCTGGGGACACAGAGACATGTCTTGGAAAAAGGGTAGCATAGACTCTGAAGACTCTGAATCTTGTTCATGTGTGAAAATATAAGTGAGCAAAAAAAATGTGAATCACTATTTATTCTCTTCGCCGGTAGCTGTCAATGTAACGATCCTTATTAAAATATAAATTAACTAAAAATGTAATAAAACCACTTAACTTGTGCAATAATTGCTTTATAAACTGAAATAATACAGGAATTAATTACAATGACTTGATATCGTTAAGGTCATAAGCCCATTCTATTATCGCAATTTGGAAAGTTACGACAGTATTGGTATGAAAAACATTTTAAAAGTTAGCTCAAAATATTGCGAGTTTTATAGTGTTTATAACTTTTCATGAGTTAAGACGCACATTTTCTTCAAGATGAAACTTTTCGTTTTTATTATATTTTCTGTTTTGTGTTTGATCAACGGTGAGTTCTTTCTGAATTTCAAATATTGAGTTTATCTGGATCATTTTGTTACCAGCTCAAGAAGCCGAAAGTGAAAATTCCTCTACCATTGTTAGTAGATGTAGGCAACGTGATTGTCCTCCAAATAAGCCTTTTTTCAACTCGCAAACTTGCAAATGTGAATGCAGACCGGAATTATTTAGATGTGCTCCAGGATACATTTTCAACGAAAAAAAATGTCAATGTGAAAGAAAGTGCAAACGAATTGTACGATGTGTACCAGGCAGATTTTTCAACCCTGAAACATGTCGTTGTGAATGTAACCTGGCACTCATAAGTTGCTTTGAAAACTCCAAAGTTAATCCCAAAACATGTGAATGCGAACCTCTCTGTCCTTTGATAAAATGTGCAGAAGGGTTTGTCGTAAACCAAAACACCTGTAAGTGCGAATGTGATCCATCATTAATATTATGTGGAAGACCAACTGTTCTCAATTTGAAGACGTGTAAATGTGAACTAGATACCTGCATACAACAACTCTGTCCTCACAACTTTATTTGGAATTCAAAAACATGTCAATGCGAATGTCCTCCTAGAAACTGTGGAATTAATCCACTATTCATTTGGAACAAAGACACTTGTCAATGTGAATGTGATGCATCACGAATTCTCTGTGCTGCTGATTCTTATCTTGATCCCGAATCATGTTCATGTGTAAAACTTACACCACCTTGTCCTCCTCAGAATTGTGGAATCAATCCTGATTACCAATGGAATCCTGATTCATGTCAATGTGAGTGTGCAAAGAAATGTGAAGCTCCATCTGTTCTCGTCAGCGAAATTTGTCAATGTCTCGCTCCTCGTTAAATTTTTGAATTAATGTAACTTTTCTATCCAAAATGTATTCAAAATAATAAAAAGGAACCAATAAATGATTCAATTTTCATTTGACAGAAGCTTTTCAATCCTTTATAAGAAGTCGTTTATACATGTTCGATTTTTATTTCATGTTAAATTATTTTGTAGAAATCCCTGATGATGGTTAATTATCGAAACTAGTCGGAAAATATAAATCAAGAAGAGTTGATATTTTTATTAGTAAAGCTCTTGTGCAATAGTTACTTTATAAACTGTTAAAATATAGGAAATAATGACAATGACCCATTCCGTTATCAAAACTGATGTAATTTGGAAAATTACGACAATATTGGCATGAAAAACATTTTAAAAATATGGCTCAAAATATATCGAATTTTATAGTGTTTATAACTTTCATTGAGTCAAGACGCACATTTTCTTTACGATGAAACTTTTTCTTTTTATTATATTTTCTGTTTTGTGTTTGATCAACGGTGAGTTCTTTCTGAATTTCAAATATTGAGTTTATCTGGACCATTTTGTTACCAGCTCAATACGTCGAAAGGGAAAATTCCTCTTCCATTGTAGGCAGATGTAGGCAACGTGATTGTCCTCCAAGAAGACCTTTCTTCAACTCGGAAACTTGCAAATGTGAATGCAGACCGGAATTGTTTAAATGTGCTCCAGGTTACATTTTCAACGAAAGAAGATGTCGATGTGTCGAAAAAAGGATCTGCAGAAGACGCCAAAATTGTAGAGGCAACAGAATTCTCAATCCTGAAACATGTCGTTGTGAATGCGACTTGTCACTCATAGATTGCTTTGAAAACTCCAGAGTAAATCCCAGAACATGTGATTGTGAGTTTGTTTGCCCTGATGTAAAATGTATGAGAAATTTTGTTCTGAACCAAAGAAACTGTAAATGTGAATGTGACGCATCACGAATGATCTGTACTGCAGATTCTTATCTGGATCTAAAGACATGTACATGTGTGAAACTCACACCACCTTGCCCTCCTCAGAATTGTGGAATCAACCCAAAGTTCCAATGGAATCCTGAGAGCTGTCAATGCGAATGCCCTCCTGAAAATTGCGGAATAAATCCCGTTATTGTTTGGAATAAACTGACATGTCAATGTGAATGTCCTCCTAGAAACTGTGGAATTAATCCTGACTATCTCTGGAATACAGACACTTGTCAATGTGAGTGTACAAAGAAGTGCGGAGAACCATCTGTTCTCGATACCGAAAGATGTCAATGCCTCAGTCCTCGTTAAATTTATTGTATAAATGAAAATTTTTGCGCCTATTGATGTGCGAAAATAATATAGAGAAGCAAATAAAACTTACTACTGGTGTATCCATACATTACACGCTCTGATTCAAAAGAATTGAATCAGGAAAAGGAAAAAATTTCTGAGTTTCACAAGCTTCCAGTGAATTCAAACTACTTTGTTTTTCTTCTGTTTTCAGCAAATTTTTTGTTATCTTCATCGTGACTTTGCTATAAATTTTGTACTCTACTACATGAGTAAAGTTCTGAAATTTAAACATTTGGTTGATTACTAGCGGCAACACAAAGTATAAATACACACAGCTGTTTTGAAAATTACTTTAAGTTATTACTTTAACAGAACCAACCGTTGTCATTATGAAAAACATTTCTTTAGTTTTATTTTTGATATTTTCTTGGAAGTTTCTTTGCGAAGGTATTTAGTTATTTTATTTTATTATATTTAATCTGATTCTAATATTTAATATTATTAAAGCTGATCACCATCACAATAAATGTCAACCTCCATCAACAACTTTATGCCCGTTCAGAGATTGCAGAGGCAGCCCTTTCATGATATGGAACCAGCAAACCTGCAGTTGTGAGTGTAACCTGGCACTCATTGATTGCTTTGCACCCTCTACGGTCAACCCCAGAACATGTCGATGCTAACCGATAGAGCCATGTGAACCTCAAGATTGTGAACGTCCCTTGCGCATCTGGAATCAAGAAAGCTGCAGTTGTGAATGCAATTTAGCTTTGATTGATTGTTTCATAAACTCCAGAGTTAATCCGAGAACATGTGAATGTGAACCGACTGATCCACTGGTTTGGCAATGTCCTGAAGTAGACTGCGGAGACAATGAAAATTTCTTTTTTGATGACTTATCATGCAGTTGTGAATGCGACACATCTAAAATTGAATGCAATCTTTATTCAAGAATAAATGGAGAAAGATGTGAATGTGAATCTTCAACATTTTGTCATCCACGAAGTTGCGGAATTGATACTCTGAAAAGATGGAGTATGGATACTTGCAGATGTGAATGTGATTTGTCTAGAATTGCATGCCCTTCACCGTCTCGAGTAGATCCAGAAACATGCGAGTGCCTTGAACCCTGTCCTCCACAGAATTGTGGAATCAACCCAAAGTTCCAATGGAATCCTGAGACATGTCAATGCGAATGCCCTCCTGAAAATTGTGGAATAAATCCCGTTATTGTTTGGAATAAACTGACATGTCAATGCGAATGTCCTCCTAGAAACTGTGGAATTAATCCAATATTCATTTGGAACAGAGGCACTTGTCACTGTGAATGTGACCCATCACAAATTGTTTGTACTGCAGATTCTTATTTGGATCCAAAGACATGTTCATGTGTAAAACTTACACCACCTTGCCCACCACAGAATTGTGGAATTAATCCGGATTACGCTTGGAACCCAAAAACTTGCAATTGCGAATGTGCAAAGATATGCGATTTTCCATTCATATTAAACAAAGACAAATGTCAATGTGTAAGGATTCGTTTTTAAGCTTTTTTATCTTCATACAGAAAGCTCATATAAAAATATTAAATTCAATTATTATTTCTTATTCTTTGATATATCAATAAAAATTCGGTACGGAAGTTTCGTACACAAACTTCATCATTTCGTGATACGTATGCTAATTTTTTTTTATCAAACATTTCATTTCAGTTAATATAGAAAACGTGACATGATAAGTTTCAAGTGGAAAACGATTTTATTTTCCTTGCGAACATTTTAAAAATATCAAAATTATGCTTTAATGAAGTTAAGGTAAATATTTAATTGTTATCATCTGACTAGTTTCCATTTGTTATATTTTTGGAAAGTAAAACTTGATAATTTGCCTTCAAATCTCAAAACATTAAATGGCAATCAATAAACATCTTTTACTTTCAAGCATTGAGATCTAACTTTACCCGTTTCGTCTCATAAAAGGTTTCGCTTTTCAAATTTAATACAAGAGCAGATAAAAATGACACGTGTCATAACTCATAAAATGAATGAGACAAATGCTTTGAAAGCAAAATGAGATTATTTTTAGAATCAAAAAATATTCAAGGTATGAATAAACAACAAATTAATTAATTTTGCTAAAACGTTTCACATTCAGTTTTCATCTTTACGTGAGTGCTTTTGGCAAGCATCAGAAACGCAAGATTTTAGAAAACAAATCTATTTATGTATAAAAATTTGTAGAGAGATTAATTACGAGGATAATTACAGTTTATGTTACACAATGTAAGAAAAACGATTTTGTTTCACTTTTATAACCGAAATCATGACGTTTCCTTAATGGTTTGAGCTTTAAATTGTTTGAGATGTAAATCAGATCTTAACCGCGAAAGCCGCAATATTTTCGTGCAAATTTCTTAAGTCTCGACTCTTTTGTTTTCTTTTTCGAGTAGATATTCACTGAAAATTTAAATCGATTCGCATGGAAGCTAATGAATTGATATAAACTGCTTTTAATGCACTTTCTGTGTATTTGCATGAACACTAAAGAATGACATTAAACATGATATTAATCGACGTTCTTTTGCCGGTTTATTACTCCTTGATGATATTTATCTTCGGCATGATTATTTACTGAGAACTTTGAATCTTTATTTAGTAATAAAACAACTTGAGAATAAAAAACAATAAATTTTTTAAGCCTTACCGACTCTATAAAAATCAATCCTGAATTTCAATGTAAGGCTTGTTGAATCGAATTGAGAATGAAAATTGTTCGAAACGTTCCTAATTAATAAACACTTTTTAATTGGTTCCATATTGTTTTCATAGAGAATGTTGAAGAGCACGAAACAATGTCGCACTTTAACATAAAGAAATGTTAATTGCAATTTAGTGTCTCATGTACATACATTTTGTTTTATTTATTTGAGTTCGTTTCTACTTCGAATTCACGCTGTTTTCCTTTTCTGAAAGCAAAGCATACTGTGAGCACTTACACATTGTTTTCTTATTTATTTTAATCCGCGACTCTTCATGCTTTGAAAATAAATTGCACATTTCACTGAATAGAACGATGATGAAATGAAATTTCATGTTTGGATTTGAGACTCAAAAGTTAACTTAAATTTGTCATTATTTGTCATGACAAGAGCTTTTCAATGTGAGAAATGAAATTATGCAACATAGCTTGTGGGTGGAATCTTCAATAATAATCGCAATTTTATTGCGTTGAACAATGAAGCTATGAATAGAATCAAATTTCTTTCTTTCGACTTGTCAATGAACACATCTGACTCATGAAGATAGGAAAAAAATTATTAAATTATAATATTGATGATGCAATTCGTTATCTCAACGTCGAAAACATTAACAGCATAATGCTGATGAAGAAAAAAGCATGAACCAATCTCATTAGTATGAAAACATCATAACAATTCACGTAATTGATTTTCTCCAAACACAATTATTATTGCACAATGAGTAAATCATCATCATAAATCTCTGAACAATTATCCATCAACCCTCTTCATACATTTATGAAGCTCTTAAAATACTCAAACCAAACATCATTTATGCTCCGTTGGGGTTACAACGCTTCATTCATATCCTCGGATTTCCATTCTTCGCTTCTCTCATTTTTCATTCAATTCCCTCTCACAACTCTCGCACAACTTAAAACAAGTTCATAAATTTGTTTTCGTTGAAGACATAAATGTTTATTTCATATTTGATTTAGTTTCAATTTGGTCTCTGACGAATTGCCATCGCTGTTTCACAAAGTTTCTCATAGAAAAAAATAAATAAAATATATGAGATCTGACCAATATAGAAGAGAAAATCGATAAATGCCGGCTTAACGAATTCATTCAAATGGACATTAAATATCAAGCGATTAACGATAATTGGAATTAAATGAAGTTGATGTGATACATTGATGATTAAATAATATTGTGTGAAAATTTGCAAGTTTCGTTCACATAAAAGAATCGCAATAAGGATGAAAGCCTGACCATTAGCGCGGGAATGAAAAAAGACTTCAAAAGAATTATTAAACAATAACAGTGCAATATAACAAGCTTTCTAAGCAATTAAACGCTGATATCAAAGATTTAAGGAATTCAATTACAAAGTCTAATTACTTTTCATGACATTTAATCCACCCCAACAAACGAAACAAAATTAAATGCTGTTAAATCACTTGAAACATAAATTTAGAAATTTTTATTCCACGCTAGTTTATGACAATTCCAAGTTGTAATGTGAGATTTGTGGAATGTTTTAAGCAACATTTTAACTAGTGCACAAAATAGTGATAAATTTGCTATCTATCGCTGAAAAAAGAAAATGCTATGTTTAATATAATTACAATAATCTGATAGCATTGTGAATAACACACGAAGCTTTTTTTTTGGCTTCCATCAATTTCTTTGTCGAAAAAGAAGTCTCAAAGAATTGCACAACACGTTAAGTGAATCACAAAAGAAGTTAAAACAAGAATTGAATTCATTAATTTCTATTAAAGGCATACTACACGAACACACACATAAAGGTTGAGTGGTAGTGGAGGAGAAGAGAAATATAATAGAGCAATAAAATAAATTATGTTGGAATTAAGTGATTACGATGAAAACGAAGAAGCTCATAAAAGTAGCAATGTGGAATGTGTTGAAGTGAATAATGGGATTAAAATGGCTAATAAACGATCAAAATCGTTGGAAAAGGAAGAAGTTGATGATGTAAAGCGTACATCGAGTGAGTTATTGAAGCGACCCGACACAGCTCCACCTCTTCTTCCGGATTTCGTAAAGAAAGTGAATAAGAAAATCGATGAACATTCATCGAAATCCAAATTTAGTGTGGAAAACCACATTAAATCAAAGACTGAAATGATTGTCACGAAACCTAATGAAAGTGTTCCTATTGCGTGTAATAAACGAGAAATGATATCGGCACTTACATGGCATGAACATGTTTACAGGAAGCCACCAAAAATGCCAACGCCATTCTCAATTGTAGACATCTTGTGGGGTAATGAGAAAAAGACAATTTCACCACAAACAGATCAAAATAGTGATAGCAATAACAATTCAAGTCGATCGTATCAAAATGTTGAGCCATCAACACTTCAACAACTTTTAAATTTGAACATTAAAACACCAAGTCCACGAAGCTTCGAACATACAAACAATCAATTGATTCATAATGGAATTAGCAAGCGCGGTTTGTCACTAAGTGAAACGAGTGAAGACGAAAGTGTCGCAAGTGATCAACCTTTGAATCTTTGTGTCATTAAATCGCGCGACTCATCACCTGGGGCGGATAGATCAAGTGGGAAAACAAAGAAAGGTGCGATCGATGCTTCCAATTTCAACAATTGTGAATTAATTTGAATTGTTAACGAGAATGGAAAATGTCTAATGAATGAAAGTTCGACAAACCAGAAATTGATTCGAAATTATTTATTAAACGAATGAAAACACATTGTTGTGTCGCTTCAAAGGAAGAGACAACTTAAACTCCCACGAAAAAATCTTAAAACGATTCTTCCTAAAAAATTTATAAATGGTACTTGATGTCTTAAAATCATTTCAACAGCAGTCGTTGCGTGGGATGGAAGATGGAAGTTTGTTCTGTTTTTGTAATCAGATTATCCTCCCAACTACATTTCATTCTTTAGCCTTTTCCGTAATGCCATTATCGAAAGTTACAAAAAGAAGTCTCATGTTCATTTATGGGTTAATTTGACTTTCATTCATAAGTCGTTATCCATTGTATAAGCGCGTTAAGCATCGAGCTTCCTGTAAAAGTGAATATATACGTTCAATATTAGAACGTTCAAAATTCTTCATATAATGATTCACTCAACAAAACACTTTTACCTACAGCTTCGCTTAGAAGCACTTTATGAATTATTAAATTTTATACACCCGTGCTTTTCTTTTCCTTTTTTTTGCCTTTTTTTATTCTTCATTCTCCCATGCAAAGCGATTTATTTTTGAAAGCGATGAAGTAGCGGCACACGAGAAGAAAATCGTTAATGCTTGGGAGCCGTCGCTGAAATGAAGACAAAAAGTCATTTACTTGCTATATCTATACAAGATTTAATTTTATAATTTTTCAAGCTTCGCGTTGTCATCGCATGAATGAGTCATTAAGTGCTTTAAATTGATTTCAATTCAATTAGCAATTGCGCAATTATTAATTACGAGCGCAAATTCGTATGGAAGCAACTAACATGATGATACTTTTTGGCACATTTATTATGTGCTTTTTAATGAGTGCATGAAACAGTTTGAGGCATGAATTGGTATTCGGGTGGGTGGTCGATTAAACGGGATAAAAATCTCAACACATACATATCGATGCTGTGAAAATGAATTGCACATTAAACATATTCGGCAATTATTTAACGATTCAATTAAATGCTTTTTTCACCGTGAACAATTTATCGTGCCGGAGATAATAAAACCATCGCCAAGAGCAGAAAAATGTGAAATCAATTGATGTTATATCTGGTTGTTGATTCAATTAAAATTCAATATTCTTGTTTCATCTCGCTCATTCGATTTCCATTCACAATTCCACATCGAATGAATACAAGTTTTTGTGTCTTTCTTCTTCTTGCTTTTAAATAATAAATTTTATTTGTAAAACTGACTCAATTACTCATTCCATTTGATTTCAATTGATAGTCGCATTTTGGGTGAGGGTAATTGAGACATTGTCGAATAATGAATAACAGATCAGAAAATAGTTTCAAGATATTCATTTAGTAGTTGTTTAGCAGATGTGAGTTGAGAAAATTTGATTAAAAAACTTTTAATTGTTAAAATCAACGAATGGAATTAAATGTTTTCTAAAGATTTTGCAAACTTACTCGTGTCGTGATCGAAAATCTTGAATGTTTCATTCGTTCAATTCAAATTTAAAATCAAATTTTTATCTGCTTTTACAATTCTTTTACAAACCAAATTTAAAATCAAAACAAAAATTGTCAATTTGTAAATCGTAATTGCAAATTGAAAACATCCTCAACATTTATTTAAATTGAGTTGGAAAGGAACATAACATTTAATGCAATTTTCACAGATTTATCAGCCAAATCGATTCTCAAGCGAAAGAGATCGATTGAAGTTACTTCCGATTCTTATTTATCAAACGACTCAATGAGCTATAAAGACACAGCAAATGGAAAAGAAATTGATGATGATGAATCAATCAACGAGGATGGATACGATGAACAGTCGCCGGATGGAAAAAGAAAAAAGAAAGCCAGAACAACATTCACAGGACGTCAAATTTTTGAGCTTGAAAAACAATTTGAGGTGAAGAAATATTTGAGTTCCAGTGAGCGATCGGAAATGGCGAAATTGCTGAATGTGACAGAGACTCAGGTGAGTTAATGATTTGTTGTGTTGTTGATATTGAACATTAATTAAGATATTTTTAACCGGTTGTCTCTGAATTGACTTCTTTTTACGATATTTTCAATTAAATTGATTTTGAAGGGAATTAAAATTCTGTAAATGCTTTCACTTTTTTAATTAAAACTTTTCTATGACTGTTGACTGAAAACTGTGCTGAAGATGAGTGATGAAACTTTTATTCATTTCGAAGTTCTATAAAAATGAAAATTTTACGTAATATGTAAATGTTTCCCGCTCCCATATCATTATACAAACAAAACGTCACCATCATCATAACAATCGATGCAGTAAATGGATTTAATAAGCAACTCTCCCTTCAAATTTAAATGACACTCTTCCATTCACTCTTAAATTGATTGATGATCTCATGCAATGCTACCAGCTTCGAAAAAAAAAATTGAAATGGAATCCACAATTAAGTCGAATAAATAAATAAAAAAAAGAAAATAACATAAAATTCAATTTAAAATAGTTTCTCGTTCAAACACACGGTGTCGGAGTCGAAAACGAAATAAAGAGAATTAACTTTTTATGAGCGTTTAAAAAACATCAAAAGTTTGACGAATTTATTTCTGACACTTGAGATGAGAAGCACATCTCTCTGATCCGATGTTGTCTACTCGTCCAAACACTTCATTTACACAAGTGATGAATTTATCCGCTATTTTGTGTCTCTAGAGAAGAATTCATTTTAATGATTTATATCAGTGATGGCAATATCATGTATTCAGAATTAATTACTTAATAAGAAAATATGAGGATCATGTTCCACAAACAGACTCTTGTGTGTTAATAATTTATGAATCGTCTTTGGTTTATTTTTAAGCTGAATTTCTTGTGTCAATGATTTCGTGAAAATTTAAGAAATTCTCGTCGTCACTGTTTAAAATGTCTTTCCAATTATTTACAAAAATCGATATTTTTAAGATTTACAATATGACAATCTGACCTAAAAACATAACTTTTAGGTCTTCAATTAATAACTCACAAATCAAAAAATATTCCTCGTGTTATTTCTTTAACTAAAAGATCGTCGTGCAAAAGAATATCTCGACAAATTATTGTCAATTAATAGTCGCATGCGAGAAATATCAAATAAAAATCATAAATCATAGATAAAAAGCAATAAATACGCAACATGAAGTCTCAAGTGACTCTAATGAAAAGAAGAAGAGCAAAAATTGTTTGCCTTTCAAGCTAATGACAGTTTTCTTAATTGACATTGCTAGGGAACTCGTTGAAATTATAAGAGTTTGTCGCAGATCGTTGTCATAGCTATTAAAATCATAAAACTGACAGGCTAATATGTGTGTTTGTGAACTCGTAAAACTACTTCACTTTCCCTCCTTCCTTCAATCTTCATCATCAACATCAATCTGTATGGGTTCTTTTACAACAAACTTCATGAGTTTTCCCCTTTTTAAACATCTTCTCAACTTAAGACTTTTGTTTATGAAAAATAATTTAAATCATAAAATTCTTTCAACTTCTTGTTTGTTAAAAGATTGTTTCAAATCATTATGATGCTAAATGTGACTATAAATATCTTGCTTGTTATTCACTGGAGTTAAGTTTGTATCTTATCCCGCCGCAGTCATCAAATGTCACCGACTTTTAGTGAACTACAAAAAAAATCTATTTACAACTTTTTTAAATTCTTGTTTCGTCTTCAAATGACGCTTTGGCAATTACAATAACAATAATCGTTAGAATAATGTGATAATTGACTCGACAGTGTCAACATAAATAAACAGACGAGTGGAAGTCAAAAGGAAATGTGTCTAACAAGCAGTAAGAATCAATATGGTTAATATCGTCTTTAGAAAACACTCACAAATTGTATAAAGTACTTTCGCTAAAGAAAATATGAAAATTCTTTTTCGAGATAATTAGGAAAATTCCTCGATGTAATATGAGAGCGAATGGCGTAGTGAAGCATGTGCGGAAGAGTTTGTTGCGTTGTGTTGCGATCCGAGAGCACAAGTAACCTGATCTAACATCGAATAAAGTTTTCGTGTGAATTTTCCCTTTTTAGTCAGAGTTGTTAATCGATTCAGAGTGTTTCATGTTATTCAATGAAATTCGAGCTCTGAGTTCCTTTTTATCTGTTAATAACTAAAGTCTGCATAGACTTATTAACATTACGTTCATACTTAAGCGCATTAGCTTCCAAGGAAAACGATTAATGAAATATTAATTGAAATACTTTACGAATCAAGAAGCTGACATAATCAAATATTTGTTATTAAAATTTCAGTAAACTCTTGAAATCATTTTCCTTCATCCAATTATGTTCTCGAATAATTTCAGAATATTAGAGTAGCTTAATTGTCTCAGACAAAAGCAAGACCAAACCGTTTGCTTTCTTTACATAATGTAAGGAAATCGCTCGTCTAATTCTCGTAATTTGTGGGTGGTTTCAAGCATTTTCATTCAATTTTTCCTTTGCTCACAACTTTTGCTTTTTATATCTTCCATCGTTTGCGAGTCATGGAAGCATTCAATTATTTAATTTAAAAAAAATAGAAGTAGAAGACGTGGTTCTGAGGGAGAAAGGAAGGCTATGTGTATGCATAAGTTAACAAATTCATTTTAATTGCTTAGGTTTGCTCTGCACTCTGTTTAAAAGAGAGTAAAAGCCGAATGAACGTCGACAAGCAATTAAGGATCATAAAAGAAGAAAATATGGTTTTTAAATATTCATTAAGTAGATATTATGAAAAGTATCACATTTCATTAGAGGTCTGTTTTTTAACAGTCTACTTATTCTCCTTTCCATTATGCTTCGGCTTTTTGACGATTACTCGTTTTTATCATTTCTAAGTCTTCTTGTTTCAACTCGACTCAGATGTTTAACGTTTCACAAGTCTTCGTATTTATTAATATTGAATTGAAATGAACATTTCCGCTCCTTTCAACATTTCTAATCTATTCCCAAAAACTCTCTGAAATTCACTTTCTGACTGATTGAATTTCGATGAACATTCGCTTTCAATTTTTGTTGCGTGTTGCGTCTCATTTTCTCCCTAACATAATTGTTATTGATTGTTCGATTATGAACACTTTAATTATCGGGTTCTTTTCACATTTCTGTCGCTTCAACATATAAATTGCTTCCTAATAGAAAATGAAATTGACGACACTTATGATCAAGCTACAACTCTTCATTATAATAAATTGACCTTTTGATTTATGGAAACATTTTCTGTTTTATTCCTTTTCATTGAATTGTAAATTGTAACTCAATATCATTTTTGGTATGATAAAACTCCAATTTATGAATAACAAAAGGCTCATAATTTCAATCAATCAACCCTCACTCAAAAAATATATTCGAAAACGAGAAATGAGAAGGGAAATTCTGAATCAAGCAATGATCAAAAAAGGAGAAGGAATAAATGTCAAAAATAGACTCAACGTTTAACAAAGTGAAAAAGGGAAAAAATGAAACGAAAACTTGCCCCAAAGTCATTAAAAAGAACAAATGAAAATAACAACAGTGAACAATCAAATAATAATTGAAACATTTTTGTTTTCCTTTTCAATATCATTGGTTTTGTGTGCTAGGAATATCCAAGTGACTCAACCATATCCCACCCGTTCACTAAACGTCATGACATGAGAAAGGGACAACACAACATCATTGTTCACAAAGCCAATTTGTGTTATCGATTTGCAATCGAACAAAGCGAAACGATACAATTCCGAAAACGATTATATTTCCACCACCAAAGGTCTTTTGTTTAACTTGAACAATTTTTTCCTTTACTTTTGCATAATAAATTGAACTCACTATCATTTCATCCATGATCTATTTTGATGTTACAAGGTGAATCGATATTGCACGATTCTACTTGCTTTCTTTTGATATTTTGTAATAAATATGAATTATCAACTCTTACCCTCATCGTTCGTCATTCTCCACCCACAATTTCCGAGAGCGGAAAACGAGAAGCATGAGAAGAAAATTGTTTCTAAAATTAAATCATTGTGAGTTTATTATTCATTTAATAAACTGTTATTGAGTGATAATCGTTAATCGAATCGTTGATTTTATTTTCTTTACTTCTTTGTATTGTTCAAACGAATGTTGGGCTTACAATATTTAAACTCTCGTCGCACATGCTCGATGGAAAGCTGAGTGATATTTAATATTCTCTCGTTTCGAGATACAACGGATCTCATCGTTAAGCAGTCGTGTGTATCATAGCAAGAAAGAAGGAAAGCGTGAGAGAGTGAGAGGGAGAGAATGTTTAAGTGAAATCAAATATCCATTATATAGCAAATAAAATTCAATAAGTCCGTGATGATAAAAGTATTTGTATGATTTAGGAGCCTTAATTTGAACTGGTATTGTGCTATTCTATTGAAGCGGGGTAGCGGAAGATTTGACTGATACGGATGGCGTCATTACGTAATAAATAGGGATTAATGTTTTATGTAATTCTCAATAGCCTTTTATGTCAAAAAAGAGTCGAAATAGAACGTTAAATTGACGTTAAACGTTTTCCATCTGAAGAACAATTTTTCAAAGCAATAAACCCCGTTCTGAAACTTTTCTTTCCGATTACAATGAATATAAATTTTTCCCAAAGGCGAACTTCAGTTCAAATTTCTTCCAAAGGCTAAACTTTAAATTATTTAAGCCTTCAAATCAATTCAGAGACTTTTAAAATGAAAACTTTTTATCCTGCATGAAATGTGAAAAACAGTTTTCCCTGAAGTAATAAAAACCTTTTTTCTTTTCTCTCCCCGCAGGTCAAAATTTGGGTAAGCTTAATTCGACTAGATTCAAAACTTTCATGAAGTCATTGTTATGTATTCAATTTTCTCCCATTAGTTTCAAAATCGTAGGACAAAGTGGAAGAAGCAGGAGAACGTAACTCACTTAGATTTGAGTGAACACAAGCAGAATGGATCTTCAAAAAGTTCAACTAATCAGGATTTTCAAACAGAAACATCGCCTCTAGTAAATAAAACAGGAAAATCTGTTGCCGCTGAGTTGAGTGCTAAAATAACAGCAAAGCAAAATTCTCGATTAAAGCAGCAACACAATGGGACGAAAGTGAATAAGCATATGGAGCCACCGAAGTTAAAACCTCATGGAATCCCTCAAAAGATTAACAACAGTTTCAGTAACAACATTAAACAAGTACATGAAATGCAAGTTCAGTTTGTTGACAAGAACTCAGTAATGAAGAATTCTTATCATAACTTTCACGACGTTGAAAGCCGTTTAGCAGCTTCAAAGATTTCCATAAATGACTTTAAGAATAAATCATCAGCACCTGTAGCACTAAACCTAAAGCGGAATTATCTTTGAAAGAAAGTTAAGTTTCAGAAATTGAAGAGAAAAAGAGAATAATGAGGGTCTGCTAGTTGTTTTAAAACAAGAACAATTTACATGAAACAGTTTCCATGACATCTGAAATAATTCTAACCAAAAGCATTCACACACTCGCAAAAAGCTTTTTTAAAAAGACAATCGAAGAGAGTTGTAAAAATTTCTGAAACAATTTTCCAAAATATTTTTATTTCCTTTAGTTGAAACTTCGAATTTACAAATCCTTTGTGGAAATTTTTATGTGTAGGAGACATTGACAAAGTGAAGTCAATTTAACGAGTCAGACAAGAATAAAATTAAGTCACGCCGATATTGCATCTGTCATGCGATCAACATATCAATCGAAATTATTTTATAAATGTAAGCAGACTTCTGGAAAACTTTCACAGAAGACTCTTCAACAGATGTATGAATGTAAAAAGGAACAATCTGATTGCGACAAAGAGAAATTATATAAATAAATGTCAATTCTGAGTCATAAAGTAGCGTTTAGTAATTGTAGAGGGTAATTAATTAATTTTGTTTTCATATGCTCATTATTGATGTGGTTTTTTTGTATACGAGAAAATTGCAATTGGCATGACTGTAATAAAATTGCGAAAAGCTGATTTTAATTGAAAATATTCAAAACAAAAAATTGTGTTTATATTTTGACTCACTTGCTGTTGTTCTCAGACTCGATTTGTGTTTGCAGAACATTTTGGCGATAAAATGAATTTCCGATTTTGATTTTTCCGAAATACACGACTGTTAAATGTTAAGTATTTAAAATTAATTAAGCCATGAAAATTCAATTTGGATGCGATAGGCAATTGCCGCGTTTAAGTTTTAGTTTGTGGTTGCAAAAGCCGTGAATGTCAGATCGACAGGCTTGTGAATCGATAAGAGACGATAAAGAGCTTTTCGGCATTCAAAATTACAACTTCCGTTTGAAGAGAGCGTAAATTAATAGTTAATGGAAATAAATATTAACTTGCAACATTCTGAAATTGATTTTAATTCGGAGAATGTCTTCGTCTTCATGATGAATATTTTGTAAAACAAAATCACTTTGAATTATCTTCTTCCTTCAAATTGAAAATTTACGTTCTTGAAAACTTCAAACAATCTTAAAAATCATAAAGACGTTGTTAATTGAATCATCGTTTCAGCCGAAATAGACCGGCAAGCTATCACTGTCGATCAAAAAATGAAAAGAGTCGCGAAAACAAAGCGTAATCTTTCTTAAATTTTAGAAGAGAAAAATATAAATAAAAGTTGTCAAGGAAAGCAGTGAAACTAAAAATATCGTCCCGCAACACCTAATTAAATGGTGAAGCAACATTTCAACTGCTTAACGACCAATGAAGCTACTAGAAAATGTGAAAAATATTTCCCGTCCTCAAGCACAATTGATTGATGTGTCAACACAACAGGAAAAATACCTAATTATGAGAGACATCATTGTCTACAATTTAAACGATTTCTCTAATGAATTTCTTTTCTGTTCCTTTCAATGTCTGTGCCAAAATCGCCACACATCACTCACATTGTTGATGTCGAACATCAGTAAATGAAATATTTATTTCTTCAAATTTGTCGTTTATTTCGGCTCGAGACAAAGCTAAGCTCGTGAATCTTACCGCATCATACGTAGGAATAAATTGAAAGTATAAAGAAGAAAAATCATCTTTCAGTAATAAAGCATTTATAATTTGAAAAACTGTTTCATTAATGTCTTTAAACGACATGAAATAAAGCTGAAAAGATTAAATGGATATTTATTTTTAAAATCTTCATCGTTTTTTTTTCTTCTTTCATTCGTCTGCTGCCGTCTTTCGCCTGGTTTTATTTTTTTTTCTTCTCTCTTTCTTTCTCTGCTACTGCTACTGGCTTTCTGACTTCTGAAGAGGAAATTGCCGTCTCAAAGAGATGTAATTAAAGTTAAGTGATCTTTTCTGTTGCGCTTAGGGCAAACAAGTATCAGAATCGAGCGAATTTTTTTTTTCATCTCTTCTTTTATTGCTTGATTAATTTGTCTCAAGTTGAGGGCGAAACGCATGAAAGAAATAAGAAAATGTTTTGAATGTTTTCAGTTCATTAATTATCATTTTTTAAGTCACTTTTTATTATTGAAGGAGAACACACAGAACATATGAATAAAGTATATGAGCGCCGTGAAATGTTGTAGAACCTGTCATCGGAATGAAATTTATGGAATTTCACGGATGATTTACAATCTCTCGGTGCATTTCTTGAACGTGACAGCAGAGTATTGCTTCGTTAAGTGCAATTTCCTGCGAATGGTTTCTGTCATAAAGTTTTAAAAGACTTTTAATTGTCCCGGACGACGGCATCGCTTTTTATATCGATTTAAAATAAATCGCTAAAGCATTCAGTTAATGAAGAATAATCAAAACATTATCGAAAGATCTTTGGCGTTGATCATGGGTAAGTACAGAGGTTTAACTCGTTAAAACTTCTTCTGCATACATTTTTAATTTAAAGTTTAAATCCCTGAAAATTTAAACTAATGATGAGACTCAATAAATTCAATCACAAACAAGCCACAGATAACCTACCTACACAGCACAAACTATTTCTTTAACTTCTTAAAACAGTAGCCATTTGACGACGAATAAAATTAAAAAGCAGAGAACATGAATAAAGAAGAATGAAGTGAACGGGCATTTAAATCGTCTCAATCTTTAACTAATTGACCACCAAAGGCGTAAAAAGAATTCTTTTTATTCTTTCTCTTTATTCGCTTTTCATTTAATTCTTTCTTCAGACTGAGATTCGATTCAATTGTGATGTGACTCGTTTTCGAGGTGCGCTAATGTGGACTTTTATTATAAGTTGTTTATGAAAGCGGGAAAAAACTGAATATTTATTTATAATGAAAAAAGCCATTAAGTAATAAGAAGATCAAAGGAAATAAAACTTGATCATGATTCTTGTTTTCTGTTTAAAGAAGGAATTCCGCAACTATTTATTGGATTTTTTTCCTTACAGGTTTTCATACATTGTTGCGAATAACATTTTTATGAAATTGGAAACTCATCAAAATGTATTTTTCATGGAGAATTAACTCGTATTGAAACTTTATGCCTCGCTTCAAGCAACTCAGTTGTAAAGTGAAAGATTCAGACATCGCTTTCATGTAAAGAAGTTTTGACTTATTTTCGAACCTTTTCCACTGAAGCAATTAATTTCATTTGACAGCTTTACTTAATTCATCTGCAATATTTTTCAAGTTAATTAAATGCAAGCATTTAAAAAGTTTCATCATGAATCATGATAAACTTTTCCGCGTTGATTAATAATTATTAAATATTTTAAAGTCCAATAAAAAACACGATGAAAGTCTTGGCAGATATTTAAAGTTCGTTAAGAGTTATTTGAACAAAATTTAATACTTTTACTTGCACATGGTGTAGATATTTACAAAATATAAAACATTTTACGTCTACAGTGAAGCTTTTTCAATGATTTTATTTTCAACATAAATTTCCATTGAACAGGAATTTGTGTATCTATGGTGAGAGATTCCTTTTCAATAAATTCAAAATAAGTTAAATTTCCTTACAAGTTTAAAATGGAGACCAAATTTATTGAAAATATTCTAGGAAGAAACCTTATGACATTACAAATTATGATTCACATTTTACCTATGAGCTCCATCGCAACTTTAATATCTCTTTGGAAATAGATCCTTGGAATTTCTTTTTATGTCGAAGCATTTTTAACCCACATTTGTTTTTCTTAGAAGATTTAACAGAAGGAGATAAATAAATTCATATTTTGATCCATCTACAAACATCCATTTGCAGATAAAGCGCAATCATCGAAGCTTGGATATTGATTTGAGCCACTCACGAATGATTTTCATCGAGACATTTCGGTCCATTTCTTGTAAATTGACATTAAAAACGTTCCTTGTAAATTTCAAATAAAGAAAGGTTGCCATTAAAATTGTATTTATAAAAATTTAACATTCAATGTTCGTCAAACATGTAAAGTCAGTTGACATCATCAATCATCGTGATTTCTAAATTTAAAATGAATTTTAAGAAGCTTTATGGTTGCCATCAAATGTTTAATAATGTCTTTGATGTTTGATCTTCTCGAGAATTTTATAGTCGATTGATTTTTATTATACTTGATTCGTTTGGAACCCCAATGCAATGTTATTTGTTTCATTATTGAATATTCAAACTTGCAACTCTTTCATAACAATCCGCATTACATAATCCATCCCCAATCTAATGAATCTTTCACGTTCTCTCGAGGGAAAATTCAATTAATCAAGCGCATAAAAGACAATTTGCAATGCAATTACTCAACATCTTCCATTATTTAAATTAATTCCATTGGACTCCTACGAAAAGACGAAATATTTATGTCATGTAGAAATGTATGGAATCGACATTAAAATTATGCAAAGCTAAGCGCAATTAATGGCTCAAAATAATTAATTATTTATGTTGAAATTCACAATTGTTATGCATTCTAAGAGTTTATTTAGAGAACATTATTTACTGCCACATTATGTTTCTCTAAAAGATTCTTCCTTCATTCAAGTTACTTGCACAAAACTTTTGAAATCAGATTTTGCTAATGACTTCATATTTTCACTTCTTCCACTCTTTTCTCTCCATTTTTCTGAATCATTTCACGAGGGAAAACACAGAAAAACAATTTATGCTTAATATTTATTATATAACGTTTCAGTGAATTAGATAAATAAGTGCGAATTAAACAAAACAATTTCACTTCTTCTTATTCAAATAAAATATTTGACATTCTTATGATTAATATTCAAAGATTCATGATAAAAAATTAATTCTTCCAAATAAAGATTTAATTTCATTTAATTTATTATGAAAATTTGCTGATTGTCAAATTTCCAAAGAATTTCCCTTTCAACTCGAGAATTAGAAGAAAAAAATTCAAATTGAAAGTCGCTCGTGGCATAAAGAGTTGTTCAATCCATTCCTAATGCTCATATATCAGCAATGAAAAAAATATGAGAATCTTCGTATAAAGTATTTTGAATTGCTCCATCATCAAATATTCACATCCCGGAGTCACTTAAAATGTAATTCTTCCGTCTTTCCTTCGTTGTTACAAGTGAAGGCTGAAGGATGAAGGGAGAAAAAGCAAAAATTCCCCCAGGGAACTTAAATTCCATTTGACTTATTGATTTTATGATTTAAAGGAAGAATTCTCTTTTTCATGTCATATATTTTTATTGCTCTTCAATGAAGTTATAAACGAATTGTGGGGAGGATAGAATGAAATTTCGTTTGTTTCTCTGTTTATATTTTGTTAAATATTTCATTGCTCTGCCTTGTTTTCACTTTTGCCTGGTTTGACGAGCAATCTAACAAAATGCTTTTAGATTTGTGAACGTTTATATTTTCTTCTTCGTCATCTTTTCTGTGAGTCTCACAATACAAAAATGCTTGGAGCGAGCTGTTTTGCAACATTCTGTATTATAATCTGAAGCTAAGAGAGTGGGTAATGGGTGGGCTTATTGGGAGTGGTGTGAGAAGTCATCTGCCGTATAACAAGAGCAAAATATTAAATTGCCATAAAATGATGTCTACCTGTGATTTATATTTAATTTTATAAAATATAACCTCGCTTTCTCATACCCACAAATGAAACATTTGTAATGTTTACATACGTTCATCATCATCATGATTACTTATAATGGTGTTCGTTTGTCGACGCGTGGGTGAAATATTTACGAAGGGATAAAGATGAAAATAAAAAAAGTTAGAATAATTTAAATACCTTTTATGATACATTTGATAAATTTTATAACTTAAGTCATCTGAAATTTTAATTGAACTCATACTTCTAAATGAAAACCTACTTTTAGGATAATTGGAAAGAATGATCTGAAAGCAAAATAATTTTAATCGTTTTACATATTTTTATTATCCTCCGTAAAATGACAGAAAATTAAATCACCGACTTTGGCAATTCATCTTACTTGGTGGATTGAATGATGAGCCAGGGATGGTAGACATTAATTTTATGATAATTTACTTACCTGTCACTGACAATTCTTCAACCCTGCGGAAAAACTTTTTCTTTTCAACCTACCCATAATGAGAATTATATGTAACGTATCAAATTCATTTCTTCCCTCTCGACACAATCCCATTCCACCCTCGCATTTGATTCATTGCTACGTTGTTTTGTTACAAAAGGTAGACGAAAATTTAATTAATTAGGCTTTTACATATAAACGCTGCAATCATAATATTTATGTATGATTGTGCTCGTGAATGCAGACTACAGAAAATCAATAAAAGTTTTAAACGATTTCGCTTCTCTACTAAATTGTTCACTTGCATAATGATGGAAATATTCGAGGGAGAAAATGGAAATAAATTTTGTGAACATCACTTGAAAGTTGTTCATGTATTACAAATGAATTTTCGACCAAATATTCATGGAGAAATTTATTAGAAAATGCTGAATAATTAAAGGAATGTTTGAATATATTTATTGCATAAAATATTGTGAATTTATTGCACAATAGTTTCAATAACATGTAAATATTAATTTATTTAGTATGCAAATCTGATTAGAAGAAGGTTCAGTCAATTCACATAAATTAAAAAGATTTTCATTGGCTATTGAAGAGCTTTTCAATTCATTTTGATTAATTGAAAGAATTTTCTTCGAAATTTTATTCAACAACGAGATGAAAGAACGATTAGTAAATTCTCAATTATTTAAATTACGAGAAATATTTTGTAAGTGCATTGACTTGGATTCTTGTGCCCCAAGAAGCATGTGAAAACTGCTGAGAGTCCTATTAAAATTCTTTTCTCAATGAAAGAAAAACTACATCTTTTATTAAAAATACATTTCTCGTATTTTAATGTGCATAAAACATTCACATTATAAATGCATTTGATATTTTTAGCATCGAAAGCAATTTTAAACTTACTCAAATAGCATGTAATTTCATTTTTTAATTTTTTTTCTCTTCACATGAAAATGTTTTTCCCTTGGTTTTCCCTTCATATGCAAAAAATTAATATTCAGTTGCAGGCGTCTCAAGCATTTCAGGCTTAGCATCTTGGGTAATAAAATAATGTTTTATTTCAATGTGAAAATAGAGAGATTTAATATTTTTAAACAAATTAATGATGCACGCGGGGCTTAATGAGAAGTCAGGATGTGGGCTGAAAAGTGAAGAAAATTTATTTTCATTTCATTTCATTTGTGTATATCAATAATAATTGAGGGGATTTGTGAAGAGGAATTAAGAAATCATTTGAACGTGAAGCATAGAGAAGGAAAAATGATTCAAGTATAAGCAGTTGCCTTAAATTCTTCAAAAGATCAAAAGCAAAATTCTTCGTAGCAATGAATGAAAAAATAAGTCAAATATAATTCACTTGCGCTATTTCTCGTTTGATTGATGCCACAACGAGAGAGGATTTCACTTTTTTTTTGTTATTTGATAGATTCACTGGTGGAAAATTATAAATTGATGTCTTAAATAAATTTTTCATTTCGCTCGTTTGTGTTGCGAATTAAAAAATTCTTCTTAGTATTGTAGAGTCTGGTTGAGAATATTTTTTAAATTTATACCAACGCGGTAATGTAATTTAAAAGTTGATTCTAACAAGCAGCAATTATCTGAAATATAATTTAAGAATTTTATTAATAACGAGGTTAGACTAATTAATTGGAATTTAAAACATTATGACACTTCTAGGGAAGACACTCAAATATGTTTCATCATTCTAGACGCTCCATAGACACAACAGCTAAACATTCTTTTACAAGTTCGAATTTTGCGAGATTCCGACATTGTATGACTTAAACAATTTTCTACAAAATCCACAAATTTTGTAAATACCTTCGAATTAAATCAGAAACAAGTAACAAATCACCCTGAACGTACGCATCAGCCATAAAACATTTAAGAAAATTGTTGAAATATTGAAAATAATTTCTTTATAAACAACGCGTCACTTTAAAAGTCAAGTAAAGAATGTTTTTTGATTAATTTGTCTCGTAAGAACTGTGGAGAAAGAGAAATGTTTCGAATGTTTTCAGTTCATTAATTATCATTTTGAGTCAAGTTATATTCCTCATCACAAAGTTATGAGTGAATACTGTGGAGTGAAATGAATTAGAAAATGCTTGAGAAGCTGATGTCGTAAAATTGTGGAATTTAACGCTTGATTTAATGAGTCGCATGTCAGTGCTTTGTAACATGTAGTTTCCTGCTTTGGAATTTTCATCAAGGAAAATTATTTCGAAGCTCAAATCCTCAACAATTTTCCATTGAAGAAAATAAAAATTTAATTTCTTTTAAATATAAAGACGTTTAAACAATAATTTTTCTTTGTATTTCTAAGGAAACTTCATCAAAATTTCATTGATTATTTCGACCGTCATTCAGTTTCCAATTGTTTTTTCTTTGTTTTTCATTAGAAACAGGAAGTTAATTGATGGAAAATTAAATATCTTACCCCATGGCAATGAGATTTGTTTTCATTTCATCCATTAAAGTAATTTCATGTTGCACGAGAATTCACACAAATAGATAAATGATGTTTGTCACAGAATTCGAAAAATTGTTTACAACATGAATTTTCTCGTGAATTTCCCTGAAGAATATTTTCACAGAACTCGAGTGAGGAATAAATGTTGTAATATATTTATTACTTGTTTATTCTTTGAATTGTTTTAAACGAATGAATATAACTTAGTTTTCTCTAATAAGGAAAACGATCAAAAGATTGTTTTGATTTAAGAGAAAACTAAAATCAATAATAGCATTACTGAGATAATATATGTTCTAACACTCCCCCGCAATAATGCAATTATTGATTAATTTGATTTTTGGTTACATTCCAATCTATAATTGAGTCTGTTTTTGATAGAATTGGACTTGAGATTTTTGATGGATATTCTTGTGTAGATAGTAGTCCTGCAGATGTTCTAAAATATTTGAGTTTTGGTCCACATAAAGGTTTGGTCAACATATCAGCTATATTATGTTCTGTTGGACAGTATTTTAACTCTACAATATTTTTCTTGATCCAGTCTCGAATGAAATGACATCGTACTCCAATATATTTGGTTTTTTGCTCGAAAGTACCTTTCAAAATCATGTTGATGCTTGATTGATTATCAGCTAGAATAGGAGTAGCATCTTTAGAATGAATGTTGAAATCTTGCAGTACATGACGAAGCCATAATACTTCTTTTGTTGTTTCTGTTATTGCATAATACTCCGCTTCACATGTAGATTGTGCAACTAGAGATTGCTTCTTGCTTGACCATATTATTGGACCTCCATTAACGAAACAAATTATTCCAGAATTTGATTTTCCATCAATTTTACAAGCACCAAAATTAGCATCACTAAACGCAGTTAATGGTTGAAAGGCACTTTCATTATTGAGATGTAAAATGTGATCTTTTGTAGACATTAGATATTTTACAACTCTTAATGCTTCATTTAAGTCTAATTTTCTCGGTTTTTCAACTCTTTGTGCGAGACTACCTACACTCAGACTAATGTCGGGTCTTGAATTTGTTGACACATAAAGAAGCTTTCCAATAATTTTTCTGTATTCATCATTTGATGGAAGAAAGTCATTATCTTGGAGTCCATAGTATCCCGGTTGAAGTGGATATTTTTGAGGTTTAGCTTGATCAATTCTTAATTCAGTTGCAATCTTATTTATGTATTTGCTTTGATTAATGCCGTATAAACCATCGTTGGAACAATAGATTTCAACACCTAGGAATTGTTTTACCTTTCCAAGATCTTTTAATTCAAAATTTTTTGATAATTGCNCCTCTTACACCCTTCAAAAGATATTTAACGTTTAATTGGCTATTAGTCGATGAATTTATATTTATTATTGATATATGTAGAATTGAAACTCACAAGGAAAATTTCATGGAATAACAAATGAAAATGGAAGAAAATTTCGAATGATTTTCCTTGCGTTTTATTATATTTTCATGACAACAGAAAATGTTTTTGAAAATCTCTTCAACCCCTCACTTTATCCTCTTTTTTTCCTCACACCATCTTCAAAAGTAAATTTACATCATCATCAGAATACATTCAAGAGCTTATATTGAATTTTATTTGCTACATAATGGTTATTTGATTTGAGTTAAACGTTTCTCCATGATCTACACGAAATGGAAACGAACAGCATCGAAGATTTGAAAAACGAGAGAGAAGCAAAAGGATGGAAAAGAAAACTGAGAGTCAAAATTATTGCGCATTGTCAGCCCAACTTTTCAGGTGTGAAAATTATTTTGTAGCGGGAAATTTCTTCCAACAATTTTTCAATATCAATCGAGGAATGTTCTCTCGTCTTCATAGAAATAAAAAATAAATAAACATGACCAATTCAATCATCAAATAAAAAGAAAAGACATAATAATTGATCGCTAGCTGAAAATAAATCCACGAGCTTCAAGAAAGGAAAAGCAATAATAAGAACAAGAAAAGCAACTCATCGAGTTCATCACTTAATCTTACCGCATTAAATCGTGATAAATAATCATCTCTCAGATAAACAAACGACAAAACCGTGGAAGAAAATAATAATTTATGACGCCACATTGCTTAAAGTTAGAAAGAGCCAAACGATTGAAATATCTGATGAAGAAAAAGAAGTGAAATGAAGGAAAACTATTAAATGAGATTATTTTTTTCTTTTTTCTGTGTGACACCATCAATCAATTCCACAGTTGCTCTAAAAGATTTTAACTTTTCCTTTCGACTCAACCTCGTCGTTAGTCGAAAAAAATGTAAACAGACGGAAAATGTTTTTCTTTCATTGGTATTGAAAATGACGCTTCGTGACATGAGAAACGAATTCTGCTTTGATCTTACTAAAGTTTCACGTGAAAATAAAAAAACTTTTGATTTGTTTCATATTTTTTGTTATCTAATTGATTTAATTTTCCTAGTTGAAGAATTTATATTAAGTCAATGATTTTAAATGCTTTAAGTTTAATGTTGTCGATTCATGTGTTATGTATTTATGGAAATGACATCAAAATATCTTGAAGTTCTCTAATAAATTAACATTATTTAGATATGCATTGCATAAGTAACAAATTTCAATCCCGATTAATCTCTCTTTGCAAAGATTTCTATTCGTGATATGCACTATTGATGTGAATTTATGAACGTGACAAGAACATTTGTGATTTTGCAGGTAAAATTTATTGAAACAATCTAAGATAATATTTATTGTTCCTATAGATAGTTTAAAATTATTGATCTGGTTATATTTAGACAGCTTTACACATTACAATGGCTATTCCGAGTTTAATCATATATCAACATAGTCGTTTAAAATTTAATGTAAATGTTCTCCATCATAATTTATACCATTATAAAACATTTACTAATGAGAAGCAAAATAAATTTGTCACTTGCATGATGCAAGTTTCATCAATTATTATATTGCAAATTGCAATAAATGTTAAGTTAATTAAATATGTATTTCTACCAATACGATAGCATAAATATGCTGATAACATTTTAAGCTGGTTTGCTCGAATTTTGAAAGGTTCTTACTCAAAATATCTACAACTCCATATGCAAATTATTTACGAAAGCTATTCTCCGTGCCGAACCTAATTTGCATATCGTAAATGTCTTGATAGCAATTTTTCATCCGTAAAAATATTTTATTGGTTATTTGTGATGTGATTCAGATAATTTTGAGATCGACCAATTGACCCATGGAGCGATTGTTAATGGACATATAAATTGAGTGAGATTGGCAATATGAGATCTTAATAGACGACAATCGAAAACATCATGTTTGAAAAAGCCCGACGAATCAAAATGTTTTTAAATCAATTCAAATTTGTTTTATTATCAATTTCAATTTTCAATGTGCAATCATTGTTGTGATTCTTTTATTTGATCATTTTATTTAATGAATATTTATATAATTATTATTCCCTCAAATGATACGATAACAAATTACTTATGTTGTTGAATAATTAATTAATTGGATAATGAAAATTTTCAATCGCATCAATTATGTTGTGAAATAAATTGGAATCAGGGATTCAGAACGCCATGAAATAATTTCCATTTGCAGGATAACTTTTTGTCTATCATCCTGAACTTCTGACTGAAAATCATTTCTAAGCCTCTGCTTCGAGAACAGATAAACCAAAATACATTTCATAATGCTTAATTATAAAAGCTTCCAGCGGTTTTTAATCCACAAATTCGATTAAAAACAGGTTTTGACGAGAATGACTTAAACATTAGGCAGAACTTTCATTTAAATCAATTACAGTCATTAAATATATTTGTTAACATTACATTATATATCGATTTATTCTAATTGTCATTCGGAATATACCTTTGTGTGAGTTGTTCTGGAAATTACATTCGTACATCTTCTGATTTTCACAAAATTCAATAAATAGCGGAAATTATCGCTTCTAAAATACTGTTTTCATGACTATTAGCTTAATGCCATCATGTGGGAGGAATATTTTAAAGGGTGGTTGAAAGAAAGTGCTCGTAATGTTATGAAGCAATTAGTAAAGTCAATAAAACATAAGTAAGTATCAATGAATAAAATAATTACTCAGCCATTTACTTTTAAAACTTTTATCTGAAATTTAATGTACAATTAAGCTTTATATCAAGATAAGAAGCTTTAAAACCTTCAATTAACTTACCACACAGAGTTAGATTAAAAATGAGATTAAGACTAAACCAGATTAGATTAAACAAATCGGAATTAAAAGAAAATTCAGAATTTTACTTTTTGAAAGCTTTTTTTCCATCATTTTATTTATTTTCAGTAGTTCACAATTTTTCTTGTATATATTGATAGATTTGAATACAAGCACAAAGGATTTTTTTTCTTATCAATTAGATTGAAAAATGTTTAAGGTAATGAAGAAAACCGAAAATTGAAAAAACGTCGATTATCAAATAACTTATAATTATCTAATCATTATCAATAAGGGTTGAGGCTGCAAAACGTCATGTGTAATGGAGGTTCTCATGAAATAATGATATAGTCGTCCAGGGCGATTTCATGATTCATTTTGCACTATTTTTAAATAAAATTCATAATTTTTCTTTTATCATTTTTCATTTCAAAGCACATTCAAATTTTCAATTTTTTTTTCATAAACACTACGATGGGGAAATTGTTTTTCTTTTAATTAAAATCCTAAGTTTTATTCTTCTTAAATTTAATCGTTTCAACTGTTGCTTTAACTTATGAAAATACGAATTCATTTTATCTGTCTCTCATTCTCAAAATATCAATTTATTAATTAATCTACATTTAAAAAAAATTTGAAGGAAAACTTTTCTTGATATTTTCATCTTTCACAAAAACAAAATAATTTTTTTTCAGAGCTGCTAGTAAGTATAAAGATCATCATTTTGTTGCACTGAAATCTCAGAAAATTTTTACTTGTTGCTTCAGAAAGTTTAAAGAAAACTACGTCATTGATCATCGTTAATCATAAGTTTTCTTGTTTAAACGAAAAATTTTAATAATAAAAAAAGAATTTAATTTTTTTCAGTAGTTTTATGGATTTTCTTGTTGAATTACTTAACAATATCTAATTAATTCTTCCTTTTCGGTTGATTATTTTGATATAAATTCTACTAAATTACAACATGATACTCCATTAATCTTATTTTTGCTTTCTTTTATTAATGTGAAAGAAAAAAGGGAAAAATTGCAGATTTTGCAATGAAAATTGGAAAAAAAGGAATTTAAAACTTATGAAATTTAAAATCTACTTTTTCTGATAGTTAATAACTGCTGTTTATATAATTAAGACACTATATCTAAAGAAAATTGAAACTAAATTATCAATTCATTACTTATTAAAACAAAGAAAGAAGAAAATTCATTTACTTCGTTAAGTCAATACTTAACATGCTTTAAAAGACGTAATCTTCATCAACCATTTCGATTGCCCAACGGAACTTATCACGTTGAGTTTTGTTAAAGATTTTCTCGATTGGAACGGCGTGCTTCTTACACCTAAACGTTATTCAAATCAACGAAAGAAAAAGAAGAGAAAAAAGTAATTAACAAACGAGAAAAAATAATTCGAAGAACGATGAGAGGAAGAAGAAAAAAAATGTTGATGTAGGTCAATGAAACTTACCAAGCAACAGAAATTCGTGGATCTAAATAGTTGAGTTTTGATGTTCCAAGTGCAATAGTTTTATTCTCATCTTTATCTGTTTCTTGTATTTCAAGTTTACTTAATTGCTCCTTCAATCGTTCCAATTGTTTTTTCTTCTTTTCTTTATCAATTGCACCTTTAGCTGATCCTCGCTTAATGTCCTAAAGATCAATTATTTTAATCATTAAACATCTGAATGATCTTGAAGTCTTTTTTTTTGTCTTACCTTCAACTCTCTTTGACAATCTTCAACTTGTTCACGCTTCAAACGAATTTTTTCTCTAAGATTCTCCATAGATTTGCTGTGCGTTTTTGGAACGGCTCGTTGATGGTTACACAAAATTGCCACTGCACGATTAGCACGATTGTAAGCTAGAAGCTTTTCAGGAACCGTCATACTGTCTTCTGTGAGTTCCTCCAACTGATTTTGTAAAGTGAATGAGGCGTTATAGGTACGGAACACTTTCGCGGTGAGGCCTGAACAAGATTTAAAATTATTTGTAAGTCAAAAAACAAAATTCCTTCTTATCTTACCATCCATCAATTCTTTCAAATGTTCATTCAACATCGTCGTGTTGAGACGATCGAACAAATCATCGCCTTCTTTCTTATTCTCTTTAAAAAGCTGCAAGTTCTTAAAGACACGCTTCTCAACAGACACTTCGTTGTAATACCGAATGGAATCTTTACCAAGAAAATCAAACACAACGACATTTTCCTTTCCATTAAGTTCATCATGAAGTGCAACATGCTCGTAACGTAATGAACAACAACCGACAGTGTCAGCTTGATCTTCATCCTTCTCATTTCCTAGAGGAAAACATTTTAGATTATTAAAACGCAATTAATTAATTACAATAAACTCACCAGCTCTCAATGCAAGTTTATCTATGAAGTAAAGTGCGACGGCTCGTTGACGAATTCTCATTTCTTTTGACTTCCATTCAGCCATGTAAGTGTCGCGAATTTTTCCAATCTTATTTTTAAGTCGACGTGCTGTTTCATACTTCATGTAATCCTTCTCTCCCTTTATCTTCGAGCTTGGATTCAACATAATATATTTAACTTGATTTTGAACATTTTCGTTCCATGATGCAAGCCAAGTTACGGTGTTGTCGTGTCGAACTTCTTTCCAACGATGACCTTTGGGAGCGACCGGAATTTTACTGTCCTTCGAACAGTTGATGATGATATCTTCCGGAACAATTCTTTTCTTCAACGTTCCCATTTTTGGATGTTCACCACGTCCTCGAAACAACCCCGGCGGTTCAATCTTAAAATTTCCAATCTTCTCTTTATGACCGTCAATTATCGCAATTCCAAATTCCTTTTGTATCGCTTCATTCTTCTCTTTGAGTGCCAATTTTTCCTCTTTTGTACGATTTCGATTCTTTTCCGTTTGCTCCATAAAGTACACTTGCATATGACGGAAGTTGCATTTGTGCAAATTTGTGATAATTTCTCTTTCCTTCTTCGACATGCTTTTTCGCCAGTCCTTGAAAAAGTTGTTATTGAATGCAACTTTACTGGTGTACTCGTGATCTAATAAGCGAGCATAAAATCCAGCAATTTCCTCTGCATCCTCGGATAATTTCATTTTCTTTCCATCATATTCAAAGCGAACATGATCGGGAAGTGGCTCATATGGTGGTGCAAACATCGGTCCCTTGTGTTCTAGGAATGTCCATTTTGTGCCGTCATTTTTCTTCTCTTCTTCCCACCTGAAATTGGTTATTAATTAATAATATGTATTAAGATATTAGCTTAGAAGTTTTCTTACCATTTCCATACTTCGTGCTCTTCTTCTTCCTTTTTCTTCTTTCGACCCTTTGTTGGACTTTCAATTTCTTTCTTGGCGGGTTTACTTGGAGATTTCTTTATTAAAAAGAAAAGATAATTAATTTAATTCCAATAACAATGTCACTCAACTCTTTTATTTACCTTCATTGGAGTTTCTTTCTTTATTTTTTTCTTTTTCGTTCTACCATAATCAGACTCGTCATCTTCATCGTCATCCGATTCCTCCTTCACTCGCTTTTTCTTTTTCTCCTTCTTCTCAGCTTTCATCTTCTTACGTACACTAAGTGGAGCCTCATCTTCTGAGTCACTTTCAACCTTTTTTCGTTTCGATAAGGGAATATCTTCTTCTGAATCATCCTCTTCAACATTACCACCAGTTGCTTCGTTCTCATAATAATCATCATCAGGCTCGCCTTTAACATTCACAAAACTATTCTGATCCTCCGATTCAGTTTCATTTTCAGACTTTACAGGTAGCGAACATTCTTCATCCTTGAATTGTGATAAGGAATAATCGCATGAGCTGTTTTGAGACAAGTCAAGACGTTCGCAATTTATAGAAAATTCTTTAATAGGTGACTGCGGCTCTTCCTTCACGATATTATTTTCAACCTTCACATCAGGAATTGTTTCCGAATCTTTGTGACGTGACGACGACGATTTGTCTTTATTTGAAGAGCTTGAGCTCTTGTGCTTATCTGACCGCTCTCTGTCACGATCTTTATCTTTGCTTTTATGCTTAGATCCACTTGAGCTACTCTTGTGATCACCACCGCCACTACTACGATGACGATCTTTATCACGATCTCTGTCTTTATCTTTGCTTTTGTGCTTAGAACCACTATTAGTGCTGGAATGCTTATCCTTAGACGAGCTATTGGAACTTTTATGCTTATCGGATCTTTCTCGATCTTTAGCTTTATCATCGCCAGTTCTTTCCTTGTCTTTATCGCGATCTTTACTTTTATGAGATGATTTATGGGTGGATGATGAGCTGTGCTTGCTTTTACCATTACTACTTGAATGCTTTTCATTATCACGCTCCTTGTCACTGAAGTAAAATAAACTTTTTATTAGAATCTTCTTAAAACTTTTAATATTTAAAATTTTCATCTCACCGATGGCTACTTTTCGAGCTTTTATGATCCTTTGATCTTTCTTTATCACGGTGTTTATCTTTGCTGGATGACTTATGACTACTGCTTTTATGTTTATCACTATGATGGCCATTGCTCATTCCATTCATATGTTGTTCACCATTGACCATCTTATTTTCGTGCTGTATTGAAAATGAGTAAAAAAAACTTTGGTAATTAATTATCTGCTTTGAACATGTGAAAAGAAATAAAAAAAACAAGTCAAACATATAAAAATCTGCATTGCGAACAAGGAGAAAGTTTATATCCAAAACTTTTCTTTTCTTTATCACAAAAATTTAATTCAAAAACATTTTTACTTTTCACATTTGTTGCAAAATGTTATAAATTCATTTCATTCTTTTCTTTTTAACTTGCACGTCAATGTAAATTGAAATTAAGTCTACACTCTAGAAAAGTCTTTTTTATCTTGTGAACTTCAACGTGAGTGAGATGTTCGCGAAGGAATCAGCATTTTTAAGTATTGGCATGGCGTTAACCTCGATTTGAAAATGTCGAGTGACTGAAATTATCACATGAGAGAAAAAAAGTAACAAGAACTTTTTTTCTTACGGGGCAGCAGTGGGTTGAACAAAAAGAAAAAAAAATTCGGAAATGGTTATTTTAGAAGGGAATTTCCTAGAGATTCACGTAACACGCTTGATGAGAATATCGCTTTTCTGATATTTTGATTACTTTCAAATGAAATAAAGCGATTCGATTACTACGAGATCGTGTAGGTAAAGTGTAAAATGAGCATCAAACGAGGGCAAAAATGTCGAAATGAGACAAAAAATGGCTGATTTTTCCAGGAGCGTAATTTTTCTTCTCACATACAAATAAAAGTTCAAAGACCTGTAGCGTTTGTTTCTTAATTTTGCTTAATTCAAGTGACTTTAGCCAATTTTTTTTCACTTTTTACGTTCCATGCTTTCCAATTAGAGCATTTTAATTAGAAACTATCACCCTAAATACGTCTCTGAACTCTTTTATTCTTCGCTTTTCTTTCACAAAATTTTCATTGAGTAATTTTAACGATATTGAAATTATATCCAGCAACAACTTACACTATTGCTTTTGCTAGTCACTTCTGCGTTTTCCACGCTCATTTTAATCAATTAATTTTGCTTATTTTCACTGATATTTTTAAATTTTATTGAGAGTGATAAAAATTGACGAATTGAAGGGTATGTAACTACGGAGGAAATTATTCAATTGCGAATTGAAGGGTAAGTATCTACGGAGGAATGAGTTCAATTTTAAAAATTATATGAGACGGTTGCGAAAAATTTAAAATTCAATCTCTCGTTTTTAAAAATTGAATTAAATAAATTCGCACGAACAAGTTGCAATACATAAAATTTTCTATGAACATCCTACAATCTTCCTTCCTTAATGGAACATTTATAATAATTAAATTTCAAGATTAAAAAAAGTTAGAATAAACTTTTTTTAATTAATTTTATTAAACTACCTAATTGGGAATAGTTATCGTTTCTATTCGACTAAAAGAGCCATCTAAATTTTGAATTTCAAAGGATTCCGGAGTAACCGAAGAGACAACGATATAATTGCAATTGTCATTATGTAAATCCATCGCAGATGTTCCTTGAACATCTTTTGATTCCTTTTGTATTTCTGAATCTTTTTCTGAATGTGTTTTCGAAATATGTTTCAAAAGTTTATCACGTCTTTGAAATCCTAAATCGCATGATTTACATTTGTATGGAAGCGTTGTAGAATCTGCACTGTGTACAAACTTATGCATTTTCAAAGACCAAGATTTACTGAATTCGGAGGTACACCCAGGAAAATCACATTTATGTCTAACGCCCAAATGAGATGCTTCCATATGACGGTCAAGATGAGATTTTTGCTTGTACTGATTCGGACATCGATCACAAGCATATTTTCTTTCACCCATGTGATCTCTCTTATGAATAAGCAGATAACTTCTCCTAGTAAATTTTTTATTACATCCCGGTTCATCACATTCCACTGTTTTACCTAGATGCAAAGCTGCCATGTGAGTCTTCAGTGTCGTGTTTTGCGAGAATTGCTTTGAACATATTTTACATACAAATGGCTTTTCTTTTGTATGTATTCCTGAGAATGAAAAAGTTTTAAAATAAACGTGATTTATGTTATGAGTCGCTTACTTTTATGACACGTTAATGAGCTGCCTTGAGCAAAACTAAGTGGACACATATCACATTTGAATGGTCGTTCGCCTGTATGGGTTCCTTGAGAATTTTAAATTTAATTATTAATTTAATGTTTTTTAAAACCATTCAACACTTACTTTTATGAGCTTTTAAAGTAAATTTTGTGGCAAAGACTTTATCGCATTCCTGACATTCCCATTTCTTTATACCAGTATGTGTAGAACTGTGAACTTCTAGTCTTTGAGATGTTAAAAACAACATTCCACATTCAGTGCAAAGAAATTTTCCAGGAGTTTTGTTTTCTTCAGTTGCTTGTTTAACGATTGTCGAATCCTTCCCATCATTCAAACATTCAATGACACTTATTGCTGTCACTCCATTAACTTCTTGTTTAACTGTTGTATCAACTTCATCATCAGATGTTGAATATGTATCTAAACCGGTTGCAGTATTTGAAGTTTCGTCATGTTGCACTTGATCTTTTTGCAATTTCTTTTTCGTTTTTCTCTTTGATGTTCTCAACTGTACGTGTTCCGAAGTGGTTTGTTTTAATTGCCTATTTGATCTTATACACATTCTTAGGAATTCAACAGATGATTTCAAAGAATTTTTACAGTTCCTACAGATTTGTAATTTTTCAATAAAATCTAAATTAAGATTGGTGCCTTCTTTATAAAGTTTCCGATCAGCAGCAGAGAATGCAGCGATAAGTTTTTTATCTGCACTTTCCAGTAGGCAACAAACGCACTGCATTTTAATTCAAAATTTAATGATTCTAATATTACAGAGAAGATTGTTTACTTTCTGTTATTTTGCTATAAGGGTTTGAGCAAAAGTGCGTTGTTGACGATAACACGAATTGTTAACAAGGACATATTGCCTGTATTTTGCAAAAGTAAGTTATGTTTGTAGAGTATTCGTGTAAGCTTAGCATATTATGTCATAACTTCCTTGTCGCCACTTACACGTCAATCGCCGACTTATTTTTTCATTAATTTATTTAAAACGCTCTCAAAAAGCTGTAGAAGTTTAAAATAAATTAAAAAGTAGCATAAATTTAGTTCTAACCATATGCAATTTACGAATAATGAAGAACGAGTGGATAATCGTAGTCTTTAGTTTTATATGCTTGTTCGTTAATGTCCGTGCTATCAGATTTAATCTTCAGCCAAACACACAGAAATGCCTGCGTGATGAGATGAATGCAAACATGCTAGTTGTGGGGTATGTGGATCAAACTGAAAATCAAATAACTTTTTGATAATTCTTTTCTTTTTCAGTGAATATGAAATTTCAGCAGCTTCGAACCAAATCGTTGATTACGAGATCAGAGACACAAAACAGCACATCCTCTCTAAAAAAGATGACATTTCTCATGGAAAGTTTAGTTTCACATCAGAAGTCTTCGATGTTTATGAACTATGCTTCAAATCAAAAGTTCCAGCTAGTAATTTTTTACGTGGATAATTGTTGAACTTTCTAATTTTAATGAATTTCTTTTTCAAGATGTTCGTGGCATGCCTCAAGAAGTTTATGTAAACGTAAAGAAAGGTGTTGAGACAAAGTCTTATGAAGGGGTAGGTTTCTTATAATACTTAAATTAACGAATTAATGATGAATACTCTTAATAATTAATTATGATGGAGCAACTGGGATAATCTTAAACTTCCTTGTAAAACTTTCCTTTTTATCAGTCGGTGGTAATTATAGTTTGAAAAATCCCTGATTTACCTCAATGATCATAACTTATTGCTAACTATGTCCCTTGATTTTCAACATGCATGAGGAGTTTACAACTAAAATCACTAATTTAAAAATTTCTTTTTTCTCTAATTTTAATTGATTTGCAATGTTTTAAGATTGCTGAAGCTGCAAAGCTCAAACCACTCGAATTGGAACTGAAGAAGCTTGAAGATTTGTCCGATGCCATTGTACAGGATTTTGCATTGATGAGAAAGCGTGAAGAAGAAATGAGAGACACAAATGGTAAATTGATGAAATTAAAATGTCATTAAATCAAATTTCTAATCTAATTGCAATTATTTCAGAATCAACAAACAACAGAGTTTTGTTTTTCAGCATATTTGGAATGTGTTGTCTGCTTGGGCTCGCAACATGGCAGGTTCTTTACCTTAGACGTTTCTTCATTGCTAAGAAACTTATCCAACCAAACTAAACAGCGATTTTTGATATTTTAACATGAAATCAATGTGAATGCTTTCAGTCTGGTTTTTCACTCAATAAAAGAACTTCCCACTCACATTTTTCCACCTCCAACAAACTTTATTCTTTCTTCATTCAATGTTTTCCTCATCATTATAAATACAAACTTAAAAATTCTTTAAAACTAACTGCAATTAATAATTTCAATATCAAATCCTAAACTTTAGAAGAAAACAAAATGTTGGATAACAAAAACATAAAACGTTATGAATTCTAGTTTCAAATGAAGAAATCTAAATAAAACGACAATTTATAAAAAAGAGAGAACAAAAAGTATTTAAAATTCTTCTCAGGTACTGAATAATTATAACAAAATCACCATTTATATTTTAGCGATGTCTTTGAAGCGGCTTTGTTTTGCAATCTGAGAAACTTCTTCCATGAAGCTTTCTCGGCCGCTGACTAGAACTTGTGTCACTGTAGGCTCGAAATATTTCATGGGAGCCAAAATTCGCCTGAAGTTATCATACCGCAATCTTTCCTGATGGATTTTTTCATCCGGTCTGTAAGGAATTTTCGGCATCACATTGCTTGATAAGAAAATGTGGTGCTTCAAACACCAATATGGTGTAAGCATAAAGAAATCTTCACGAAGAAAGGCCTCGTCCATATTTTTAAAACATGACACGAGAATAATGCGAGATTGAGCACTTTCGTAAATAATTTCTTTAACCAAACGAAAAGCTGATACAATTGAAATTCCTGTAACAATGTTAAGAGATAAGAAAAAATGTTTTAGATTTCCGTTTGTTGTTTTACCTTGTGTGAACACCAAATAGTTTTCTCTTTCTTCTTTCTTGTACTTGTAAGCTTCAAAAGGACCCTTGAATTCACATATCGAGCCCACCTTAAGTGTCGTAAAATATCTTGACATTTTCCCAAATGTTTCAAGCTTTACAAGAATTTTAAATGTTCGATACTGTTCATTGACTTCATACGGCGTATATTTTCGACTGAAGTAAATTTCAGGTGTTCCTTTATCGAATCGTTGCGGTTCCATTCTGAAATATTTTGTGGTGTCTTCAGATTTCGGTGGGTGCATGAATTCCTTGAAATCCATGAAGAGTTCATTGAACTCAGGATTTGAATCTTCGAAATTCCTAAACGCTCGTAACATTAGATAAGAAACCGGAGGAGCAAACAATTGTTCTTCAATCCGGAAAGGCACGTCACGTTCGCATAACAGTTCAAAAGTAAATTGATACACCAGAGGAAGAACTTTTTTAATCTCCTTGACTATAAACTTTTGATATTCCTTCTTATTGAATAAGTTGATGGTGCCAGCAGTATCACCAGGTCGTTTTACATCTAAGAATCGATCTAAAATGCAATTATTGCACCCCAACCCACAACAATCTTCTAATGGTGCTGCCATAGTTAAACGTACTCAAATTTCTTAAGAATATCTAAACTAAAAACAAAAAGTCGGCTTCAGCAATTTTGCATTGGCACAGTAAGAGAGTAAGAAGGAGAGAGTGAGAGGTAAAGATTTATTGTAACGCATACGAAATTAAAGTATACTTGAATTTTACACAACTTCTTACCAGAATTTTTCACAAGGCAGTTGTGCAGAATATTTATTAGTGTGCGTAATATTCTCAAGTTTTTTTTTCTTAAAAAGCAAATCTAACTCTTACTAATATTTTTCCAGTTAACTAGGTGTTTCACAATCTACATAAGTCATAAATCGTAAAGTCTTACAGAGAGTTCTTCTTAATTTCTTGTTACAACTTTAAGATCTTTCCAAGTTGACGCAAGAAGCCCCGTAATAAAATATTTAGAAAAAAATATTCAAATTCACTTTTGTAGCTTTTGTTTGGAGTCAAAGCATTTAGGAGTATAATGTATTCAAATAATCACACTCGGCATCCACCGCCGCATCAAATGTATGCACCACCAGTAAGTTTATTCAAATTTTGTCACTTTGTTGTGAACCTGTTACATTGTATTCGGTTTTTCTTCTTTTCAGGTGATCCAGCAACGTGATCCTTATAAAAGTTCATCTATTGGTTCAGGTCCCCAGTTTTACACAAAACCACCAACAACAGTTCCGGCTAATCAAACAATAGAATTTGATGACGGACCAAAAATTTGTGTTTTCATTGGTAAGTCGCCATTCATTCAATTTACAGGATTTTGATTGATTTTTGCGAATTTATAGGAAATATCAGCGAAAAAGTTCCGGATGGAATGATTAAAAAAATAATCGCTTCTTGTGGTCCTGTTGCCAATTGGAAGAGAGTATCAACATTTGGATTTTGTGAATACGAGTAAGTTCACCGAATTGAATTAAATTTAAATTGTTTCTTATAAATATCATTACAGTGGTCCAAAGTCAGGAGCGAGAGCTGTTCGCTTACTGCATGGCTTTGAAGTTGATGGTAAGAAGCTCGTAGCGAAAGTAGATGCAAAGAATCAGCAACTTCTTGATACAGCAAAAGATGAAGAAAATAAAAAATCAGATGCGAACAACACTCGAACGTCAGACGCTGCCAATGAGAAAAAGAATGACGAACTAACAGTAGATCGTCTTGGGCAGATTCTTGAAGAATATAAAGAAGAATTGAAAGTTGCTAATTCAGCTGAAAGTAAGAGAAACTTTGAATTAACTTTGCAATTGTAAAATTCATTTGAAATATTTTCAGGTCAATCCGCACATCCTCGAAGTAAACAAATTCAACCATCAATTGAGATTGAAGAGGGAAAACGTGATCTTATAAACAAAGAAATTGGACGTTTTCGAAAGAATGCTGAAGAGGAAGAAGCCAAAAAAGAGAAAGATAAAAAGAAGCGTGAAATAATTGAGAAAGAACGGTCTGAACGAAGTGAACGAGCACAAGAAAGAGCTGAAAAGAAAGATCGTCACACTCCATCACCAGAACCTGAAAGAAAATCATCCAGACGACGATCCCGATCAAGATCACGTAATCGTGAGCGAGAGCGTGAACGTGAGCGTGAAAGAGAACGTCGTGAAGCTGATCGGCGTCAACGTGAAATGGAATTAAGGGAGAAGGAATTGAGGGAGCGCGAAAGATTTCGTGAAGAACCAAAAGTGATGAAGAATCCCAAAGAGATTCAACGTGAAAAGGAGATTGAAGAAGAGATTTACGAGCAAAGAAGAGCCCAGAAAAAAGCTCGTGAGAAGCATGAAGATTATTTAGCTCGACTTGAGTGAGTTACATTAAATGATTAAGTAATAAAATTGTAAATTTCATCATGTTTCAGTATTTGGGAGAATCGTGAACGAAAGAAAGCTAAAGAGTATGAACGATTGGATGAAAAAGAACGCAAACGCGAAGAGAAACGTGAAAGAGAAGCTAAAATCATGAAAGAATTTTTGGAAGATTACGACGATGAACGAGACGACCCAAAATACTATAAGTAAGCTTTCTAATAAATTTCGTTTTTCAGATTTTAATTTATTCCCATTTCATTCAACAGAGGAAAAGCTTACAGAACACGAATGAACGATCGGTTAGCTGAAGCTGATTCAGATTTGAAGGACAAAGAAGCTGAACGTGAAGAGTTAGAAAAGCTTAAATCGGAAATATTCAGTGGCAAGTATGACAATCCAACACAAGAATTTGAACGTCAAAAACAGGAAATGGAGCGACGTTACAAGCCCAAGATTCTAATTGATTTGAGCTTAGAGGAGAATCAACAGCGTGAACAAGAGTCACAACGCGAAAAGGCTCGTGAGAATGAAAGAGAGAAGGCGAGGGAACGTCGGCGATCAATAAAAGATCGAACTGTTGTTGATATGACAGTTGGAAGCAACATCGAAGGTGAACCAATTGATTCCGATTCAAGCGATAATCACTTCGCATCACCGCCTGTCAATGATCATCATTCCAATTCGCGCGATGGAATGGATGCCGAGGAAATATCGAGAAACTCTTTATTATCAAATTCAAATACGCCAACAACACCAAACAGTCCAAGCGCAAATCAAAACTCATCATCAGCACCTGCCATTGGAATGGGATTCAGTTTAAGCTTAAATAAGAAACGAAAAATTGATCCTAAAAGTGCGTTCAACATGGATGACGAGGGTGAAGACCTCAATGGACCTGCTAAGAAGAAACTCGTTCCTTTGGGTAATAAAAACTTTTCTAATCTCCCACGAATTTCTCATTACAAATTTTCCTTTTCAGATTATGAAGAAAATGCTGCCAAACAAAAGCAGAAACGTGACAGCGATTTACAAAAGAAGTCTGAAGCTGATCTCGCACGTTCACAAGAAGAAAAGCGAAAATTGCACAAACAAATCATCGATAAAATTCCTATTGAGAAAGAAGATCTGTTTAACCATCCTTTAGATCGGCAAGAGATTGACGGCACCATCAAGAAGAAAGTTCAGTCATGGATTAATAAGAAGATTATTGAATATATTGGTGAGCCTGAACCAACTTTGGTTGATTTTATTTGTTCAAAATTACTTGCTGGTAGCACACCTCAATCAATTCTTGATGACGTTAAAATGGTGAGTTGATTGTTATTTCAATTCTTCTACCTCATTTCATTTCTTTTTGTTTAAGATTCTCGATGAAGAAGCTGACATTTTTGTTGTTAAAATGTGGCGCTTGCTTATCTTTGAAGTGGAAGCAAAAAAGCTTGGCATCAAATAAAGCGATGAATGCTAATGAGCATAAAGAGCAATGTAAGCAAATCTATCAACATTAACACATGAGTAAAGATAAAAAAGTAGAAAAACAAAAAATATTTCTCTTCGTATGTTAAGGAAGCACTTTGCTTGCGGATCATTCATTATAAGGAAGGCCAATTTGTCATTATCAGGATTTATCAGAATTTTCTGGGTAAATATTAAATTATAAAAACATTTTGAAAAATTAATTAATCTAATCGAAGACAAGAGAGGAAAAAATGATAAATGAGATAATTGAAAAAAAAAACAAACTTTTTCAAGAGAAAATTTTAGTTTAAGGTTGATTAATGATAATTTTCCTCCTTTCCTCACTTCCCCAATTTATTCTTAATCAAATTTATTGAAGATGAAAATGAAAGAAAATAAAGAGAAATAATTTTGATGGAAATGTTTGAAACTTATGACTGACTGCGTTGGAGGCACATGAAACATTTAAAAGATGGTAAGTTGAAGTTTAAAAACTTTATGTGATTAGTTGATGGGTTGGAATTACGAAAATTCTTCATTCGTGATTTCATCTCATTTGTTTTTCTTTGGTTTTGAAAGATGTCGAATTCCAATTAATCGAGAGTTGAATAAAAGTTTCTTGATCGTTTTTTTCTTTAAATTTTATTAAATTATCAGATTATTGTTCGATTTTTTTCACACCTATTTAGATAATTATTCTTCATAATGAAAATTCTCAAATAATACTTTCTTCCTTTCTTAATGTTGATAATTATTTCAATGATTATTTCCCACATAAAATTAGTCAAAGAGAAAGAATAAAAACATAAAATGGAATGTTTCGAGATTGCAAATAAAGTTCACATTAATTATCCTCGAAAATATTTTCTTTTCTTTAAAAAATTAATATTTTTAAATTCAAAAATAAGAGAAAAAAGATTTTATCACAAGTAATTAATGTTTTGCTTTATCAATACGATAATAATGTTTGCAAGATTCTTGATGTTAAGCATAGTCGAAAAATCGTGAGACAAATGATTTCCATAGACATTATTTATCATCAATAGATGCAGATATAAAAGCGAGTTACATTTAAGTTTTTCTTTCATAGAACGATAGAAAGAAAAAAAAGATGTTTAATTAATATTTACCAGAAGCGACTCTAAAATTAGCCCAAAAATTGATAGCTGACCGTTGCTGGTTCAAGCATCCGATTGTGCGAGTTGATTCGTTGCAAATGACAATTGCGACATAGCAAATGACCGTCCAAAGGATAGCATCTCTTATCAGGCTCATCAGTTAATTGCATGTTACATGATTCACAAACATAGCAATCGACATGAAAGTCTTTGTCCATTGACACAACGCGAACAGTTTCTTCAGTGTTTGCGTCAGGATTTTGAACTGGTGTTATGCCTGAAAATAATTTAATTTGATTAACATTTCAACTCTCAAGTCACTTGACTCACTTTTCTTGCATCCTGCACATTTTGGTGCAAAAAGATGATGATAATCATTAACACAATAAATCTTATTGTCAACATCGACAGTAAATGGAACGCCATCAAGGCATTCATTGCAAACGCAACAACGGAAGCAACCAGGATGATATGATTTTCCCATAGCATGTAGAATCTGATAATTAATTAATTAATGTTTTCGTTAAAGAAAAGAAACTTGAATAGGGTAGTCACTCAAATCGTGCCTGACTTCATGAACTAACTCACCATTTCCATGATTAAATGACCACAAATATTGCATTTCTCAGCTGTTTGTTGGAAACCCGAATACTGAAAAATTCTCTCATTAATTAGACAATCGACAGATTTCAAAAGGAAAACAAGAAAAACTACCAAATAATCTTCTTCGCAGTAAACACGTCCATGCACATTGTAAAAAGCTTTTCCTCTTAAAGCTCGCCCACATGAGCAGCAAATGAAGCAATTGGTGTGATACAAGTTGCCCATCGCTTGACAAGCTTGACCAGCTCCTGTCACTTTTTCTTTGCAAGTATGACAAATCCCAAAATATTCGCCCTGCTCCTCATTCTTTTCCATCTCTTCCTCGAGTTTTCGCGTTAATTCTTCTATCTTTCTTTCAGCTTCTGTCTTACCAGCTGTTACGACATAAAAACATTTAAAAATTATCCACTAAATGATAAACTTTAACTTTCTTACCTGGTCGTGATGTGACGCTGTATGGAAGTAAGTTTTTAAACTTAACTAGAAAAGTAATTTTAATTAAATAAACATCAATTGATGATGAGTAGCATTTTAGTATTTGCTGCATATTTTAAGACTTACTCTTTCCAGATCCGGCTGAAAGGTTTGATGGCGTTGGTGAGACAGCTGTCGGTGAGTTTGACAAATTATTAAAGTTCACAGATTGTTTTGCAACAGCAATCGCATCGATTTGTTGATTAGCTGCAGTGGAATATTGTGCCTGAGGCAACTCATTTGCCGGTGTTACATAATTCATTTTCAAATCAATATTTGCAAGTGGTGGAATTGCCGGTGGTTTCTGAAAAACAACTTGTGGCTGTTGAAGTTGTTGTTGCTGTTGTCCCGGCTGTGGTGGAACTTTAACTTGTTGTAATTTTTTAGTCAACGTTCCTCCACTCATGCAAACATAATCAGATCCATTAATTTCTTCCAAGGTTGGACGTGAGCCTGTGCTTCCAATTGATTTTGTTGGTGAGGAGTATGGTCGATTTAGTGAACGTGATGGCGAAGAATTCTGAGAATGATTTTGGAAGTTGATTGGAGGATTAATTTGAACATAATCCTTGTTGATGGGTTGTCGTTGTTGTTGAACACTTCCTGTTCGATTCATTGCTTTTTGAGGGAGATTATTTGATGAAGCAGGTAATGATGCTGATGCGTCATGATAGACATTACCGCCACTTGCAATATTAATGTATCGAGAGCTTGCTGTTGTGTTTAGAACAAGAGAATCTGATCCTAAATGTTCTCGTTGACCATGATAAGGAATTTGGGGACTGTTTGATCCACTCCTTTCATAATAGTAGATTGATTTATTGGCTGGTGATGCTTGAGGTTGTGCTTGCTGACCTAAAAGAAGGTGGGAAAGTTTATGGCATTCCATTCCGATGATTAATTAAACTTTTGTGACTAACCTGAAATAATTTGCAAATTTTCGTATATTGGTGACGGTTCTACGTCAGATGGTTGAGGTGTGTGAGCATAACGAAGGTTTTCAACATCCTGTGGATAGTTTCCTTTTCCTCCAAATGCTTTTAATTGAGGTTGTGCTTTTGCATTGTTTGATTCAAACTTTTGTAAGTCGATTGCATCAAGATCAGTAACTTGAACTCTTGAACCTGAAGAATATTCGACGTTTTCATATATTCCGCCTGGAATATCTTCAGGCATGTACTGATAAACTTGTTGTTGATAGCTAGATGGTTGACTTCCATGGCGAATAATGGGTGGAGGATTTTGAACAAAGTGCTCGTAATCCGGTGAGCCATTGTCTAAATTCATCTGCTGCAAACGATACAATAAGGCTTCGTTTGGATTGTTAGACATGATGTTCGTTATTGATGTATAATAGTCTTATTTCAATTTAAATCATAAATGTTATTTTAATAATTTTTCGACATATCAAATTGTTCAATTTAAATAATTATTTCTCAATAAAAAGCCGTTTAAACATATTTAAAGAATGATATTATTGTGTCACTACATTTAATTGGTGTTTGTAAAACCACTTATAGCTTTTGAAACTAGTTTAAAGCTTTTTTATTGCAGTTGTTCAATGAATTCTTAAGAATCCTTTAAGAAGCAGTTCTATTTCTGTTTGTTCCACAAGTGGAACATTTCGGATATGAAATATTCAAAAGTTAAACATTGAACCGTTTTGAAGAACTGGCCGGTAGATATTAAGTTTCAAAATTTTGATCGATCAAATTTTGTTGTTTTCCTTGAAATTAAGTTTTACGATTATGTAAGTGAGAAATAATTTATTAAAATACATATAGCATGCATTATTAAACATGAAATTTTTATTATGAATCATCCAAATGTTGGCCATCTGAAAATGATTTTAATTGATCGACAAGATCGTTTAAACGATTCAATTCAAGTTCTGGATTATTGAAGATTATCTGCCGATTGTTTAGTTGATTTCTTCGGGTTATTATCCCATTGAAATGTTGTAGTTTTACTTTTAAATCCTTTTCATCAATTGAGTTCCCAGATTGGCATTCGCTGTTGATCGATTCAATCTCTACCAAAACTCTTTCAACTTGATCCATAAACTGACCAACGTCCATAGCTTGCAACTTCTTAAATTGATCATAATCAAACTGTTGTTGTTTCTCAAGACCTTCTGCTTTCCTTAAAATTTTTATTGGAGAAGTCATTGAAAAGATTTTTAATTTTAAAATGTCTTGAGGCAAAGGCATCGAAAGTGAATCAAGAGTATTGTAAATCGGTGAAAGTTCTTTAACATTTTTGGCAATTTCATCGAGTTGTTGAGGCAATGTCTGTATCCATTTTTTGACATCTATTAACTCTTCGATTGATTCATTCTTTCCACCAAGTTTCTCAAGAATGATTAAATATTCATCTTTAAATTTGTCCAATTTTTCGTGAAGCTGTTCAAAAAATGAATTCAATAAAGCATCATTCAAAGCATTTCGTTTGGAAATTAAATTCATTTTGATTTCACTGACATTGACTTTAAATGGTCCAATAACAATTGAAGTTGGTAAAGATGTTTCAATCATTTTAATTGACTTTCTATGGCGCAATATTTCATCACCGAGGAAAATAAGATCTGAGTCATTATCTCTTAAACTTTGCACGTATTCTTCAATATTTAAATATTTATATTCAATAAATTTCCGAAATTCTCTTGCATATGCGAGAAGTGGAATTTTGCATTTTTCATAGCAAATTTGTATGAGTTGAAATTGTTTTTGAATTTCTTCATCCATCAATCCAACTGATGAGAGTCTTAAGCTTCTATCAAACTTCAAATTGATGAGAAAAGAATCAATTTCAGGAATGTCATGTGTTAATAATATTCTCGATTTAAGAAGCTCAATAATTATTTCCCCATAATTCTCGATGTTATTTGTGTAAATTGGCTCGTTGTCATTTTCCAAAACTAAATCTAGAGCGAAAACAGCATTTTCTGAATGAAAAGTGCTGAATATCAAGTCATTTCCCCATTTAAAGTCGAGTGGAACATTCAAGATTTTCTCACATGGTTCACAAAGATAACTGACGAAATTTTGAAGTGACGAGCGCAGCATAATTTTCAAGGCAATTTCCATTCGTTGCTTTATCAATTCAATGATGCGCGAAGTTTTTGACATCTTATAAATGTTCCAATCATGAACATTCAGGTCAAACCATCCTTTCACGTTAAGTAATTGACACTTTACTACATCGACGATAGATTTAATCATGCTGCGTATGAGAAAATCTTCCATACTCAAGAATTTCATATCTTGAATTTCTAAGAATTCTTCTAAGAATAAAACTTTATCTGATACTTCAAAAAGCGTCATTACGCTGATATCATCACATATCAGGTTCACAGATTTGATGATATGAATCGCTTGAGGACAACAAAACAACCAAGTTCTCTGTAATGTTTGCAGCAATTGTGAGAACTTCGACGATTTCTTCTCTTTCGCCGTTCTCATTGCAAAATGTTGCATTTGTTTTTCTTCACTCAATGTCACGGGTAATCGAATCGATGGGAAGATTTGTGGACACTTCTGAATAAGAACTTTTGCTTCCAATCGAGCTTGTGCTTTTTGATATAAAATGACTTGCTCCATCTCAAACAACTTAATCCATCTCACGTTGAATGGTGAAGATAACTTTTTTCTTATTTTTTCATGAACTTTCCGAGAGGGCTTCGGATACTCATTCATTGAGATATTATCAATCAATGCTTCAAACTTTAATGTCATTTCACATTCATCACGAAATATTGTTGCTTGTTGCATTCGACGTGCTTGAATAAAAGGATCTTCGGAAGTTTTCCAGATATAAATTCTGGGAACTTCATGAAAATATTCACTTTGAATATCTTTGACATTCCATTTTTTATTGTTTTCATTGAAATTTTGAACAATTACTTGACGCCATTGGAAATTATCAGGAAACTTTGTTGTTGAGTCTGAATGTGAGTCTGGGATGAAGGCAGCAACTTTGGATTTTAAAAGTTTAAATAATTAATATTCGATGATATAATTTTTCAAAATTATTTTATCATTTTAAGCTATTTCTTACCTTCTTTAAATTCTAAGTTACCTTCAGTGCCATCAGTTCCATCAAACCACTCTAATGGAAAAATGTTGAATTCACTAGAGAATTGGCAGACGTTTTTATTCCAAATGCTTAATTCATTAGAAAACTTTGTGGGAATTATTTTTTGTTTCTCGATTCCCAAGAAAGTTAAACATTCTTCAATATCACAACAAGGCATGTTGAGTATTTTTTAAATGTTAAATTTTATAAAAATTGGTCATTCAATTATGGTTGCTGTGTTTATTTTATTTGAAAAATATTTTTATCTACATCAAAATTATAATTTAGTAAAGTATTTTCAATTTATATTGAGAAGTTCATCACACGTTCAAAGATAATTTTAGAAATCTAGCAGCATTAAGTAGGATATCTGCTTGACCTATTTTGTTAATAATTTAGGATAATTTATGAATGTAGGTCATAATTTAAACCCGAATTAAATTGGCACTCCCAACATTTGAAGATTGTCCCTCACGAGTAAAATGTAGAAAAACTTGTTCAAGTGACATTTGCGTAATTGAAAAGTCGCTTATTTCCATCTCAGCTTTCAGTTCAAACATTTTTCCAAATATTGCCGACCACTTTAAATCGACTGATGTTATGTGGAATGTCAAAAGTTCCATGTACTTCTCCTTAAATTGTGAAGATGCGAAAGTATTATGAACACGTGTCCGAATCTCATTTAAAAGTTGCTCGTTGTCTTGTTTCATTTTGATTGTGAGAATGTATCCTTTCGAAAACTTGTTCTTCAAATGTTGAACTGATCCTAAGCACTTGAATTCACCTGATGCCATTATTGCTATTCTTGTGCAGAGTGCTTCACATTCTTCCATGCTGTGTGATGTTAGAATTATGCTTTTCCCTGAATATCTAATTTTATTTATGATCGTCCAAAGCTGTCGTTTTGAATAGGGATCAATACCAGTTGTTGGTTCATCGAGGAAGATTAGATTTGGATCACCCAACAAAGCCTTTAAAGATCAAATTTATTTGAATTCCTTCTAAATAATAAATTTAAAATGATATTTACCAAAGCTGTGCTGAGTTTTCTTTTATTTCCACCACTATAATCTTTCGCTTTCTTTTCAAGATGCATTTGAAAGCCAAGCTCAGTGGCAAGCTTCATAGAAATCTTATCAATTTCATTTCTTGGAATTCCACGGACAAGTGCAAAAGCTTTCATATTTTCACGTCCTGATAACTCAAATGTGAAAGCATCAAACTGTGGACAGTAACCGATTGCCTTTTGAGCTTTTATCATGCTGTTTTCCATGCTATATCCTTGAATCCAAGCATCACCACTTGAAATTATTTCATCGCCTGTCATCATTTTGAATGTTGAAGTTTTTCCAGCTCCATTGATTCCCTTTTTAAATATTTTTATTTTCCATTAAATGCTTTAATAAAATTAGAAGATCAACAAACTTACCAAAAGTCCAAAACATTCACCATTATCAACTGAAAGATTTAATTTATTTACAGCCACATTTCGTCCATAAAGTTTTGACAAATCTTTCAACAATAAGTTTTCTTGCTTAAGCTGATGTTTTTCCATCTTTTGAACTTTCTCTTCTTCATTCTTCACATCATCATCGATATAAGAATTTGAATTCTTTGGAACATATTGATAGCTTTTGAATAGTTTAAAGATTAACTTTCCGAACAAAAAGTGATCTTTAAGAAGACAAATCGAAATGAAAAAAATTCCTGACACGAAGAACATGACAATGTTCGTACCAAGACTGTCTTCATGAAATCTGAAAGCGTTGTCTGTAAATAAAATTGTTAAAAAAATTAATAAATGTTTAATTATTCAAAAACTTACAATCTGTGTCATCATAATGTCCCTTGTAATATCCGAAACTCAATTTCACAAAGCAATCAATGAGTGAAAAAGGTCCGAGAAATATGAAAATCCAGTAAAGAAAACTACTGAAAAGTTCAAGCTTCCAGAAAAATTTAAAGCTAGCGTAAACCACGTAAAGAATTCCACCTGGAATGCCAAAATAAATTTCAATTAACAAATTTAAAAATTTAAATCAAAATTGTAATTACAAATTAATCCATAAACCGAGACGAGAGTCTCAGCTGTTGCAGGTTTCGCAAACAAAAATGATGCAATGTAGATGAAGGGAATCGCTGTGAAGCTATAGAATGAGAACACTGCCATTAATGTTCCCAATTGTTCACCCGTCCTAAAGAACGCTCTTTGATTTAAAGCAACAATCCCCACAACAGTGTAAATGACAATCAACATTGTCACGAAATCAATGAAGAAAGATGTCAACCAATAAGTAAATCGATTCGTTCCACTTATGAATTGAAGTAGTTTTGATCGTCTAACACGTTCTTTAACTTTAATTGCGATGAAAGCTGATGGCCAATAACAAAGAATGAAGTAAAACATTAAAAACATGTAAATGAAGTTTAAAATGATTTCAGCCTCATAAAGAAGATCTTCTGGAGTGTCTTCATTGATTGTTGTTGATTCTTCTGTTGTTGTCGTCGTCGTCGTTTGTGTTGTTGTTCCATCGCTAGAAAACTTGTAGAATTTATCTGCGATACTCATATCGTATTCAGACCCTGCGACATATTTTAAGATTGCTCGATTCATTGTGTGGCTGCTAATGATTGACGTATAATATGACAAGTCAAATCTGTATTTTGAAAAAGCAAGAATCATGTCTTCACTAAAGACTGCACCGATCAAATATTTCTCATCAACAGTTTCTTGAGATAATCGATACATTTCCAGCAAAGCTTCTTCAAAGCCATCAGAAAAAACTTCAACTTGTGCTTTGCCACTGAAAAGTCCAACATAAGTTTCAACGAGACGTGGATTGGATCCGTCGTCCTTCACAACGGTCATCGTTTCATTTAATGCTTCTAATGTTAAATCTTGAATATGCGACACTCCATTGTAAGAATTATAACTGAAAGTGATCGGTGTCACCATTAAAATGTAGATAACAAGTGCGCTGATAATTATCAGCCAACCGATTGTGTAAAAATTTCGACGAGTGTAATGAAACTTGATCCAAATCATTGCATACATTTGATAAAGTATCAGACTGAGTCCCGTGACTTTCCTGGAAGGTGTAAAGTCGTTGAAATTAGTTTTGTTGGAAGATTTTTCTTCACTCTTGCTGGCACTTGTTCCAACTTTAATGAAAACTTCTTCAAGTGTCGTCATTGAACATCCGAAAGTTGAAATCTTCAAATTCTCAATTTCATCTTCAATCTTTTTGAACATTTTATGGAAATTATGCAAATGTTCTTCTTTGATTATGAAGACAGTCTCTGTTTGATCATCTAATTCTATGTAGGAATCAGGTGCGAATACCTTTAAAGTATCCAAAATATTATTTGGATTGCAACCTTCTTTCTTAACACAAATAAATTTGTAACCAGAACCAAATCTTTTCTTTAAGAAAAACGACGAGCCAACAGTTTGAAGTTTTCCTTCGTTCATTATCGCAATGCGATCACCAAGAACGTCAGCTTCGTCCATGTTATGAGTTGTCAAGAGAATTGTTCGATTCTTCTTTTCTTCGATCAACAAATTCCATAATGATCGTCTTGCACCAGCATCTAATCCACTCGTTGGTTCATCTAACATTACAATCCTTGAATTTCCACATAAAGCAACAGCGATCGACAATTTTCTCTTCTGACCTCCGGAAAGTGATTTACTCAGTTCATTCATCTTGTCTTGCATCTCCAATAAGTTGGCAAATTTATCAATTTCTTCTGTAATTTCTCTCATGTCTTTAACACCTTTCAAACGACAGAATAAAATGATGTGTTCCGCTACTGTCATCTCATCGATTAAAATGTTGTGTTGTGGACACAAACCGAGAGAACTTCTCGCTTCAGAAATGTTTGTAATCACGTCATGTCCATTTAGAAAAGCTGTTCCTGATGAAGGTGTAATGAGACCTGTCAGCATGTTCATCGTTGTGGTCTTTCCAGCGCCATTGTGTCCAAGAAGCACAGTAATTTGATTCTCAAATATTTTCAAATTAAAATTATCAACAACTTTTGATGGACCAAAATATTTGCTTAATTTCATAATTTCGATTCCTGCTTTGATGTTGCTTGGATCTTGTTCAAAATCTTCACCGTCATTCTTGACTTCACCATTCGATTGTCGTCTGACATTTTTCTGTTTCTTGAAAAGTCGAAGAAGTGGTGACAAAGGAAAGTACCAAGGTCTGGCAATTCCAATGGTTCCAACAAAAACTTGTTCGATGTAAATCATCAAAAGCAATTGAAGAATCGATGCGATCAAAAGCGCCAACATCACTTCTAACACCGAGAATGACGAACTGTTGATATGCGATGTTAAGTTGCTGAATTGAAGTCCAATTTTAGCCTTTTCGTAATCATATACAATTGAAATGACTTGCGCAAGTCCAGTGTTTAAAGGAAGACAATAAATGAACTTAAGAAAGTAGTTCATCGATCTGAAAGAATTTCTGAATTGAAAGAAAAACACAAAAGTCGCGAGGTAAATGATCGTCCCCAAATTTCCTGCAGTTGTCGCCTTCTTGAAGATTACGCTGATAAGGAAAGCAAACGTGATGAGTGCGATGCTGTAAATCATGAACAACAACCATATTAAAAATATGTTGCTATGTTCCAAGAGTGCTGTTCCCGAAATTATTTTAAATTTGAGAATGATAACGACGAGAGTGAAGGCAAGTAATAAAATGACGAAACTTGACGTAAACCATCCAGTCCAATGAAGAGTGTTTGATAAGCCCATGATTCGCATTGTTTCTTTTAATCTACTTTCACGTTCAATGGCAACATTCTGAAGTACGTGAGTCATTTTGATAAGCTATCATATGATTTCAAGAGAATTTACTCACCTTAATAATTTTATTTGTGGTGTAAAAAGTCGCGAAAATTAACACAATTGGAAGCATAACTTTGAGAATTCCGAAGAAATCTTCTTCATTTGAAATAATATAATAAATGCTGCTGTCACTGTATAACTGAGGTAACTCTGGATGATCAAATGTGTCAATGAATGACGCTTCCAATTCATAAAAGAGCGATTGCATGCAATAATGTGGATAATAATAGTAAGAATTATAGTCGTAGAATCTTAGAGCAAATTTAAACACTTTTGGTTTGTCAACTGAATCCTAAATAAAAAGAAAACACTTTGAAGTTGATTTTCACACTTTTCAATTCCTTTTTACCTTGAGAGAATCTTCAAACTCTATCCCAACCAATTCTTCATTCTCCGAATTTATCAAAAATTCATTTAGAGCTTCTGCATTCTCAAAAGCTGTTATGCTTCCCAATCGATCATATTTGATACTATCATTGAAAGTTTTTTGAAAAAAATCTTCGATCCAAGGACTTTTCGGTGAGTAAGCGAAGGCATATTCAAAACTTCCGTACATGCATCTGTTTAGATCGTTATACGAACTTTCAGAAATTCTGACACTACTTTCATTATAATAGGAATTTTTAGTGAAATCGTATTTGACCCAAGTGAACAAAATGATGAGAAGAACAGGAAAGAGAATTTCAAAAATTCCACTCTTATAATGTCGCTTTTGAATTATCCAATTTTTCCACAACAATATTCGATATTTCTCGAACGACATTTTCACTTCACGTTGTTGAATTAACTGTCGACTGATTAATAATTTTTGGGCAATATTTATTTCACAATGATATCTTATCATTAAATTTCTATCATTTTGAGTACTTCTGGTTAAGTTAATTAGATAATACAATCAATAGATTACCCGCTAACTTTAAAACAAGCGCACTTACTCATGTGCATTTTCATTCATTCTCCAACATTGTAAATAACAAATCATAAAATATTTGGCAAAAAATCTTTCCTCAATGATGTGCATTGATCTAATGATTTTCAAAATACGAATATTGAACCGAAAGCCTCGTTAGATTGCCTAGTCTATTGATTAACAACAAAAGTAAAATTCATTCTCTCATCTCATTTCAGTGGAAATTGCGAATTGAAAACTGAAAAGTTAAAGATGTTTAACAAACAACAAGAAAAGAAAAAGTAAATTTTCCTCCCTAGCGACACAACCTCTGGGGTGGGCCAGGATGAAAATCTTCAAATTGTGTCATTTTAACCAAATATGTCGATGTTCATCAAAGAAAGTTCATCTTGATGACAGTAGTAAGCTATAAAAGAATAAATTGGAGAAATTAAAACTAAGACATGTAAAATATAAATAAATTTATTTTTAATTCTCGTCATTAAAACAGATAGATAACAAATTTAAGCATCAAAGAATAAATTTAAAAACTGATTCAATGCCGACATATCTAGATCAGAAAAGCGTGACTATATATACCCATAATACTTCAACTCAGGCGCCAGTCATTTATTATACGTTGAATGTGTGTGTTGGTTCTTTCCAAAGACGGCGAATATTTGCACACATTTGTATATTCCTCTACACATATAGTATAGGTTTTAGTTCTTTATTTTCTCTGATTGCTTTAATTGTATAGTTCAGACGAAGAAGCTAGACTGGCAGACAGTAGTAGTATGAGGATTTTTCCTTGAAAATGCTTCGAACCAAAATATACGTTTCGCAGTCACATGGGCTGAAGAAAAGGATAAAAAATATTTTAGTTTGAATATCGCATAAAATATCTTTAGTTCGATTTGAAACCTCGTTGGAAAATCTTCTCTCTCTAAAACGTTTTTTGTGGAAATTAAGTTCAATATTAATATTTTTATATTATTTTGATGTTCATGTGAAGAGAATAAAGCTAAAATTCTGCTTATTAATGGAATATATGAGTACAAAAAAGGAAAAGACCGAACAAGATCAATAATTGACCACACTTTTAGCAGACATTTTATAAGAGAGTAAATTTTATTAAAACTTTAAAGTTCTCGTTTAATACAAAGTGACTAATGTGTTTGCTAAAGACTTGTAACAATCGATGAAATGATAATAATTGATTAACAAATGGCCTTATAGAAAAAGAGGCTACAGAAGAAGAAAAAAGAAAAGTTTGTTAAATGATATGAAAAATATATATCACACTCCCCAAACCAGGAAAAAGTTGAAAACAGTTTTAAACAGAGAGAAAATTCGAAAGAAAAGCTTCATTTTCTTTCGACAATTCGGTGTGTAGTTGAATTGAGACAGCAAAGATGAAGACGTAAAGCATTTTTAATCTCATCGATGGTCCCGGAACATTCGAGTAGATTCGCGAAGAAAAAGTCTAGTGATATAAAGATATATAGACATAAATAAATATAAAATACATGGACATAGTGGACAATGATATAGAGAATAAATCTCTTTAAGAATAATGCCTTTTAAGTAACCATGAAGCTCAACATTCATATTCTAGATAAAAATCAATGAACAAAATGATTCATCATAGCGAGTTGTTTCAATTTTTATTTAATTTCACTTAAATTCAATGACCACATAAAAATCATGCCACTTCAAACCGCATCGTGCTCATCGAGGTGAACTTTATGAAGAGAAGAAGTTAACGTGGATAATTTTAATACTTTTAGATAGGATAATGAATCATAATAATTCCATCTTAAAAATAAACGAATTAAAAATAATGTTAATTAATAACATAATAAGATAATCAATTAGTTTGGTTACAAATGGAACAAATTTACAATACACGTTCGATAATGCAGAAACTAATCGAGTGCAATTACTCAGTTATTAATAATAAAACGGCAAGTTTGCGTTGGATTATATTTTGCGCTTTAAGCTTAATAAACGCTGTAAGTTGCAGTGAAAAACTTTTCACGAAGGATGAATGTGAGAATAATCCTATGCAATTGCTTCAAAATGAAAAGTTACTTAACTTTCAAAAGCTTGAAAATGAACTTTTGGAGAAACGAAAGGAATTGGATGCACAATTACATATTTTATATTTAGAAAATCAGAAGTTAGAAAGGGTGCTTAACGATAATATAGATTTTATAACAAATATTGATTCTCAACTTGAGCATGATGTTCCTTCATATTGTGTGAATTGTATCGGGGAAAGCTTCGAAGGAAAATCGAAAAATTCCCTAAGTTCAGAATATTCTAGAGATAGGAAAGATGAATTTGATTCATATATGCAATCAGCGGAAGATCAAACACCTCAACTTAGTGATCATAAAAGACTAGAGTCAATTAAACACCAAATACTTTTGAAGCTTGGACTGAAAAATAAACCAAATATTTCAACAAGCATTCCAAAGCAGTTAATTTTTGATGCCCTCCAACGAAGTAGTGGATTATCTGGAAATCTCAAGGATAATTTAACTTATAAATCGACAAATCATAGAGATCATTTTCAAACTCTTGAGAAAAGTGTTGACACAAGAGATCGCGGCGACGATAATAAAGAATTTATGGAATCATTAACTGAAGATGATCAGGAAGTGGATGACTTTTATGGGCACACTAGGGAAATTATAACATTTGGCGAAAGAGGTAATTGAGATGATATTTATTACTGACATTCGTGGCTTCCTTTATGCATGATAAAACTTGGACGTTTACTTAAAGAACGAATCCAAGTTAAATGCAAGAGAAGATTTTACAAAGAAAATTGGAACATTAAAATGAAATCTTTATATCCAACATACATTTATGTATACATAAAATGAAGAAAAGAAGAAATGATGACCACGTGACGTTGAGAAAAATGAAATTTAGCTAATAAATAAATTCTTCTTTTCAATTTGAACAACTTTTCGAGATGAAAATTTCAACAAGTTAAATATATTCAAACGTTTTATTAACATTACTAAGATTAAATTTTATATTTTGGGTCAAAAATAGTTGTGAGAGCACACAGCTCAAATTGAATAGAATAATGGCTATAATATTTACCAAAGAAAATCTTCTACTTCTTCTTTTTTCCTTCTTGAATATTCTACTTACATTCTTGTTTCACTTGGCGACTGAAGATTTTATAAATGCCACTAGAATAGTTGACTGCGTGCTAGAATGTTCGCCATTTCAAACACTTTCGAAAATCTTTTTAAACTTTGAACAAATTTAAACATTCGATTACTAACAAATACCAAAACTTTTATATTTTCATGATAAAACCTTCCAATGAAGGTTCATCTGTAAATGGACATCACCTTATTGAGTTTTCCACGTCAATTGATAAGCAGGCTGATCTTAAACTTTCTTCATTAAAAATTAGAGAAGCCACTTTGTGGATTATGGTTGAAACATCAAATACAGTACCTTGGCACAACAGAAAACAGAGGAAAGATTTTCTGAAGCTAAATCAAATGTACTTGGAGAAAAGCTTCGACTTTTCAACCTATGCTAACGTTCCCTTAATAAAGAATACGAAAATGAAGAATATAGTTAAGAAACGAAAGCGGAAAAAAAGAGAAAAATCCGGCATTCGTTTTGTTAACATAAGAAACAATAGTGCTAATCATATCAATTTCGATAACCATAATGATGATCATATCATTAAAAATAGTTACAATAAGAGCATAAAGCGTAAATTAAATCAAGTTAATCTAGCATTTGACAAAAGCTTCAATTATACTTCAGATAGTCATGAAATGAAGCCCACAATTTGGGTGTTCAGCATAAAGAGCAATGACTTCAATGGTGCCGTTCCTGATCAGGTAAGAAGACTTGAAAACTTTTTAATTTAAATGAAACTTCATTTAAGACGAATCATCTTCATTATGCTTCCAGGAATTTGATGAGAATGCACATCTCATTGTGTCAAAAACCATTGCAGTCAGAGGTGTTGGATGGCAAAAAATTGATATCACAAGTCAGGTTCAAAAGTGGTATCAAAGCTTAGAAATAAATTTAGAAAAACTCAACCTCCTCATAGATTGCTCAGGATGTGAAAATAAAATTAGTTTCCGTCTTTATTCAAAATTTGAAAAAGATTTTCCTAAGAACAAAGAGCAGAGCTTTAAAATTTATGAAAGCAATACAAACAATAATAATGATGATGATAATGATAATAATAATAACAATAATTATAATAATAATAACAATAATAATAACCGTCCTTTCTTGGTGGTTCAAATCGAACCTAATCTAGTTAAACGGAGCAGAAGGCGAGCTCTAGACTGTTCTGTTGCTATGCATACTCAATGCTGTAAGCAACGTTTCTATGTAAGTTTTAAGGCCTTGGGTTGGGATGATTGGATTATTGCACCATTAGGATATTATGCAAATTATTGCAGCGGAAGTTGTGGCGGAAGTTTAAGCAGAAGTCCCGATACTTTCCTTACATATTATTCACATGTTTTTCACGAAGTCCGGAAATATAATAAACTAAATGGAAACCAACTTTGTTGTGCACCTCTTAAGTTTTCAAGTATGTCTCTTATATATTTGGGACCTGACTCAAGAGTCATTAAACGGGATTTACCAAAAATGGTTGTTGATGAATGCGGATGTCCATAACTTTGTTTTTCTTTGACTTTTCCTACATTTTCCTTTTTAGAAACTTCTTTGGTTGCGTAACTTTCTAATATTTTTTATTAAACAAAGAAAATTTTCAATTTCTTTCATGTGATATAAAGTTTATACTTTCAACATAAATTTGTGGAATAAATTGAAGGAAATAGAGAACAATTTTAAACTTATTTTATTGTATTTTTTGTTAATATTGCTGATTTTTTTGTCCTTTGTAACATACTGAACTGAAACCATTAAACATAAAGTATTTGGTGCAAATTAACTAGATTGCCTGAACTTTTAAAAAAGTGTCAATTGAATCATTTGTCACGATAGCGGCGATGATGTCAATTGATTAAACCGATCCTTTAATAACTTTACCTCGAAAAACAAATATTTAAACATGAATGAAGAAATTTTGCCATAATTTTTTTTCTTCATTAAAAGAATAAAATAAAATTTACCTTTGTAAAATATTCGGCCATACTCAAACTCTACGCAATAGTAAAATAATTTTTCTTCTTCAAACTTTCGCATTATCAATAGTTAAAAATGTCAATTTCATAAATCAAGCATTTAATCAAGTAGTAATGTTTATGTTACTTAAAAGTTATGTTGAAATGAATCTAAAGTGAAAGATGTCAATTTGTAAAGATGCCATTGATTGATATAAAAAAAGAAATAATTAAATTCTTAAGAAATTTGTGATTCAATTCATAAATGTATTCTAAATGGCATCTTTCACTCTAACAATTAACGCAATTTTTACAACGAATTTCAATTGCATTTTGCAATAATTAATTAATAACGAAATTACCTAATGAAACAAAAAAAAATTATTTGCATTTTTATAAAATGTAAAAAGTCACTGCATGAAAAGACACAAAAGTTTAACATTTGATTAAATAATTATTAACGCCACTAACACTCCAAATATTCATTGAAAAATTTTGCTAATATAATTCCAAATAAAATATAAATTTAACAATATATTACTTAATTACATTTTATTTCTAAAACCTTGTGAATATGAATAATAAAGATGAAAGAAAACTTCTGTTGATTATCTCAGCAAATTTAAATAAACTTGGCTTTTGTTACCAAAAAAATAAATAAATAAATAATTTGCGTACCTTTTGAGAAAATAAAGAATTATAAAAACAACTTAAAACCATCAAAAGTGAATTAAGTTTCTCTAGGGATAGGAAACATGTTGAAGTTTTTTATGGAACTTAACTAGAGCATCCATCAAAAGAAAAAAGAATCAAGATGAACAGAACTACAATACTTGCGTGAAATAATCTGAAAGATTTATTTTTCCAACTTTAAATTGCTGTAACTCTTAAAAACTTTTAAAACAATTAAAAAGTTATGTTTATTGTCTCCAGAAAATTCATTGCACATAATGTAGTTCTAGAAATTGATTTCCTCTTTGAGAAATAAATGCTTGCTGTGAGTTCACTGACCTTTGAGAAATAATTACAATCTTAAATGAGCTTCGTGCGATTCCGATTCTACATCATGGGAAAGTTTTATTTATATAAGGAAGAGCATAGGGGAAAATATTTCCTTACAAAATTTAATTATTTATCCAGACTTGAGTCTTCTTCATGGTAAGTAGAAAAGATAATGATTTAAAATTTAATATTTTTGAATATAAAACTTTCTCTGTCTAGCAGTGATGAAGAATTTCTGTACATAGACAGTCATTATAGTTACGGGTTTATTAAATAAACGTCACATTATTAATTTAATGATAGCTTAATTGCAATTATTTTTGAGATATTCAAATAGGTAAATCTCATTTAATTGCAAACGACGAGAAAAGTGTTTATCATTACGTTGGAACTACTACAGCCATGCGGTAAATCATCACCTGTTAAAAATTGTTTTTTTTTGCTATTCCAAATGAGAAAAAAAGGTAAACTCTCAGTCATCTCTCAGATTTCGTTTCAAGCAGACCAACCATAAGAGATAATTATGGGATTTATCGCGTATTTTTTTGTGGTTGTCATAATTATTGTTGTGTGGTACCAAACAAAATACCTTCGAAGGAGTTGTTTACTCCAAAAAATTCCAGCTTTTAGATCTTATCCGGTTATTGGCAGTAGTTTATCGTTTATTGGGAAATCCGCAGTTGATATATTTAAAGTTGTTGAAGATGCTTCAAAGTTAGGGCCAATTTTTCGTTTTGATTTCTCACCTTTCAAAAGTTTAATTATCTGCAATGATCCGAAAGTTGTTGAAGGAATTCTCTCAAGTCAGGAGCTCATCGTGAAGTCGTATCAATATGACTATATGAAAGACTGGTTAAGTGATGGTTAGTTGATGTCAAACATCTTGTAAAATTAATAAATCGTTGTTAAACAAATATTTGTTAACAGGTCTTTTATTATCAACCGGGAGGAAATGGCATCAAAGACGAAAAATTATTACACCAACTTTCCACTTTAATATTCTTCAACAATTCGCCGACATTATGGATCGTCATGGAAAGATATTCGTATCTAATTTAAAAAAGTTTGAAGGTCAAGAAATTGACTTTTTCTCTCCGGTGTCGCTCTACGCACTCGACGTTATTTGTGGTAAGCAAAACAAAGCAAAGAAATGAAGAGACGTTAGCATAAACCTGCTTTAACACATTTCCATATGTTTACAGAATCAGCGATGGGATGCAAAGTAAACGCGCAAGAAGACTCCGAATCGGAATATGTAAAAGCTGTTAAAGAGTGAGTTAATCGGAAGATTTGTGAACAATATTTAAACTTTGTCGAGACAATGATCTCGCCATAACATTTATTAAACTATTAAATCTGTTTTCGTTTCCAGAATTTCGAATATAATTTTTTTACGGATGTTTGATTCTCTCAAACAATTCCAATTCATATACCAATTCACTAAAATGTACCAACGAGAACAAAAAGCACTAAAACTTCTTCATGATTTTACTGATTCTGTGATTGTTTCACGACGGAAAGAATTAGAAAGTACAAGTCATGCAGATAATAATGAAAATGACTTTGGCATCAAGAAGCGAACAGCTTTCCTTGACCTCATGTTGCAATCAACCATCGATGGAAATCCTTTAACCAATTCCGATATTCGTGAAGAAGTTGACACTTTTATGTTCGAGGGTCACGACACAACAAAAAGGTAAACATTAATTCAATAATTAAATTTGATTATTCAAAAGCTTTTATTAATTTGCAGCGGAATTTGTTTCACATTCTACAATCTGGCAAAGTATCCTGAAATTCAAGAAAAGGTTTTCGATGAATGCAGAACAATTCTTGGAGATGATACACAACAATCAGTGACAATGCAAGAACTCAATAATTTACATTATCTTGAACTGGTTATCAAAGAAACGCTCAGATTGTATCCGTCAGTTCCATTCTTTGGACGAGACATCAAGGAAGAAGTTTCCGTTGGAGGCATAACTGTTCCAGAAAAGGTCGCAATAACAATTTCGCCGTATTTGTTGGGAAGAAATCCGAAAATTTTTTCAGATCCATTGAAGTTCGACCCACTGAGATTTGAAGCAGAAACCAACAATGAAAAGAACAATCCTTACGCTTATGTTCCTTTCAGTGCTGGTCCAAGAAATTGTAAGAAAATCTAAAATTCAACTTACAAAAATTTCATTTTCATTCATTAACATTTTTAGGTATCGGTCAAAAGTTTGCGATGTTGGAAATGAAAAGCATCATCTCAAAAGTGATTAGAAATTTCAAGCTTTCAATATCCAAAGACAATGAAGACCTGAAATTAATTGCTGAGCTGATCTTAAGACCTGAGAATGGAATTGTGTTGAGAGTGCAAAATCGATTTGATTAAATGCCACAAAGTGAGTCAATTTATTTTGTCAATCTTTGAGTCAATATTTGTTTATTAATCTAAACAATGGCTACAATATTTAATTTAATGTACAACTTTTAATAGTTTTATTGGTGTAAATATAATAAAAGGTGAAAGATGACATTTAATAATTTTGATATTTGCACCTTTTATATAAAAAATTATCCTTAGGTAATGCGGGTTTCCATGACTAGTTGAAATTATGAACCCTTCGATGTATTGAATTAAATTACCTCAAGGATATTAAATTTGATTGTTGATTTGTTCAATCGTTGTTCCTTTTTTGAACTCTAAGTTTGACACCATTCACTGGTCTCAACACAAGCTCCGCAATTAATTCCAGTTTCTCATTCTCCTTGGTGACTGATAACTTAAAGTTTCTGATTATTTTAGCAACGATACTTTTCATTTCCAACATCGCAAACTTTTGTCCAATGCCTAGAAATATAAATTAACAAGTTTTTACTAAAGTTTAAAATGCAAATCAATTTCATCTCTCTTAAAATTTCTGGGACCAGCACTGGAAGGAACATAAGCATAAGAATTGTTCTTTTCATTGTTGGTTTCTGCATCAAAACTTAGAGGGTCGAACTTCAATGGATCTAAGAAAAGGTCGGGATTTCTTCCCAAAAAGAAAGCCGCAACATTCACGTTTGTATTTTTAGGGATTGTCAGGTGTCCAATAGTGACGTCTTCCTTTATATTTCGACCATAGCACGGAACTGATGGATACAATCTTAATGTTTCCTTAATTGTCAATTCAAGGTAGTGTAAATTATTGAGGTCATGAATGGTCACTGGTTGTTGTAAATCATCTCCAAGAGTCGTTTTGCATTCTTCGAAAACCTTTTCTTGAATTTCAGGATACTTTGCCAGGTTGTATAATGTGAAACAAGTTGCACTTGAATTGAGAAAAGAAATTAAAAGTCACAAATGATAAGATAATATTTAATGTTCACCTTGTTGTTGTTGTGTCATGACCCCCAAACATAAAAGTGTCAACTTCTTCACGAATATCTGAGTTGGTTAAAGGATTTCCATCGATGGTTGATTGAAGCAAGAGATCAAGGAAAGCTTTACGTTTCTTGATCCCAAAATCGATTTCATTTTCATTATTATCTGCATGACTTGTACTTTCTAATTCTTTTCGTCGTGAAACAATCACAGAATCAGTAAAATTATGAAGAACTTTTAGTGCTTTTTGTTCTCGTTGGTACATCTCAGTGAACTGATATAAGAAGTCGATTCGTTTAAATTGATTAAACGTCCGTAAAAATATAATGTTGGCAATTCTAACCAAAGGAAAAAGTTTTCCATAAATTATCAATCACATGTTATTTTCTAATGAGAAATTATTCTATTTGACAACTCACTCTTTTACAGCTTTTATGTATTCCGATTCAGAGTTCTTTTGAGCGTTTATTTTGCAACCCATCGCTGATTCTGCTCCAGAAAATAAGACTTTGTTTATTATCAAATCCATTATCTTATTGATAATTTACTGAAAACTCACCACAAATAACGTCGAGTGCGTAGAGTGAAATTCTTGAGAAAAAGTCAATTTCTTGACCATCAAACTTCTTTAAATTCGATACACAAATCTGTCCATGATGGTCCATAATTTCAACGAATTGTTGAAGAATATTAAAATGGAAAGCTGGTGTAATAATTCGTCGTCTTTGATGCCATTTCTTTCCAGTTGATAACAGAAGACCTGTCAATAAATATTCATTAAAAATTGGAACATTTTAAAATTTCTCAAAAAGCTTTCAACCTTCTTGAAGCCATCCTCTCACAAAATTGTATCCGTTTCCTTTATCGTGCAGCTTTTGACTTGATAAAAGCGACTCAATCATCTTAACATCGCTAGTAAATACGACAGTTGTGAAGGGATTCAAGTCAAGTCTCCAAACAGGTCCTAATTTCTCTGAAGCTTCTTGAAAAATTTCGAATATTTCACTCGCTGATTTTCCAATAAGTGCTAAGTTGCTACCAACAATTGGATATGATTTATAACCAGGAATTTTAGCAAGCAAAGCATTTCTTCGATAAAATTTCCTTTGATACCAAGTCACAAGAATTGTGATTAAGAAAAGAATAAAAACTAAAAGTGCCATTTTATGATGTGTGATTTTATTCACGACTCAAACCAGACTGAAATAAATTTTCGCAAGCAACGTCTTTAAATATACAATTGTTATCTGTAAAATGTTTCAAGATTAAATGAATTAAGAATCATTGAATGATATGAACGTAAAATCTTATCACACTTTACTTGTACTTTTTATAGAAATACAATTTTGCCTTATGAATCATTTTTTAAAAGCTTTAAAGTCTGAATGAACATCAAGGCATCACTACACGCTGTTTTCTTCATGTGTGTACATATCACCGATAATTTATTTGCAAGTCATATTTGTTTATAAACTCAAATGTTATCAAACGTAAGTACAAGTGTTCATTTCAGAGGCGATGATATAACATGACTATCAAAGCAGTAAGCAGACAGTGAACAAAGCTCAACAAATCATGACTTTAAGGTTTAATTTTGATAAGAAGTAAACGTTGCCATGATGTGACAATTCGAATTATAAACAAACAAATAATTGGTTGATATTTCAGATAACAAGTTCGTTATGCATCGCCAATACGTTTTATGATAGACATGAAATCATTACAATAGACGTAATTAGTACTTTAAGATTGTACTACTTATTCATGTTATGTATGTAATGATGCATCAGCTGTGAGTCATTATATTTTGGCTGAATAATGAATCTATAGCTAAATTAACGCGATTTGCTACACATGAAACGAAATAAAATTTTATTCAAAAAAATCAAAATGAATAAAAAGCATCTAAACCGAGATATAAAAAGCAAAGTCATAAAAATATGCAGAAAATTAATGTGCTTATAATCTTCAGATTAATTTATCAATTGGTGGGAAAGAAATAAAGTAAAAGCTTGCGAATTCATATTTTTGTTTCAAGCATTAAGGTCAGAGTGAGAAATTATTACAACAGCATAAAAAAGTAGACGATAAATAATTTCAATATTTTTCCATACAATTTGATCTATAATAATAAAAAGAAACTTTCGATTCATGCAAGGGCCAACTTGAAGTTTGTTATGTTATGTAGCCTGATAGTTTTTCTTATTACCATCATCATAATCATCAAAAGTTACGCCGATGTTATGTAAGATTTTTTTCTCTCTTTTTTATTATTTCATTAATTTCACGTTCCAACAATAGTTAAAGTGATGATGGTCTGAAAACTCTCTTAATGGTCAAATTTATGTGTCTTTAATGTTAATTTGCTTCTGTTGAAATTCCATCATTGATTTCAGTTGTTTAGATTTTACTTTAATAAAAACTGGAAGCTTTAACAATTATTAACAAAAGATTGAAGTGAATGACGGAAATAATGGTTCTAGACTTAATTAAATGCATTTTTATTCACCAACTTGCACGCTCATCATGTTTAATTCGAATTTTAGTTGCTTTCTAGAAAGAACTTCCTTCAATCTCTCATGCCGTGTTTTAACTTTCATAATGACTTCTTGAAAACTTTAATGAAAATCTTACACGAAACTTTAAAAGTTTTATTGCTAAATTATGTTGAAATTACTCGGGTAGGTACCTAATTAAAAAATTATTTCTTATGATAATGACAAATAAAAACTTTCATTTCATATTTAATAAAATAAATTTAAAAGCTCATTCATATCCATTTGAAACAAAACTTAATTCTCTCATTCTTATGCACATTTTTAAATCGAAAATTGAGGAAGAAATAAACATCATTAGACGTAAATTAAGACTTTTATGGTAGAAATAGCAGATAGCACTATCACGAGTTGTAATAAGTAATTATGAGCAGTCATTGACGAAGAGAAGAAGAAAAAGTCGTCGCAATGTCTCGCAGCTTATCACTTGTCACATTTATAAATTTCTTCACAACTTCCAATGAGAAGTCAGCCGATTAAAACTTTAAATAAATTAAATAAACATTCAGAATTTCTTTCTAACATTTTTCTCTTTTATTTATTTTCTTGACTTTTGGATATTTTTTTTCAATCATCCGTGCGTAATTCATAAGCTAACTAAAATAGGACTATCGGTAAATTGAATCGAATGAATTCGACATCAAATCTTCATGGCCATTGCTGCGATAATACATAAATGACGTATGAAGAGAACAAGAACAAACAGCCAGGAATCGAGTTCATAATAAATTTTGTCGCGTCTTTTCCCTCAAGAAGTGAGTTGACTTCATCACGTGGACTTTGATGATTCGCTTGAATGCTTGTTTTAAGAGCCGTCAACCACTTCATGTATTTCTCTTCACTCACATCGAGATTAATCGTAGGATAAAAGTTATCAACTGGTGGTACGCAAGTCGTTTTAAATTCATCTAATGATAAAATTTTCATTGTCAAAGCTGCTGAGAGCATACAACCTAAACCTGTCGGTGCCGAAACTTGCGGTCGCTCAATTGTCACCGAACAAATGTTTGCTAACAATTGAAGAAAATCGACATTCTCCGAGAATTCACCACCAACGATTAACGAACTTATAGCTGGCCATGTTTTGCAGTCTTTCTTTATAGAATCCACAATAGTTTTCGTTTGAAAGCAAATTGATTCCTTAGCGGCAGTGAGAAGTTGTTGCGAGGTGGTGTTGATCGTCAGACCAGACAGAAATCCTTTGGCTTGATAAAGAAACTTTGGCGCGCAGAGTCCCTTCAATGCAGGAACGAATGCCAAGTCGTTTTCTTGTAGGCTTTTGAAGCAATTACCGTTTCTCATTCCATGAAAAGTTGACACTGGCGATGAGTTGTGGTTATTGTTGGATTCGGTGGAGGAAAGAATTGAAGATTTCAACCAATTAATTGCTGAACATGAAGAGCCAATGAAACCTTCGAGAGCGTAATGAACTTTCTCATTAGGACCGAGTTGAAAGCCGACAGTAGAGAGGAGATCATTGTCAGAATAAATAATTTCTTGGCCTGTGTTGATCATCACCGAACAATCTTCTTCCATATGACATTCAACTTTAGCGGCTTTTAAACAAATTTGACCGACAAGTGCGCTGTTATTGTTGCCGATGACACTTGCAATTGGAACACCTTCGAGAACTGTTGAACCTTGAATGTTAACGTAACCGTAGATCTCGGAACAACTTCGAATTTGAGGCAAAATATTCATTGGAATGTCGAAAAACTTGCACAGTCGTTTGTCCCATTCGAGGCTTTCTAAATTCATTAGCATTGTTCGTGAACAATTTGTTACATCCGATCTATGAACGCCCGACACTATACCACCCGTTAAGTTCCATAAAATCCAAGAATCAAGATTTCCAAAGTAACATTCATTCCGATCTATGCTGTCTTGAACTGCTTTGTTGTTCTCCATCAGCCATTTGATTTTGATTGCACTAAAACAACTGAAAGAGAAAATATTCTTCATTCAACATTAATTTTTATGTCATCACAACACTTACACGTCAAAAGGCAATCCACATACTGATCTTAAGTAGTTTTTCTTGTTCTTTGTACGCAAAAGGATTTTTTCGAGGATTTTATTGAGTCGATTGTCGGATGAACAAAGAGGATTTAGCACTTCACCAGATCGTTTGTTCCAGAGAATTGTTGTTTCTCTTTGGTTTGTTATACCGATGGCAACGATGTCACTTGGCTCGATTTCAAGTATTACGAGATTTTCTGTCGCTACTCGCATTGCCTTGAAATAGAAATTATGATCTCATTGTATGGAAATTTTTGTCAGTGTTAAAAATCGATAAAAATCACAAACCTCTTGAACAGCATTCCAAAGCTCAATCGGATCGTATTCGTCCTCATCACTACTTTCGATTTTATTTATGGAAATCTCGTGACATGTGAGTATTTCACGGTTTTTAACAGCATAAACCTTTATTGAAAATGTAAACAATAAAAAATTTTGTTTTGACCTTGAGCTTTCAAGGATGTTTACTGACCAGAAATTTGCAGAAAGAATTACTAACATCCAGAACACCGATTAGCTTTCCAAATTTACTCGTACTATTCATTTTATTAATAACTAGAAAAGTTAAAGATGCGTTTTTCAAATAAAAAAAATCAAGGGTGCTAAACTACTGCACTCGATTGGTTCTTAACAATGCAAGCATTTATGAGACGTCGTTGACTGATGGCCAATCGAGTTGATGTCCAAATGTCTAACAACAGTGATAATTGCAGAATTTTGTTAAAGTAAGGAAATCTCATACAAATTAGAGTTTTATTTTTGAAATTAGCAGTCAAGAATGCTTCGCGTGAAGCATTTTTAACTTCTTTGTTATCTATAATATATTTGCTTGTGATTTGAAGTGTTGAAGTGTGTAGTTTAATCGTAATAACAGCAAAGGTGAGAATTGAAATTTTTCGGGAAAAGAAATCATAAACAAAGGTTCAATAAAAAGTTACGGGACATGCTCAGGAGCAAAAAAATTAAATATTTAAGAGATAACTTGTGCAGAAAGAATTTATTTGTGAATATTTAATAATTTATATTCTGTTCTTTGGTCTCCAATGAGTTTTTTTTATATTTCTCTTTAAAATCTTTTAAAATCACGAGGATTTCAGAAGGATTTCAAATATCCGTAAAAAATAAATATTTCTAAACTTGAGATCGAAGGAAAAGACCAGTTAAATAAGCATAACCATCGATTTTTTTTTTGTTTTACTATTTCTGCTATCAAATCTCTCGCCGATGAGATTATTGACCTTTCTAAAGTTTTTGTTTCTCACAGCATTGCACATCAAGCCACACTATGATGATATTTAGCATAGCTATAACGCTTCTTCTCAAAGGGATGATGTCCGTCTCATTCCATTGGTCTTTTAAAATTTTCTCTCATTCCGTGAAAAACATTTCTCGATTCAAAATTTTAGTTTTCATTCTCAGTTTCGTTGTTACCTTTCAACCATTCACATCACGGAATCGCGTTGTAGCTTATAAGAGAAGAAAAAGAAAGAAAATTTTATAAATAGAAAGAACATTTTCATTGAAGAAAAAAGGGGGGAAAATAAATCGCGGTTTGAAGTAAATCGTCTAGTTACGGCATTTCAATTGGATGGAATGGAAAATCACTAGTTGATTCGCGCTTTAATTTAATCCTTTCATCTTCACACATTAAATCTATCGACTTATCAATTACCGAAGCAAACGAAAAATAAATCTTAAAAAAGCAAAATGAATCGACAACGATCAATGCGATCATCGCGCGGTTCAAATTCGACAAATGAAAGCGATCCTCGTGAAAAGATGAAAGATTGCTGTCGAAAGCTTGTTGCATTTATGTTCACGCAAGTTGGTGTTGGTGGTTTGATCGTTTGCTATGCAATTTGCGGTGCTTTCATATTTATTCACATTGAACTTAAGTATGACAACGAAGACATTAGAAAAGTTGGAAAAGTTAGAGAGGAAATAGCTGAAGGAATGTGGAATGCAACTCAGGAATACATAGGCATGAACGTGACGGCATGGATCATAGACGTGCATGGACTTCTTATGCTTTACCAAACAAACTTCACAGATTTCGTGAGAAATGGATACGAAAGTCGCACACCTGAGGAGATTTGGGACTTTCCGACAGCTCTCATGTTTTGCTTGTCAATCTTTTCAATGATCGGCTATGGCAACACGTTGCCCAAAACCACTTATGGAAAAATTATGACGATGATTTATGCGACTTTTGGTATTCCACTTTACATTTTGTACTTCATGAATATGGGAAAAGTTCTTGCTGCTACTTTCAAGTGGCTTTACACATGGTTTCACGATTGCAGTCGTGATCAAGATAAAGAAGCGACAGCTAGTGAAGACGGAAGCACAACACATCTGTCAAAGTCTGGCGCAAAAAAGAAAATTATCGTCCCTTCAACTGCTTGTCTTTGGGTCATCACGTTTTACATCGGAGGTGGCACGATCATGTTTTCTGAGTGGGAAGATTGGAAATATTACGATTCAGTTTATTTCGTTGTCACCAGTTTATGTAAAATTGGATTTGGTGATCTCGTTCCTGGTGCTGGCATCAAAGCTATCGCAATGGGCAATCAAACTAAGCTTGTCATCAATTTTGTTTATATTCTTTTTGGAATGGGACTTGTTGCCATGTGTTACAAACTCATGCGTGAAGAAGTGCGCGAGAAATTCAAGGAGATGAAGGAAGATGCTAAACTTTGTTTAGAAGATGTCTCTCAAAAGTTTGTGAAGTTCTTCGGTGGTGGAAGTCGTGACGATGATTTTGAAGAGAAATATTATTGAAAAAAACTTTTTTTCTCTTTTTTCTTTAATTTACGAATTGTTGTCTTTTCCTTCTACTATAAAAATTCCCAAACCAGGAACTGTCAGAGGATAAATGGGAATTTCATTGTGATATTTATAGACATTTAACAGATTAACAAAAAAAGAAAACAAATTTGAGTTATTCGTGGTCGCTCCCGAATCTAATTATGAGTCACACTGATAGGAATATTTTGTTGTTGCGAAATTCATACGACGGAGAGACATTAGACGATCATCATCAACATCATCTCTGCTATGTGTGAATAAATTCCATCAAAAAGAAGAAAAACTTTGCGGGAAATTGTTTTCTTTTTTTCTTTGTGAGCAAAAAAAAATCTCTTGAAGTCTTGTTATGCTTTTTCATCAATCAGAAGTTTTGTTTATATTTAAGAGTGAAAAACAATTTAAGCTTAAATGTTTTTACCCAATAGACATTCGAGGTAAAAGTGAAAAGAAGTAAAGCAGACAGAAATGAAAATTTCAAGATTCTCATCGCGACAGTGGTTTACATGATAAAAATAGCAAGGAATCGTCGACATGATGATCTAATTTTGAGTTCTAAATTTTCCATCACTTTATCATCAACTTTGTTTACTCGTGAATGCTTGAAATTTCGATCGTGTAAGACATTTTTTTTTGATTATAGCTCTGTTAGTGGTTCTCAGCCTTTTAGTGTTTGTGGGATGTGTTCAAAGTAAATCTTAAATTGTTTGAATAATTTTCGTGACACGCAGGTTGAGAACTTCTGTTCTAATTGAATATAAAATTAAAATGAAATTGTCAGTTGTTCTATCAGCTGTTTTAGTTTCTAGGGCAAATATCTCGTGCTTTTCAGTTCTGCTTTGTTAACATTTATCAATATCTCGGTCGCTACCGCAATATTTTCAATTTTAATTTTTTTCTTCTCTTTTTCTCTTTTAGCGATCATTGAAAGAACAAAAAAAGTAATTTTGTTTCTGTTTTGAGATTAACAACCTCAGAGGTGTTGAAATATAATTAATAATCACTTGACACCTTTCACAAACATCATGTTGAGTGGAAGTGAATCATCGCACTCATCAACAAACACAAATGTTCCTAATGGCGGACCTATTCGTCTCAATGGCATCAAAGGCTATTCAAATCGCACAAATAATATAATTTTCTGTCCCCCATTGATACGAAGCACAAATAACAATAAAGATGAAAGTCCCGGAACCGCCGTGATATACTTCGGTGGTGATGTCCAAGACGTTCCTGAAATGATGGAAGACAATCGAGACACGAAAGGATACGTGAAATTCAATCTTGACAACACAGCAACAATTCTAAGGGAATCTTTTCCTCGAGCTTACATTATTGTTGTAAGACCAGCAAGGTAAGAAAAATATTTTTTATTTAAATATTTTAAATTTTTCCTTAAGCTTTTTCTTCTGCAGAATGGAGTTTACAACATTCAGTTGCTTTGATAATTTTGTTCGAGGTAATAACGTTGGAATCCCTGACCACACGCCGATGCACTACAGTCTTCAACATCTTGAAGAGTAAGTGAACCCTAATTTAGGGTAAATAAATCTATTCTAATCATTCAATTTCCTTCATCAGACTTCTCATCAACATCACAAAGAAATTAAAAACAATGTCAGAATCAGAATTAGTTTCAAAGCTTCTGGAAGCATCACCAACAACATCAAACGACTCTGAAGACATGCATATTGATATTCTTCAAGTTCATGACACTGTAACAAGTGAAGGCAGTGACACAACAACGATAGGATTTGCTTGTAAAGAAGATGCTTGTAATTCACTTCCGACGATACCGATTGCATCGGATTTAACACCTGATTTACTTCAAGGCGATCTTCAAACACCGCCACCAATTCAAACACCTCCAACTACCACAACGGTGACATCAACATCAAACAATCCACGCGATCCACATGATCTTATGTGGTGGCGTGAAAATATAAACTTGGACAAAACAAATCTCATTCTAATGGGCTTCAGTAAAGGTTGTGTTGTTTTGAATCAAGTGAGCGATAAAAAAGTTTTTTGTTCCTTTTTTCCTTTGCTAACAAACAAATTTCTTTTTATTTTATCTTCAGTTTATCTATGAATTTCATTACATGAAGACATTAACACCTGACGATAGTTCGATGATGAAGCTTGTGTCGAGGATAAAGCACATGTATTGGCTTGATGGTGGACATGGCGGTGGAAAGAATACGTGGATAACAGCGCGTAGTTTACTTGAGACACTTTGTCGTCTGGGAATTTCTGTTCATGTTCACGTGACACCTTATCAAGTGCAAGATGATCATCGACCATGGCTTCGAAAGGAAGAGAAACAATTTACCGATCTTCTTAAAAAACTTGGCTGTTTATTGTCACGAACACTTCATTCTGGTGACTCAAATATGTCAAATCTCTTCACACACTTTGAAGTTCTTGAGAACTTTAAGAAATATCAATTACAATTGCAACAGCAATTGCAAACACAACAAACACAAAGTCCTTCAACTAATGACATGATACAGGAAAAGGAACAAAGCACACAGCAACAGAATCAAATAATTCAAAAAACGCCTTCATGTGGCGAGAATAAAAATGCAACGTAAGTTTTAAGAAATTTGTGTTGAGACGAGTCGTAAGATTTATTAATTATTTTAATATTTTCATAAGAATCCATAAAGCATTTTCCGTCATTTTCAACATAATTATTATTTTTATGAACAACTTTGTGACTTTCTTTCTGTAAAGTTAGTTTAAAGAAGGAATTTATAATTTGACACAATCATTGGAACTTTCATCTGCAGTTCAATATAAAAAGTTTTATATTTCACTTTATAAGTATTCCTAATATTTGTTTTAAGATTCGCTGTAAATAGCTTAAATTATGACTTTTAATTAACAAGATTTTTATCCTAAGATTATTGATTAATTAATGTTTGATAGTAAGTTTGATAATGTTAATAAGATAAAATGAAAAATTGAGAATAAATGAATGTTTCGAAGAAATTTGAATTGTTTTGATTCTTTAAGTAGGTATTTTTCATATCGTTTTGTAAAGCTGTTATTCATTCGAAATTTCATGCTTTTTAATTAAGAAAATTTCATCAATTTGCAAAATATATTCAAACTTTCAAAGTCGTTTTAATGTGAAAAGAATTCACGAGAAGGACATATTCGTCTTGTAACTTCAACGATGTCAGCTACATAAATAGAATGTCAAGTGCAAAAGTAAACAAAAAGATATTTTAATCATTTTTATGTAATAAAATTCTCTTGAACCAAATGATCATTAAATTGAATTTTATTTAAATACCTAAGATCAAACTGATGAATGATCACAGATTTGATTTTCTGCTTTAATTTGTTGAAATTCTGTCGTTCCAACTAATTCCTTTGTTGCCCCATCCACGTCACTTTTAATCAATTTTTTGTTACATTTTTAAAAGGAAAATTTTCAATAAACCGACAAAGAGTAAAAATAATAAAAAAAAGTTCACAATTTTATGCTTTTAATGAAAATTTTTTAAAGAAAAATGTCAATACGAAAATAAAAATCATTTGTACATTTTTAAATAATTTAAAAACTCGAAACTTTTTATTATTCTCCATTAAAAAATTTTATTTACAATGAAAATCAGCTTTTCAATAGATATGCGTGAATTGAGAAGAAAATAAACTTAACAGTCCACTGCAGTGGATCATCTGAGTGAAATTCTCATTTAAATCTAAAATTCATCTGAGCAGTCTAATTTGCAGTCACAAATGCCGTCATTAATTCGACTTGAAGGCACCCACACATCTTGACCACGTCCAGTTTTATGTCGGATTTGCTTTTTGCAGTAAAATTTCCCGTTGGGACACGCGTTGGTGAAAGTTTCATCACTTCCATCAATGCAATCACAATAATTATCATTTAACTTATCCCAACTGATCTCTTCATTCCCAGTCAGACATTTGAAGTTCTGATCAACATAAATTCTTGTATAGCTGTCGATATCTCTGATTCGAATACCTAAAACAAATTCCCTTTTGGTTTCTACAAGTCTTTTACTGTGTGGTTTACTGCTAATTTCGTCGCTAGCTTTGTAATGACTTTCTAAATGCTCTGGTCTTAATATTTCTGTTGAATTTGCAAGTTGATTCACGAAGTAAAGCTGATAAGCGAGAAAAAGCAGCGAGCTTAGGATCAACAAAATGAAGAATACGAAAAGTTTTCGTTTATAAAACGGCTTCGGATACAGAGACTCTTTTGGAACCCATACCTTCCTCATAGTTTAAATAAAATTCGTTCAATTGTGCAACTTAATTTCTGCAATTCCAAAAAAAAATTTTTAATTTGTTTACGAATGTTTTTAGTATTTTTAATTATGTTTTACCTAATAATTAAAGACCTGAAGTAGAGATGAGAAGTCTAAAGGTCGCATAACTATTTAATTTGACTTATTTATTGTGTGCTTTTTAATAGAAGCTTAATTTTAACAAATATTTATTTCGATTTCGAATGTTTATACACGCACTTAGAGAATGAATGAATGGGAATTCCACACCCCTCTAGATTCAATCTCTGCAAGTACCGCACCCCTCACAATCTTACCGGCAAGGGGCGAATCATGGAGGGAAATGAATAGGTAGTTTGACTTTAAAATACCCAATAAAATTCCCCTCACTAAAGTTGGCATTTTTTGTGGGGCATCTTCGCACGGACGGATATTTTCGGGCGCTCGATTTCTCTGAAAAAAATGCTGCATCCTTCAACACCCAAATACGAAGCAAACGATCTTGACCAGCTATTGCTAGAAGATGACCACATGGCGAAAGCTCCAAGCTGCCAAATGGAATTTGACCTAATAATATACAACAGGTTGTGGGTTAGTTAAACATGTTATTAGCATTTAGCCGTGAAAATAATGATTCTTAATGCATCATCAGAATCACGTTTCCAGGAACCACCACTTGGAGGCTGCTAATATCGGTTCCCACACCTTTAAAGGCGGAGTTAACTCTAAATTCGGCTCATATTAATTATGAATTATTTATATAAGCCGAAGTTTTTATATTGAGCAGGTCCAAGAGAACCAGAGATGGGCAAATTGCACGCCCAACTCGATTGACACTGTCTGTAACTGACTGACAGTTTTACAGTTATAGTGTTATAGTGAGCCATCAAAATGAAGCAAAGTTTTTCTTCAGATATAATACCTACTTCATACGTCAATATGACTTTAATGAAGTTGTGATTTGACCGACTGACACTTGTGATAATCACTTAAACTTTTTGTGATTAATCACTATACAAATGTTTAACATCTTGTGATTAATCACAAAAAGTTGTGATAAATCACTGAAGTATTTTCGAATTTTCTATAATAAAATAATTCCAAAATGCAAATTTAGCTTACATGGCTTTATTTAAAAAAATATGATCCTTAGAAAATACGAATGATTCACAAAACGATTAAATGTTACGAAAAAAAAACTCCTATAATAGAATTAAAAAATTGATTTCTTTATTATAACCTTTATAATAATCATAACATTCTTAAAGCATGAATAATATTTTGCTAGTTTTAAAGTCTTAAAACTCTTAGTTTAAAAATGTCT